CGAATGAAATAAGAATAGGTTGATGCATCTCAATATGGGTTGTTCATTGTTCCATTTATTTAAACTGCTTCAAGCTAGATAATGATATTCTTTGCCATTTCAATTATTTTTGACGGATTCAGCCTTGAATACTCAGTTTTTCTGCTGTTACCTTTTTCAGATCAAGGAGGCAAAGGACTGCCTCAGTCTATTACCTAGCAGTAGGAATGTCCAAGCAGAGGCTGACATAATACTTGCGCTCACTGTTAAACTGCCATACCTTGGAGTTACTCTTTTGCCTATGCAATACAGACAAATAAAAGACCCAATGGAGATAATCAAAATGGCTATTGCTGGTCAAAATGGAGCATACATACATGTTGATGAAGTTATAGAGGTTGCCAAACTTCTGGGATTAAGCTCTCCATATGACATATCAGCAGTGGAGGAAGCAATCGCTAGAGAAGCTGCTGTGGCCGATGATCTACAATTGGCATTTGACCTCTGCCTTGTTTTGTCTAGAAAAGGACATGGGTCTGTTTGGGATTTGTGTGCTACAATAGCAAGGGGTCCCGCGCTTGAAAATATGGATATAAGCTCCAGAAAGCAGCTGATAGGTTTTGCTTTGAGTCATTGTGACGAGGAATCTATAATGGAGCTTCTTCATGCATGGAAGGACCTTGATATGCAAGGGCAATGTGAGGCTTTGCTGAACTCGTCTGATTCTTATGGTGTCTCTGATTCATTGAACAGAAGACTTCCTTTCTTTGGTTCTCCAGATACTGTCAATCATCTCAGAGGTTTCTCAGAAGCCACTGAAGATATGAGCAGTGGGGATCGAGAAGCCCATTTGAGGAATACAACAAACACACTTCTTTCAGTTGCTAAACACGGCCTTGCCGAGGAGGGAGCAGAATTGGAGTCTTTCTTGAAGGACAATGGAAGACTATTTTCTTTTGCCGCTTCTCAACTTCCGTGGTTGCTTGAATTGAGTTGCAAAGCTGAATATTCTAAGAACTCGAGTTCTGGATTTGCTCCTGTAAAGCAGTTTGTAAGCATAAGAACCCAAGCATTAGTAACTGTTCTTTCCTGGCTGGCAAGAAATGGGTTTTCACCCAATGATAGTATAATTGCCTCCGTGGCAAAGTCGGTCATAGAACCACCTGTCACAGAAGAGGAAGACGTGATGGGTTGTTCTTTCTTGTTGAATCTTGTCGACGCCTTCAGTGGGGTCGAAGTAATAGAAGAGCAACTTCGCCTCAGGGATAATTACAATGAAATTCACAGCATCATGAATGTTGGGATGACGTACAGTGCATTACACAGTTTTGGAGTTGAGTGCAAAGATCCTGCTCAGAGGAGGGAATTACTTCTGACAAAGTTCAAAGAGAAGCATGCACCACTTAGTTCTGGTGATTTGACTTTAGAAATCTCTCATCTTGGCAATATTGGATATTTTTTGTTGTGCTACTATTGAACGGAACATGAGTGTTTCATGTGTCCTTTTCCCCTGATAGATTTCCTCTATGTTTCAGATGAAATAAACAAGATGGACAAAGTACAGTCCACTTTCTGGAGGGAATGGAAGCTCAAATTGGAAGAAAAGAAGCGAATTGCTGAAAATTCCAGAGTGCTAGAGCAAGTCATTCCTGGTGTTGATACTGCTCGATTTCTCTCAGGTGACTCGAGCTACATTCGCCATTCTGTTTTTTATCTGATTGAATCAGTGAGGCTAGTAAGGAAGCACATTATCAAAGATGTATTAAAGTTGGCGGACACTTATGGGTTGAATCAAAGTGAGGTACACACTAAAGTTCCTTCTTGTATCTGTCCTCCAATCCAATTAGCAATCCATTTGTTGGCCCCCAGTTTTTGAAAATGCTATTCATTTTATTCCTTTTTTTTTTTTTTTTTTTGTAGGTGCTTGGGTATTATCTCAGTTGTATTCTTGTTTCTGAGGCTTGGACGAATGATGATATCATGATTGAAATTTCAGAATTTAAAGGTGAAATTATCCGTTCTGCTGGTGAAACCATCAAAACTGTTTCATCAGTTGTTTTTCCTGCAATTGATGGTCATAACAAGAGTCGTCTGTCCTTCATATATGCCCTTCTATCTGACTGCTACTTTCATCTGGGGCAAACCGAAGGACCATCACCATTCCCATCACCTTTATCCAACTTCCAGTTGGCTGAGTGTTACAAGGTCATTGGGAAAGAGTGTCAAAGAGTTTCTTTTATCCAGAATCTAGATTTCAAAAATGTTGCTGGATTAGGAGGTTTGAATTTGCAGTATTTCCGGGATGAAGTATTCGCCAATATTGATGATGAACGTAGCTTAGAAGCCTTGGCAGAAATGGTGAAGAATCTTGTCGGTATCCATTCTGCTCCAGTGCCACAAGGCATGATTGTGTGGCAGGATGTATACAAAAGATATGTTCAGAAATTGTTCACAGAGCTGGAAAGTAGAGCCAAGACAGAATTTAATGTCGGAAGCTCTGAAAAGTTTCAGGAGTTCGTTGGTCAACTAGAGGGAACGTATGGTTATTGTGGACAATTTATTGGCCATTTGTTTACATCAGATGCTATGGATGTCATGAAGCGGTGCTTCTCAATGATTCTACTTCTACCTGGTGCTTTTGGGTGTATTCCTGATAATTCAATGTGGCAGGAGTGCCTTATCGACCTCTTAAACTTCTGGTTCAGGTTGTCTGAAGCAATGAGTGAAATAATATCACGTGAGAGTTCAGTGGAAAAATCGAGCTTCTTCGATCCTGTGTGCCTAAGAAACTGTGTGGAATTATTTGTGAGATTTGTGTCGGAGGATAATGTATCGCCAAGTCAGGCCTGGGGGACCATCATAGGCTATGTAAATCATGGCTTAATTGGTGATTGCATAGTCGAGGCTGAGGCCTTTTGCAGAGCGATGGTATTTTCTGGTTGCAGTTATGGACCTGTGTCAGAAATGTTCTCGGAGATGACATCACATAGTGCTGCTGTCAGTTCAACTGTTGAAACTAATCTTTCTCAGCTCTACGCAAGCATGCTGGACCCAATTTTAAGGGACTTGGTTAATGAAGGAACCCTTGGAAGCAAGGATCTGTATAACCTACTCTCTTCCCTGAGTAAGATGGAAGGTAATAAGGTGGAGGATCTGCAGCAGCAGGTTAGGCGCGTGGTTTGGGAAAGATTGGCCCGATTCTGTGATGATTTGCAGCTGCCAAACAACATCCGAGTCTACGCCTTGGAGATTATGCAGTTCATTGCAGGTGGAAGTCGTACTTTCTCTGCTGAGCTGCAGTCTAATATCTTGCCATGGGAAGGCTGGCATGAGTTGCTCTCTACAAATAATGCCTCTACAGGAAGCAGTGGATTGAAGCTTGACCGAGCAGATAATTCCAACAGGTTTACAAGCACTCTGGTCGCCTTGAAATCATCCCAGCTCGTTGCAGCCATCTCTATCAACATGGAAATCTCCCCTGAAGACCTTTCCAACACCGAAACAGCTGTCTCTTGCTTTTCAAAGCTGTGTGAGCTCTCCTCCACGGATCATCATTTGGATGTGCTGTGTGCTGTTCTGGAAGAGTGGGACGGGCTTTTTGCAACTACTATAAGCGAACCAGGTGATTCAACTGTAGACGCTGCTGAAGCAGCAGGAAACGACTGGAACAATGACGATTGGGATGAAGGATGGGAAAGCTTTCAGGAAACAGATGATACTAATATCCCAAAAGAGAAGAAGGTAAAGGTCGTTGGTGGTGGTCATCAGCATCTGCATCCTTTGCATGGATGTTGGATGCAGCTCTTCAGAAAGATGGTTGAGCTATCCCGGGTCAGCAAAGTCCTAGCACTGATGGATCAATCACTGTCGAAACCCAAAGGAACATTGATCGATGAAACTGAGGCCAGGAGCTTGCGTGATTTCGTAGTTGACCCCTTTGTGGCTTTGAAAATCATGCTGCTGCTGCCGTATGAAGCTCTGTGGTTTCACTGTTTGGACATAGTTGAGGAGAAGCTGAAAACACAAGGGTGGAACCAGGACACAGTTGCTGGGGACCATGAGCTCTTGACTCTCGTGCTATCCTCTGGCATCGTCGTAGCTGCCATTTTCACCAAGAACTCATATGGCACTACTTTCTCTTACCTCTGCTATTTGGTCGGGAACTTCTCCCGTCAATGTCAGGAATCCCAGTTGTCCAAGCCGACAGAGAAGGACACGGCATCGTTTCTCTTTGCGAGGTTTTTGTTCCCCAGATTTATATCGGAACTCGTGAAGGCCGATCAGCACGTCTTGGCAGGGTTCCTCGTCATGAAGTTCATGCACACGAACCCGTCTGTTAGTGTAATCAACTTGGCGGAAGCCAGTCTGCGGCGATATTTGGAAGGGCGGCATCGTGCTCTCCGAGAAAAGGAATTAGGCCCTGAAGAATTGAGTTTGTGCGGGATATTGAAGAACACAGTGGTCGGATTGAGAGAAATGTTGGTCGATTCGATCCCATCTGTGCTTTCTTCCTGCCTGAGATGAACCAGTTTTGCAAGGTAGATTGATAGCTGTGGTAATTAGTTACGTTACGCACACTTTTCCTCTCCCAAGTAAATGTGATATAAATAGAAACTTGTTTACCTTACCTGCATATGTATGAGTTTACTTTAGCCCCTCACACCGCCACCTCAAACTAATGACTCCATCTGATTGACCAATTACCATCTCTCGGCTCGCCTTTAGTTGATCAAACAACCAACTTCTGATTAACGATGTATGTCTTTCTCGTTGTAGTGAAGACAGTTACACAGACGGTTCTATATTCGATATAAATTTTGCGACGAATTATCACTGAGTCGGGTTTTAGGTGGATCCTGGATTGATGAACAGGTGGTAACTTTTTGTTACGAAATGAATAGCTTAACAAAGTCGTCGTCTTGAGGTTAGGTTACCATTTTGGGACATTCGACATAGTTTGGTGACCATTTTGGCTTTTTAACTCATTATGTTATCCAAGTGCCAACTGCCAAGTGGCTTACGTCCAATCGCAGCAAGTTTATAGCTTTAACCACTAGCTCGTAGCCACCTCGGCCAACAGAAACGTCAGAGCTACCATACCAAAACAGAAAGTGAAACCTTTGCTTTCTCCAACAATGGAACGGCTACCGGCTGATCTGTGCCTGAAGATCTTCTGCTGCTTGGATCACCACAATCTTGCTTCCGCCCAACAAGGTCTCTTCCTCCTCCCGCTATTCTATTTCTTCCCAATTCCTGCATCCTCTGAAAGTTTCGATCTTGGATTCTGGGTGTTTGATTTTTCTCCACTTTACGCCATTTGAGATATTCATTCGACTCTTTCTCTTCCCTCAATTAGGAATCTCAATTTCAACTGGGTATATGTATATCAAGATTTTCTGATCCAATTCTGTAATTAGCCTTGGAAAGTCTTCTTCTTTCGTTCTGAATTCTGCCATTAATGAATGTATAACAGGGATCTTGAAGCTTGAAGGTCACCTTCCTTTCTCCTTTACTCTGTTTTTCATCTACCCCCTGTCTCACTGTTGTGGTCAGTTTTGATTTGTTGAAGTTTGCAAGAAATGGAAGGCGATTGGATCTGACGAGAATCTATGGTCCAACCTCTTCAAGCATAGATGGGGAACCGATCGTGCCACATTTCATGCCCCTGTTGATTCCAAATCCTGGAAAGATGTTTATGCTGTGCAAGATCGATCCGATCGAGTTGGACTGTGAGTTTCCCTCGCTCACACTTGGGATTTCTTGTTCTTTCCAGAAACATTTCATATAATTCTGCTGTTTGTTTTGATGGGATGGGGCAGGGGGCTGAAGATAATCAGAGAAGGAGGTGACTATTATCTTGTTCATCAAGGCGAAATTCAACGCTATCTGGGTTCTCCCAGACACAGAAAAGGGCCAAAGGCTGCTGCTTCAGACGACCAAGTAGAAGAATCGTCATCGTGCGGCAGGGCGGCCGAATCCTGCTGCACTGGCAGTGGGATTCTGGACAGGATACTGTTCTTCATTGGAGACCTGGAAGTTGCTTCTGCAGATGCCAAACGTGCTCGCCTGATATGAATCATTGCTTCCTAGATATGTATATGCAGAAAGCTCACATGTTCCTGCAGCACCATTCAACTCATTGCTCTGTGGATAACATAACAGCAAGATCAAAGCTAGTTTATTTCGATTAGTTATGTAACATTCGTCGTATTGTATAATAGTTGTAATGAAAATGTGTAACAATGTCAATAATTCTTTCCTTTTACTGCTCAATTGATGCAAAAAATCTGTTGTAATTGTAAAGCCATAAGAACTGCTGTGGAAGGCAATATAGTACTACTGCTGTGTTCCTATTCTGTTGTCACATGGAGGATTGCAGTTGAAGGGTAATGCATCATCTCATTACATGGTGAATTGTGGTTGGAGAAGTTCTGTGAGGGAACATTCTTGTGATTCTCATATTTGATCATCAGCATGTAATTCAATCGGGCTAATTAGTCGGTGCGTAACGATATTACGAGTACCTTTTAACTTACTAAATAGGATTATCATTGAAATTAATATTAATTACAATTCAAACTTGATACTAAAAAGCACTAATAATCTACTTCAAGCGATTAACATATAGATAAAATCTATTAATCGCCGATTTGGGCGGATTGTGATCGGTGGGCATTTTCGCAATTTTTGGGCGATTTTTCGAAATGTCATTTTCCTTGTATTTTGAAGGTTATAGATTACGAATTCCTGTTGAGGTTATTCTTCACTGATGATTAAGTATGTTAAGCATCAATTTTGAGCGGATTTTTTCCGGGGCCATTTTAGGCAAATTTCAAAGGGGTATCATCACAGATTTCGTGCGATTCTTTTAAAATATCATTTTCCTTGGATTTTGAAAGTTACAAATCACGAAACTAGTGTGTGTCTATTCTCTCCCAATGATAAACTCTATTAGTCGCCCGATTTGGGCGAATTTTTTTCCAAGTGCATTTTTGTTATTTTTTGGACGAATTTTTTAAAGACCATTTTCCTTGTCTTTTTAAGGCTACAGATCACGAATTCGGTCTGAGACTATTCTCCAACGATTTTTAAGTCTATTAAGCACCGATATGTAAGGATTTTTTCTGGGGCCATTTTTGTCAGATTCTAAAGGGGTATCATCACAGCTTTCGGGAGATTTTTCGGAAATGTCATTTTCCTTGAATTTTGATGCCTGCAAATCACATATTCGTACTAATGTTATTCTTCACCGATGATTGAGTCATTTAAGCACCGATTTGGGAGGATTTTTGGAGGACCATTTATTGCAGAATTTTGAAGTATTTTTTCGAAATGTCATTTTCATTGGATTTTGAAGGTTACAGATCACGGATTCGAAATGAGACTATTCTCCACCAATGAGAAAGTTTATTAATCGATGACATGGAAGGATTTTCCTGGGGCCATTTTTGGTAGATTCCAAAAGGCTACCATCACAAATTTCATGTGATTTTTTCGAGGTCATTTTCTTCCGAATTTGAAGGCTACACATCTCGGATTTGGCCTAAGGCAATTTTTCACCGACGATTAAGTCTATTAAACACCGATTTAGGCAGATTTTTCAGGGAACATTTTTTTGTAGATTCTAAAAAAGTACCATCACAAATTTTGAGCAATTTTTTGGACAGCACCATAATCAACTTGAATGGTTACGATACATTTTGCCCAATCATATTTAGAGCTAGTTTTATTTGGGGGTTATCGACAACACATAAAATCCACTTGAGATCGTTCATATTAGCTAATCTGCTGGACCAAGATGCTATAGACTATACATTTCTAGCAAATCCAAACTCATTTTTCTTGTTTATCTTAATAAACTTAAGAAATAAGTTCTAATTCCAAGTAATCAAATGATGAAAATGATAATAGCAATGCCCTAACAAAAATGGAGGTATGCTATAATACAATGCAGCAAGGGTCAGAAAGAATGTCTCTATTTGACTAGAAATATCACATATTGTCGCCACTCGCCAGGTGGTTTAAAAGAGAAGACAAATCAATGATAAAGGATGAAAATGATACCTAATCCGAACTGCAACTGGTCTTCTCCAACATGAGCCACAAGTACAGATTTTTGGGGGACAGAAAATATCCTACTCTGCCACATCCGCCATTGGCTCCACTTGCCTCCTTTCACATAGCCATTTGGTAAAAGCAAGGATCACAAACCCAATTCTCATGTAACCACATCGAATCTCCCAGTATGGCTGCTGCTGCTGCTGCTGCACTTCCTTCAATTACCTCTCCAACTTCTTCTTCTACTACTACTACTGCTTTCATTCATTCTTCCAAGACAGGTCCTCGAGCCTATGGTCCATCCTTCTCAAATGTCAGATCATATGGTACACTGAAGGGAAGACTACCAAACTCTTGCAAGGCGGTTCCAAGAGGCATTAAGATCCTATGTACAGCAACCAAGCCTGCAAAATCGCCAGGTACTGTGGCTCTATCCTGGATTCTGTTCAATAAGATTGCTCCCCTACCACATTTGTCACTAGTTGTCGCTATGACCAATATCTTACAGTCGAAACCTTGTCTATGACTGTGTGACCCAGCTGAAGAAGAATGGAAGGTGAAGAGAGAGTTACTGCTGCAGAAGAAGGTGAGGAGTGTGGAGGTGAAGGAAGCTCTTCGACTTCAGAAAGAAAACAACTTTGTGATCCTTGACGTGCGGCCAGAAGCTGAATTCAAGAAGGTAAGTCTGTTATATATCATATCTTACATTCTTACAGGAGTTCAACCCATTCGACAGACGTTTCAGTTAAAAAGAATCCAGGGATGAAGAGTACTTACAAAGACTGAACCCCATCTGTTCTTCTGTTGTGTGGATTTTCTAGGGTCACGCACCAGGTGCGATCAATGTCCAAATATACAGGCTTATAAAAGAGTGGACGGCCTGGGACATTGCCAGGCGTGCTGCTTTTGCATTTTTTGGCATCTTTGCTGGCACTGAAGAAAACCCTGAGTTTATACAGAGTATGTTTCAGTAGAAACGATCAGGGTTTTACACTGCTTGATGTTCCAGTGTTGTGCATTTAGCCTAGCTAGCAGAAGCTGGTACTCATCTGCTTATATTCTTACCAGCTGTCGATTCCAAACTTGGTAAAGATGCAAAGATAATAGTGGCTTGCTCAGCAGGCGGTACAATGAAACCATCACAAAATCTTCCTCAAGGTCAACAGTCCAGGTATTTCCAACTCTTCCAGATTCCAGAGTAAAGAAATTTCACTTGTATATGATATATCTAGAGCTTGATACACGGCAATACAATAGTAGAATAAGATAAACGATGACTAGCTATGTAACTTGAACTTCATCTACCCTATCAATCGTTGAGGCGTCTGGATAAAGCATGAATGTTAGCTTCGTCAGAGTAAGGTAATCAATGCTTTTGCCTGTTCCTGCAGATCACTGATAGCTGCATACCTGTTAGTCCTCAATGGTTATAAGAACGTCTTCCACTTAGAAGGGGGTCTCTATACATGGTTCAAAGAGGGGTTGCCAGCTGCAGCCGAAGAAGAATGAGGAATCATTGTGATTTTTCGCAGAATGGTGCTTCATGACAAGCCAGAAGTTTTGCACCACCGAGCAAACGAAGGTTAATGCTCCTGTATCCTGACAAATTAACAGACTGGTGGTTATTGGGCTGGTGTATCCTAGGATTGAAGATCTTATGTAAATGACAATTCAATGTCTGTTCATCATTCCCCTCAATTTCAGGGGGAATAAATCCAACTAGTTAATTTATTGGAGCAACTCCAGGAAAATAACATGTCAGCTGAAGAGCAAAAGAAAAGGATGGAATATTTCTTGAATAGGAAATATGTCATTCAAGTATAACATGTTTCGAAAAAGCAAAAGCTCTTGAAGCCACATCTACAATGAATAAACGTGAGAGCTTGTTCTGGTTCGAAATGGGAGATCTTCGTGAAATAATTCAATCAGGGAAAAAAGCAAAGAATTTCCTTGCCAAAAACACAAGTGCAATTGAAGGATTGTACCTCTCTCCAACAAATCATCGGCAAAAAGGTTCCTAATAAGATTCCTGTCATGTTAAGCCCTTAAAGAAGCTCTAGCCATTTCAAGAGCACCTTCATAACTTCGGTTTCCACCAGTAAACCCACTTGCATGGACAAACGCACAGCCAGCGATCCCTACTACATCCGAGAGTTTGTCATTTTCCAAACCTCTCCAGTTAACTGGCAAGGGTTTCCTGCTTCGAAAATCATCAGGTGACACAGCTACCGCTTGTATACGCCAATTTTCAGTCCTATCATCCTGCATACACAAAATAGGAGTCATGAGACCTGCTTCTTTGATGAGGAGAGCATAGGGAGATGTTGTGATATAAAAAAAAAACTCTTGGATTGGTAGCTGCTGTTAGTAAGAGTATCAATCAGATAATAAGGAGAAAAATACTCAATCACTATGTACCTTGTAAAGAACATACTTGATGGGCGGAAACATCCCAAGCTCTTTCTCAAGGTCAAATATGTGGAGCTTCCACTGCAACAAAATCAAACACAGTGAACTTCCAAGGATTGATAAGAATGACAGCGGACATCCTGATGGTAATACTATACATGATCGGTCACTAGTCAAATAGAGCATTCTGTGTATGGACCAGCAAGGATATATTGCAAAGAGCTTCACATAAAACCAGCTACGTTGTCATAAGAAAATCAATAGATATCAATGGATAGAAACATTCACTTACATGGCAAGATCTATTCATAACCATGATTTCTCCGCTGGCATCAACCTGGTATCTTGAAGCAAGACACTCCTCCACAATTGATCGAGCTGGCAACCAAGACTTTGCATGGAAGCGAATACTCTTCAACACAACATTGTTAATCAGTTTCCCTAACTTGTTGCTGTCACGTAAATTCACCCAAGATAACAAAAAGTTCTCAAAGCAGCTAGATTGTTAACTGAAACTAGGTTTAGATCAAAGAGAAGTTTAAACCTCTAAAAATTCAGAACCAGCAAGCCTCATAGCACATTCAAACACTTCATTCTCTTTCTCAGAAGACTGATCAGGTTCTGTCCAGTCCAGATTCAGCCTCACAACTCGGCTCGATAAGCTTGTATTGTTGACATATGTAGGAGGCTCATCACTGTCAAACTGATTCATTCCATTGTCAACTGCATCAACTGCCTAACACATGGCACCAAGTCTCAATTAAACTTGAAGCAACAGAAGCTCGAAACAAGAAGTTCCATAGTTGCATACTTGCATTAATCGGTTGGGTACGGTAAAAATCACATCTTTGGAAGTACCACAACAAAGTTCTTGTAAATGGATAGGTATAACCGATGTACGTAGGAGTCGCCTTCATCCAGCTGAAGCTCCTTTGCAATTATGTGAGCTCCGTAGTGCTGAAAGTCTCAAGATAGTGATCCCGACTCGGATCGTACACACCTCCCACATCAACCACCGCATCCAGCGTTTCCAGCACCTTGAGGAGAATCGGAATAACAATTGAAATTGGTGCAAAAGAACTTCAATCGACGAATTACTACATTCCGTATTGCGATTGAATTGGGAGAAGGAGTGGGGAACTGTTTGGAACCTGTAGTTGTCGTTTAAATACCTTAGGGTCCCTGGTGCGGACGATTTCGGCGCCGGAGAAATTATCGGCGAGGCGAATCATGAAGCAAGCGAGGGCTTCGTCGCAGTGAAAGCTGCCGTTGTGAGTGCCAACTCGCTTCTTCGGCGTTGAGGTCGAGAAACAGCTCGGCTGAAGAGCAAATCTCGGAGTCGTAGTTTGAGAACGTATTATCAAATGCCTGAAGCTGAAGCAACTCAGCCCTCGAGCTCCAACTGCACCAAACATGGCTTCCACTCTGTTCGCTTCCAAGTTCTCGAATTGTTCTTCCTGCGTCTCTCTCGACCGCGGTAACCGCTAAACCACAAACCACGGCGGGAACTGAAGCGCCAATTTTAGCCGCCGAGCAATACGGTGACGTTCTGTTGGGGTACGAAACCCTACACTAGGGTGAATTACCTTATGGTCACTGAAATTATCTTTTTTTTTTTAAATAAGAAATTATATATTTTCTTTTTTATTTTTATAAGAAAATTATCTATTTTTTTCAAAGTATCAAATGAATAGAAAATTCAAATTTAGATACATCTACCCCTCCTCCACATTCAATTTCTTTTGTTCATTTTCATCTTTCCATTCCAAAGGTAACGAAGCTGCCCTAGCTTGGCGAGCAACCCAATGTCAATTTTTGCTTATGAATGTGATATTCTTGTTACCGACTTATCGTCATGTAATCAATTGGCTTTTGATTTTCGGTTATATAACAACTCTTCTTCATGTCTGACATCTTATACAATTTTAATTTGAGTGGCATTTTTGTTTGTCGCTCCCACTCACGTGGCTTAATATTGACACTGATCCAAGGTCGAGCACAATGCAATGTTATTATCATCTTCTCACACAGCTTGAATCATCTTTCTGCCCACCGCATCTGTCACCCCACGTCCCTACCATCAATTTAAACTACCAACACCATCTCATTTTAAACTTCTTCGTCGTCGGTTCGATCAATATAAATTTAATAAAAATTAAATTTGTCAACTTGCATGACCATTTTTATGAGGCTTGAAAGTATAAGTTGATCGACTTAACTCGTTTCATAGTTTCGATCACGATAATTTAACATGCGAAAGTTAAAAAGCACTCTAATATCATCTTTTTGCCATCAACATCATAAAGCCCTTACAACTTACAAGTTATAACCACAACCAAGTTATTTGTTTATAAATTACATACATAAATTTCTCTTGTACAAATCACATACAATTTCATCATGATTGAAATATATCAACATAATCTATAGTAATTCACATATGCAAATTCCATCCTCAAAGAAGAGATCTCTTCCTCCTTGGTTCTTTGGCAATTTACCAGGCGTCATCAATCAAACTAGCTAGGCAAGCTTCCCCTGCATCCACCCCTGCAACATCTGCAACGCCACCTTGGGCTGATCCATGGGCACCATATGCCCGGCATTGTACACCTTCAAGAAAGCCAACGGTCCATAGCTCTTCAGCTCCCCTGACTTCGCATTTCCCGCCACAAACGGCACGTTGGGAGCCGCCTGGAACTTACTCTGCCCCGACCATTTCATGCCGTTGACCCAGTTCGAGTTCCCCAGCCAGTTGCAGATCAGGTCGTACTCCCCGGCGTAGATCAGCACCTTCACCCCGCTCTCCAGCAGCGCCGGGATCCCGGTCTCGTAGTCGATCATCCAGTCTCCCATCATCGCGTCGTAGACCTCGCTGCTGCACGAGACGAAGTCGATGTCGTCCTTCACTCCCAGCGCCGACTTCACCGTGTCCTCTCCCAGGAAGTTCTCCATCCGCGAGAAGTCGTAGCAGAGCTGGCCCTCGCACTGCTTCCGGATGTCGTAGTACTGCACGCACGCGCAACACAAAATTGGTTTCAAGGTAGGACATAGGAATTTGATTACTCTGTTAATGGGATTGGATTTTGTATCTTAGGGTTTACGTTTATGTTGCCGGCGATCTGGAGAATGGACTGGAAGATTTGGTTGCAAGTGTAGAGCGCTTCCTCGCAGGAATCCTCGCTCTGAGGGCTGCAACCTGCGATTGCGGATTCGCAAGGCGGGACGAGTTCGCTGGCGATGGAGTCGCGGTCGGATTGGGAGATTAGTTTCGCGGCGAGGGCGAATTCAGGGTAGGCTTTGTACTGGAAAGCAGGGTCGGTGAGGCCATTTCCGATTGCGAATCCCTGTCAAGAATCGAACTTTGGTAAGAAATTAAGAAACCCATTTGATCTATAAACTGACCCAATCGGTTAAATTTGAATTGTTTGTACCTTCATGTTGATGTGGATTCCTTCCTTGTTCTGATTCCCTTTGAAAATCCTGGAAGCCAGAGCAGGGATGTAATGACCGGCGTACGATTCTCCGGTGATGTAGAAATCATTTCCCGCGTATTTCGAGTGCCCTTTGAAGAATTGCTGAAGGAAGTTGTACAGATCGTTGCTGACGCCGGTTTCGTCGTGCCTGATGTCACTGTCGTCGGTCGTGTAGCTGAACCCTGTTCCCGTCGGCTGGTCGACGTACAATATGTTGGAAGCCTGATCCCAACCATAATCGTTCCACTGCAGAGCCATGTCCTCTGTAATCTTGAACGGACCATTTTCGTAGAACAAAGCAAGCTCACTGGCGCAACCTGGCCCGCCGGTCAGCCAGATTACCACGGGGGCATTGGTGTTGTTCACCCTCGACTCGAAGAAGAAATAGAACATCCTATTACGACCAAAATGTGTCAGAAAGATTTGATTGAAAGTTGGTGTTTGTACATAAAAGCGTAAGCTTTTAAGTTTTAATTCGCGATTTTGACTGTCGTTAGTCCGTTGTGTTACTGTTCTGTCCACTTACTTGGCGCCTTTGGTGTCAGGAAGGGAGTAGTAACCGGCGTAATGACCAAACTGCTGAATAGAAGGGCCAGGTCCGCCGGAGACGTTGAAGCTGAACCGCTTCTCGCTGATTCTCTGCTGATGAACATCATCGTCGCCCGAAGTATCGTTCGAGACGATGTTGGCTTCGTGCTTCGGGAACAAATTCAGGGACCGAATCATTCTTTCCGCCTGCCCTGCTCCTTTTGCTGCAGGAGAAACGAGCTTCAGTTGAGAAGGTGATGATGGCTGGTACCGCAGAGCAGCCGAGAATGAACATGAGAAGAGAAGAAACAGAGTGAGAGAAAGGCAAGTTGCTGAGGAGATGGAACAGGGAGAAGAAGCCATTGTTGTGTTTTGGTGGTGGATGGGAAATGATATGTGATTGAGTGGCGATGGAGAAGATATATATACATTTCATTTTCAGAGGTCCGGCCAATAAAGCAGCAAGCTGCAACAAACTGTCACTTTCTTGCTTAATTGCCTACACATTGGGTTAGAAAATTGATATGCTATTCATTTTCCTCCTTTGAATGAATGATTAGATGTGCTTAAGTGCGGAGTTTTGTATTAATTACCGGTCAAAAGAGAATTATAAGTGCATGAAATGGCTTCAAGGCTGGTGCTTTGGAACGTTAATTACAGAAGCTTTCCTTAAATGAGAATTAATTGGAAGAATCTGAATTATGTCCACATTGGCTTGGCGGGGCGTTCAAGTTCAGGCTCTTCTTAATTATTTATGCACTGTGTTGCTGGCACGAAATTCCTAATTTTATGACCTGATTAGGAAAAGGGGAATCATGATTTCATGAATGTATGTTTGTTGTTTGTAGCTTTTGTTCGTTCTGCATCCAAATTCATTGTTGTTGCAGAAACAAAAGCACGGCTGGATTCTGAGAAATCAATGTCGTTTTTATCTGTCAATCCTTTGTTTTTCCTCTTCCTCTATGTTTACAATGTGTGAATTGGAATGGTAGCCATTGAATGCGCTTGAAAATCACTAGAGAGAAGCGAGTTGGCCAATACATGTCCTTTTACACCGTTTTATCAGCAAATCTCTGTTAGGAATGCATCCAACCAAACAATACTTTCCCGGAGTACAACTCGGTAACCACAACTCGGTAAGCCTAGAAAACCAAACACAACGCAGAACATAATCCAAGAAGCCATCCATTCAGCAAATGCTTCGAAGTGTAAGCCCTTCCCACGACCAAATTCAACCCGAATCTAGCAAAGCATAATTTACCCACCATTGTACACTTACAAGCTTTGGATTTGTGAAAACAACCCGATTTCTGCATAACCACAGCATAATAAATAGATCTCTGCTACATCATCCTAAACCACTAGAAACGCTTAGCACCACCCGCCCTAATGATCTCTAATGAAGGGTTAGCATTTTCCAGCGTAGAAGCAACGAGACAAGTCTCCACTTCTGCCACAGAGCCGAGCTTGCACGAACCACGTCACAAGGTTAGATAGATTTTGCAAACAAGAGGTACTGCACCAGTAGCTTCCAGCAGAGACAGGATCATTGCCCAAAGCCCACAACTAGCTTTCAACTGTGACTGAAGAAAAGCTTTACAATTTTGTCAAACAGCAGTTAATCTCTATATATCCTGATAAAACCTTCACCATCCCCGAGTTTGGCTGCCTTTCATCAGGAGCCTTCTTGCATCCTGTATATTGTAATTTCCTGCTGCTTAAAGTAGCGGCGGTCCTCTTCATCCACCAGAACAAGGTTTAAATAGTACTTCACACTGAACTTGTTATTAATATTGCGGTGCGTCGGTGTCAGATCATATGGGCCTAGAAACAGCCTGATTGGAATTGATTCACCTGTAGGGAAGTCACAATACAACACCTAAGGTGAATTTCATTGATGTAGAGGAAATGAAGGTGGTATGTAATGAAATATGAAATAGAAAAGAAAGTTGAACATACCCCGAACAGGAGCTCCATCCATCAATTCAAACTTAGCAAGAGTCTCTGTCTCAACATGGGTATTCGCCCCTGACCCAGTCGACTCTCTGCGCCTGATCTCAAGGTCCATATTTTTTATCTTGATTCTCACAAGGAGAAAATAGATTTTACCAATAATCACGTCTTTCAGATGATACCTGCACAAAGAATTAGGCCCCAATGATCATTAAACACGAGTACTATGTGTATCCACTTAAAAGTCATTCCAGTTGATTTCACCAAAATTATTATCACTAATACCGTCGTACGGTTTACAGCATGTTGTATTTTCAGACCCATCATCGCAACTATTTATGAAAAATCTATTGTGTATCTGCTATACCACCAATACCCTTGTTTGTGTTTTAGTAGCTGACACCTTAATATAATTCAACAACCATAATGGATCTTCTACGAAACAGTAAAGCTCGACGGTGCCCAGTACTGGATCACGAGCACCACAAGCAAGACAGACCAAGACCAAGTGTAAGGATAAAATGACTTACTTGCTCTTGTTGTACTCAAACTCAATATGTAGACAATCTTCAATTCCAACTTCCATCTGCATAAGTGAACATGGATATAATTGCCATGCAATAGAATATATATTAAAACAAACGAACTTCGGACCATCATCACTAAATTTCTAGCCTATCCTTCAAGCTTCCACCATGTATTAGAGAAAAACACAAGTTCAACTGAAGTCATCTATCATAGTGGGAAGTTGGGAAACAAACAGTGACATCTGTTCCCTGTGCATTTCTAGATACAGCACTAACCTTGATAGTGTTGTTAACAGGCGGAGGTGGAGTGTAGTTCCGTACCTGGAACAGAAACTTGCCATATCAGTGAACTTGATCACATGCAGAATAATAGTATAAAGCAAAAAAACAAGACAAAGGTGAACCCAGGAGTTCATTGTTTAGGAGAAGATGAATCCAGTTGAAAGCAAACCAATTCCACGTCCTCTCAACCGTCACCCCATTTCCTGGAATAATGTTGAGCCATTTCTTTTTCCTCTTTCCATTCCTCAATTTTAGTTCTTGCATAAACTAAGAATGAAACAATATTGTTCAGGAAATTATTGCTCAAACAACTTATACTTCAGGCTTTACATCGTCGCTTTTTCTTCCCAAACTATGCTGTAACCATTTACTAACATCAACTCCTAAAAAACTCACACGATTCTCAAAATTCAATTCCCATATTCAGCAAACTTTCACCTCCCTAATTTCATACCAAAGGGACAGAATTCTCCAAAAACCAGTCAAGAAAGTCAAGTGTGCTTGAAGGAGGGAGGAAGAGAGAGAGAGGGAGAGAGAGAGAGAGAGAGAGAGAGAGAGAGAAATATATTACCACAAAGTCCTGGTATTCAATAATGCTCCCTGCATAACCTCGACTTACAGTCACTTTCAGAACATACCTGTAGCATAAAAGATAAAAGAGAGCAATATAAGAAGCAACCATAACCTACAAGGTCTTATTCTACCTCTTTCAAGGCAATCTTTCTCAAACGTGAATTTACTCCCAACTTTAATCAATTCGCAAGTAAAGCAATTCATCTCCAGAGTAAATAAATAAAGAACATACCTCAGCCTTACATTCACCCCATTATACGTCTCATATGGCATTTCTACTGTGGAGAATTCAAAAGGATATGTTTTCCTTTCATATAATTCTCCAGGGACCTCCAGTTCACGTACTGCCAACAAGCAAGAAATCAAGTCATCCGAAAAGTTCGAACTACCAATGATTGTGCATTAAGAATTGGCATTCCAAACAAATTTCATGTCCTGTCATTTTTCATCAAGCTAATAACAAAGAATTCTTCGATTTCAAGCATGGTAGTAGAAATAGTGCAAGAGCATAGCTCATATGATTCGACTCAATCAATTGTTCCACCATGTCAGAGTGGCATGCAGTTATCAACCAAAGCGACTAGGAATCATTGTCAGGCTGTATTCCATATATCATTTAAAATTTCCATCCTGGAGTTCTAGCGTGAGTGTGCCATACACAAATGCAGGCACATCTTCTATACATGCAAGTAGTGCATTAAAGGGATGATCGCCCATTCATACATCACCAATGATTTGCTTAAGCCAAAATCATCAAAGTAGACAGAATGATTGACCTTTCATTTTACCAACTCAAAAGCAGAGACAAGAAGGTAAGAATGAGCCTGGATCTTGGAAGAACGTATGAAAAAAAAAAAAAAAGACTAGTACTCACCAAGAGAGGTAAAGTCATAAAAATTGCCTCTGTCAAAGTACATCTCTGCAAAGCAGCAAAAAATAAAAGAAAACTAGTTACCATCGGACAAGAGTAGAGAACATTATCAGACATAAAAAAACAAACGATGCACAGCTGACTGCTGAGAAAACGACTGTTGCCGATGTCACAAGACGCAGAACAAAGCCTTCTCCAATGATGTTTCATGATAAACACTCTTCTGCAAATTAACTAGTTATCATTATTGTTCTTTTTATAGTTGACGGTTAGCTCCAAGGTCTTGAACTTGTAACAGGTTAGATGTTTGCATCTGCATTACTGCTAGGTCAACCTCATGAGGCTATCTTTGTTTTCTTACTAGCATTGCATTAGATAACCAGCTCTATCAAAGCCCAGTAAAGGAAAGCAAGGCCAAAACCAAACATTCGAATAGCTTGAAAACACAATATTTTGGAATAGAACAAGAAATTTCAACTTCCAATTACACCCTATACTTTCTCAGCACCCCAAATCAGCAGTTTCTACAAAATGAAAGCAGCTGAAATGTTGTTAATGGCACTCATACACAGTATATTTTTCTTTTTAAAAGGAAAAAATCAAAACAATATCAAATCAAAACCAAATGTTATTTCAAGGCCTCCATGGCAAGGCAAGGCTTAGCAGATAATTTCAGCGGAAAATAAAGAACACCAGGAACTTAATTTCCACAGAGACAGGACTAGGAAGGCACCCTTAATCCTGTCCGTAGCACCTAGAGGCCACTAAAATAATTTAGTGGATAAAAGGTCCACAACAGCATCACCATCTATCAATCTAAGAATATCCTGTCCGTGATCATAATGTCAAAGAAGAATAACAATGACAAAGCAATCTCTTGTTTATCAATTTACAATCCCAGAAGAGTGCAAGCTAAAGAATATAGGACCCAAGGAAGATGCCCAAATTTCACATTATCTTACACCTATAATTATAAGGACAAAAATAAGGTGAAGTAACAAAACTCACCAATCTGACCAAGAAGCTCAACCTTAACACCATTGTGTTCGACCTTCTTCCCTTGAGGTGGTTCAATCACAACCTAAAACAATCCCAAATCCAAAAGCTCCTTGAGAATTCAGGTAACCAATCTTGCATTGGACCATGATAAGATGCAAAGCATAATGCTAAGAACAAAGTTAATGATAAGACACTTGTGCATGCACCTTGCCAGCAACACTTTCTTGGCTCTGAAAGAGTGGAATCATAATGGTTTGGCCATTCTCCTTCTTCACAGGAACCTATGCAAAAAAAAAAAAAAAAAAAAAGTAGATGGCAAATCAATCAAATGCAAGTTGCCTCCACCTCTTCAATCAGAATTATGCTCGTTTTCCTTCCATCATGAATCAAAACTATGTTTAAACTCCACTAACAGCACCAAGAAAGTAATTCATACCTGTTTCCGCATCTTCGCATCATTTAATGTGATTGATATATTACATGCGGGCTTGAAAGCTCCAATAATGTAATTCTGGGGGGCAAAAGGATGGACTATCAGTACAAGACTGGCAAACTGAAACACACCCAGATGACAAGTCTCACAATTGAGCACGGGACGCTTACCATGCTTTCTATCACAGTACAATGCCCGTTAAGAATCCCTAGTCGCCTGCAAAAGAAAAAGGGGGGAATAAGTGAAGGGGTCGAATATGGAAGTCAACTTCAACAGCTCTGATGGTAAAGGGTTTCTGAAATGCCGCGAAAAAGAAATCCCTAACACAACAATCTTCTTCGAACGGAAGCAATCGCTCCAAACGATCGATCAATTGGACGCAATCGCGGAGGCGATGATCAATTGGGAACACGAAATGCAGAAACCGTGAGTAGCAAGATTGAAATAAGAACTGCAGATCAAGTTCCGTACCTTGGAAGAACTGTGAGGGCAAAAGAACCCCGAAGACTGATCCGAACGAACTCGGGCCAGCGAGTGAGACTTTAGAGGTTTGACAACCGCGAGAATCGCGATTTTCTGCTTTTTTGTGTCTTGAAATTGGATGGGAGATACGCGGGAGAGGAGATACTGCAAGTAGCCGGGAAAGCGAACGAGAGCAACTTTTGATCTCGCCGATCAGGAAGTTGGTTCGTTCTTTAGAGGAACAGTTGGGGAGTTGGAAGATGAAAACTACTGTCCCGTCTTCACTGGTTCAAGGTCCAAATGGTAAATTAATTAGGGCCAATATTTCGGTCTGCGGTCCGGTTATAGGATATGACCGGTTCAACATAGAGAAAAAAATTAACGCCCGTCAATTTTGGTTCGGATGAGGTCAATTTTGGTTCAGATTAAATTTTTCTCTACTTTTAAGAGAATTCATAGAAATAAAACGAGATTTAAGAATTAATCGCATAATAATCTGATTAAGATGATCCACTATCAAGTTAGATATAGTTGTATGTCTAAAATACAACCGATAATTTACTTAATAAAATTGTGCGCGCATCACTAAACATATAAAATACAAAATCAATATAACAATGATAAGAGATACTTCCTATCAAATGAACATTTCAACATCGATTGGGTCCAATTTGTTCTTAGATCAACTCTATATGCACTCTAAATGAAATCATTAACCATCATAAACTTATATTACATCTCTAATTCAATGTGTAAATTGAATTTCGGTTTTTTATATCAAATAATAATCTACAAATATGATTAAACATATATGCCTAACAATAATCCTTTTTGAATGAGATTATTGCTTCTCTACACATGTAAATGAATTTTTTCAATTTAATGTAACCTATAATCCTTGGTTTTGCACGATTTTATGCAAAATCACGAATATACTAAGATTTCGCGCCACCTCCATCGATTCTCCCTTCCTTCTCCAGCGGGCCGGAGCCGCCGCCCAGTTCCGACGAAGGAACAGAGCTCTCCTCCTTCCGCCGGCTACCGATCCTCAACAGCCCGTACAATTTCCTGAACTCCCTCACCGTGTGGACGCTCTCCCTGCAAAACACTCCTCCTCCGTCATCCCCTGCTGCTGCTGCCGCCGTCGGCGGCAGAGCCGACGCTCTGCTCTCCCTCATCAACCGAACCGCCCGAGCGTCGCTCGCGGCGGCGTCGGCGGCCTGGAGAGCCGTGATCACCGATTTCAGCGCCCGGCTCGGCGACCCCCTGTTCGCGATCATGATTTCTCCGATCTCCGCAGGGCTCAAGCTAGCCCCCGACAAAAACACCTCCTCCACCTGCGGGAACAGCTTGTGTTCCTTCACCCCCAAGTAATTTCCGGCCAGGGTCTTGAACGCCGGGAAATCACAAAGGGGAAAATGGATCTGAACGTCGATTCTCCCCGGCCGCAGCACCGCCGGGTCGATTCCGTCCTTGGAAGTCATCGTGTAAACCATCACCCTCTCCTCACACCCAATCCCGTCCATAAACTTCAACAATCCGCTCAAACTCAAATTCCCCGATGAATTCGCCAGAAGCCGATCGAGATCCTCGATCACGACCACCGACCGGGGCGTCGTCTGCGAGAGGAGCGCGAGCAGATCCGAATCGCCCGCCAATTTCGAAAAATCGATTTCGTAAACGTCAAAACAGAGGAACCTCGCCATGGCGGCGACGAAGCTCGATTTCCCCGTCCCCGGTGGGCCGTGGAGGAGGTAGCTCCTTTTCCAGGCGCGGCCGAGGCGGTGGTAGTACTGCTTCGATTTCAAAAACAATTCGAGGTCGGATTTTACTTTCCCCTTCAGATCCGCGTCCATCACCACCGTCTCCATCGTGGCAGGGTGCGCGAACGGAACCACCCTCCACGGGGATTCGGCCGCGGCGGAGGGGACGAAGTGGTTGGTGAATGATTTGATCTCCCTGCCGACGTCCTCGGAGACGGAGAGGATGTGCTGGAGGTAGGGGCGGAGGATCCGCCGCTTGTCCTTCTTGCGGAGGCAGAGGACGAATTTGCAGCCGGAGGCAGGGGAAGAAGCAGGGTGGTTGGACCAGGAGAGCGGGGCGGAGAGGAATCTGTCGGCGATGACGTGGCGGTTGGGGTCCGGGGAGAGGATGATGTCGTGGGAAGGGTTGGAGCCGGAGAGGAGGTTGGTGGCGGCGGAGGAATCGGAGTGTTGGAGGGAGGAGAGGTAGGCGGCGACTTTGGAGTAGAGCGGATTTGGGAGGAGGGTTGTTGGGTCGAATTGGGGGACGGTGTAGGCTTGGTGGAGGTGGAGACGGTCGGCGATTGCGCGGCAGGATTCGATGACGATGTGGCGGATTGATGTGGTGGCGAGGAATCGGAGGAGGAGGAAGGTGGGGAGTAGGATTGCGACGCCGGCGAGCAGAGTATGCATGGCGCCGGCGATGGATGGGGAGGGAAAACTTGTGAGAGAGGTTGGTGGGGGGAAGAAACTGGGTTGTGATGAAATTTTCTGGTATTGTGATGGTTTTTTGGTTTATGAATGGAAGAGGAGAAGGAAGAGGAGGAGGAGTCAATTCCGGCCGGCGGGAAGTTTCAGTTTATTATATTGGAGAGGAATTGCCATGCAGCGGCGGTCAACCAGGCGCCAGGCAACAATTGGGAAATTTGTCGGCGACGATTCATATGTTTACGCGTGAAAGTAATCATTCAGCGAATTAGCGGGCTAAACCCGGGTTTAATTTGGTAAACCTAATCGCTGATATTTTATGGTCTAAACATTTTAAAATTTTGATTTCCTAGGTTTTTTATAAAATTTAGTGACCGTAATTGTTGACATCTAATGGAAAAAAACCATCCGACCAATCTATATACGAAATCTTTACATTTGTTAGAAAATTAAGATCTTTTAGATTTTATAAATTTGTCAAAAAATTATACCATAGAATTTTATGTTTTAAACCACTGTCATTACTATGTGGTGTTTGAATTAGTAAATTTTGGGTTATGGAATTTCTTCTTTTAGTATTTGTTGGTATCAAACAAATACATGAATCTAGGGTAAAGAGCAAGACAAACGATCCTTCAATTACAGGCGGCCAAAGGATTTTTTTATTTTTTATAAGAATAGTGGCATTAACATAAAATAACTACGTTTCCGACTCGTTTATGTATGGCCATGACAGGCTTGAGGTTGTCACGTAAGTTGGATTTATTGTCATAACTTTTAGTGAAAAAAAGGACATTTGTAGGCACATACTTATTTTAACCATCTTAAATATCTTGTATTCACATACATATTTTGAGTGTTTTTCCCCCCCACAAAATCTAATCAATCTAATTAGCAAATTAAGCAGTTATATTAATCAAACACCCTTCTCTAGCACTATTATTGCATCAAAACTCTAGTATAAAACACCATATGTATAGTTGCAAACCCATCCTTGTTGCTTGGGAGACTGCGGGTTTCTTCGGAATAGCAAATCACTTTATTTTGTGATTGTTAGACACTCGTTAAAACTCTTTTGGATCGTACAACGTGCGAGTCGGGGGAAGAATGCTACCATCGAATCTCATCAATACACGAAATTCTCTCAACTCATCGATCGATTCATTGTCTTTCTTTACTCTCTTCCCGTTCCTCAATGAGGCAATGTATGAACTCAGGAGCCTAAATAATATGTGTTTTTTTTTTCAAGCCTTAGGAAATTGAATTGTTTGGCAGTAGCGATGACAAGGAATCGAGTCAAAAGCGAATACTGCATATTCATTATCCTATCCCAAAACTATCCCGATTTCAATCCCTTTCATACCACACAACAATGGGGTAGGGTATAAAGACCATACTCATACTCGATCGAGTTTTGGGTATCCACAGTTATATCCCATGTGTAATAATTATATTTATAATTTTAACCAACATGTTAAGAATTACACGTATACTCACATTGCATAAGTGAAAAAGGTACAACAATAAATTACAAGAGAGAAAAATTAGTAAAAAAACAACACATTTTCGGACAGGTTAAGAAAATAATGATAAATCGTAAACGAAATAAATATCCATCTATATAATCGAACAAGTTGAGGTTGGATAATAAGAAAATTATGTCCACCTATCAGCCTCAATATTCGACTTCGAGTCCTATACCCATTAAAAATCCTCTGAGTTCAAACTAAATCATACATGATTAGATCGAATTCGGACAGATATTATGATCCTATTTGACATCACTACTAAAAATATGTTTTTAATGGAGACCTATACATGAAGTGTAGCTTATAATAAGTTTGGTGGAGGAAGAGTGTTGCTACCCGGTCCATATCAACAATGTCATATTTGACACACTTGACCACTTACCTAACTTGGAATTGAATAAACAAATCAAAATTCAAACCCCAAGAAAGTTGTGTTTGTGTTGTTTTAGTCTTCAAGCTTGCATGGATGGTTACGGCGCATGCCGAGTTATCGTCCTCGGCTCCCATAGTCGCTAAATGGTTCGAGAAGTCATTCAACTTTGAGTGAAATGACATAATCAAAATGATTTGGTGGAGCATGTTGATCAACAATGGTAACTTGATCCACTCATAGCAAGTAAGGTTAAATCTCACGAAGTATTAGGGTTTGTTAGTGTTTGAGTCTAACTGAGAGTAGGAGGGAGACTCAGGTAAAGAGGGGGTGAGAAGAGTAAGCAATGGGATGATCATGACAGAGAGAAAGTTCTTTGATATAGAGTGAGAGAGTTAAAAATGCGATCTCCTCGCCCACCAGAGTAAATGCCTTATTATATAGGCTACATGGTGGTGGGTGAGTATTTAATGCGACATGACCACTGACTTGTCAGGCGTCTAGACCATACATCTACCCGAAGCTAGACACTCTTCCCCATGATTATACCTAGTACTAGGATGTGACCACTTTACAGGGGATACGGCGTCGTTTTCTGACTTCTTAATCCAACCTGAGTTTTGAGTGAGACGGTGTTGTTTGGGACCTTGGTTACTGTGGCGTCCTCCTCCCTCACGGATGTAGTTCCGCGAGGGCGGTCTTCTTCACGGACGCGCGTGGTCTTCTTCTCGGACGTGGTCTCTCCGCGCGCGTTGCTGTAAGGCTTGGGCGTGGTGGCGTTAGCACGCTCGGCTCCTCTGGGATAGTTCAAGTGTCGACTCTTTGGCGCGCCTAGACCCGAGCCACACCCCCAACAATTAGGAATTGAGTTTTTTTTTTACGAGAGATGGAGAAATTGATCGACTGGATTTCGAGTCTCTCTTTCGATTTTTGTTGAGATTTGAATGCAAGCGGAAGCCAACTTGACGATCCTGTTGATCTAGTTTAGTATTCGCGTAACTAGAATCATGTCGAGTAATGTGACATGATGATATATGAATATTACCATATGTTAAGCAGATGTATTAATCGCATATGTGGGGTTTCCTATTGAATTTCACCTTGATTCGAAAAGGATCTCATGAATTTATTTAATTTGTTTTGTTTTCTAATAAAAATAATAATTAACAAAAAAATAATAATTCAAAATTTTTTATAGCAAAAATAATTTCAAAATTCAAAGTTTTTATTTCAGGTTTGCTGACGTGGCAAGTGACCCAGTGTTTGACTAACGGTCAATGGAGTTGACCGTCCAATTTGACGGTCAAAACCCGCGTCGGGCCAAACAAGGAAGTATGATGCATAGTTCGGGCCAGATGATCGAGAAATCTCAGAAACCACGAATCAAAGTAGAAAATTTGACTATAATTCGGGCCAAAACAAGGTATTAAGCCAAAATATTTTCGTTAACAAAAAAATCGTTTTAGTAGTGATTAGCTGAGATTAAAGAAGATGTTTTCATTAACCAAAAAACAAACAATTTGTAATGATGAATGCTCTCCAACAGTTTTTCATACCATAAATGTCATAATTCTCTTATATTTTCCTCATTAAATTTGGACGACTTATTACTCAGACAAATTACTCAAATTTATCTTGAGTGATGTAGCAATAAACAAATTTTGTTTGGCATCCAATCCAACCCAATCACCCAGGACTTACCCTCAAACCAAACCTTCAACTCCAACCTGCCGGTCCAACCAACTCCCAACCCTACAGTCCCCGCCAACATTCTATTTTCTTCCCCTTCCCGTCTGCAAGCACGAGGAATCAAGGTGCCAAAACAGTGCCCAATTGAACAAACTTCTCGTACTTCAGATTCATCGTCCGCCGCCGGTGATACTGCTTTCTCCGGAGCCTGCTTACCGAAGGAGTCAACGCATCGCAAATTCAGACTCCACAAGTCGAAATTAACTGTGGGGGAGCAAAAATATGGGGTCTCAAGGGCAACGTGGAAGTGGGAGCAAGCCGCGAATCGGGAGGTACGAGCTCGGAAAGCTGCTTGGGTTGGGAACTTTAGCAAAGGTCAGGTTTGCCAGGAATACCGAGACCGGGGAGAATGTTGCCATCAAGATTATTGACAAGGAAAAGGTTCTCAAACGTCAGATGATCACTCAGATTAAGCGAGAAATAGTGACCATGAAGCATCTGCGACACCCAAATGTCATCCGTACGGACGAGGTTAGAAATTAGAGCCCTTGTTTACCCTTTTTTTCTGGTGTTAGTTCAGAGAGCCCTTTTTTTTACTCTTGAGTTCAGAGAGCCCTTTTTTTTACTCTTGTTCTGTTTGTTAGTTCAGAAGGTGTTTTGTTTGGTGGAAGGGGGGCCATTGGATTGAAACTTGATTGGATTTCTGCAATTTCTGGTCTAGTTATCTTTCTCATGCTGTTAAACTCGAAAGAGAATCAATCTCGTGTAGCATTTTCTTTGATATCTTCATGAACTTGATTGGTTTCTTCACCTCTATCCTTCTTTTTGAAAAGTTCTTAATCTTTCTCTGCTAATGTGCTGCAGCTCTTCTGTTTCAGGTGATGACATGCAAGACAAGGATATACATAGTCATGGAATACGCCGCTCGTGGTGAACTTTTCGACGAAATTGTAGTAAGTATGGTCTTGACTTTGCTTTGCCCAAACACTGTGAACATGGACTCACGAACAAGGCTTAGTCTAGTGATAATAATACTAATATCATTAGTCTTGAACTTGGAGGTCTCATGTTGGAATCCCTTAAGTAGTATCTAAACAATAAAAATTAAACCTATATCACCCTTATAAAAAAAGAGAACATGGACTCAACACATTGTTTTCTTGTTTGATTTCTTAACATCAGGCAGAAGGGAGGCTGGGAGAAGATGCAGGAAGGAAGTATTTTCAGCAGCTTGTAAGTGCAGTCGATTATTGCCACAGTAGAGGTGTATATCATCGGGACCTAAAGGTACTAGTCCTTTTTTATTTCCTTCATCAGGATGTGTTGTATATTTTTTGCTTCAAGTTTCTGATGAATCTATGATGAGTATGTTATTCCAGCCTGAGAATTTGCTTCTAGATGCTTCTCGAGTACTTAAAGTTTCGGGCTTTGGATTTAGTGCATTGCCACAACAAGTTAGCGTGAGTAATGATGGGTTCATGTTCAAGTTGTTCTGAATTTACTCATTCAATCATTTTCTAGCACGAAGCTGCAAATTTCTCAGAACTTATATGTTTCTTCTTCGTCCTCTAGGGAGATGGGTTACTTCACACAACATGTGGCACCCCAGCGTATGTTGCTCCAGAGGTACTTTGGTTCGGTTGCATTTCTTAGTGCACAATGCTTTTCGCGTTCACTAATTGTGCATTTCTCCAGGTAATCCTCAAGAAAGGTTACGATGGAGCCAAGGCAGATGTATGGTCTTGTGGTGTGATTCTTTTTCTCTTGTTGGCTGGCTACCTTCCTTTTCATGATTCTAACTTGATGGCAATGACCAAACAGGTTTGTTTTCTTTCTTTCCAGCGCAAACCATCGGGTGCATACATATGGTGTACTTTTGTTTGATAAGGATGATTTATCAACACATGTCAAGTGAGACCACTCTGGCTTGGTGTAAATTGATATTCAGTTCGAGAGTCTTACTAACTGTTAAAATCTTGTAAATTGGAAGCAGTCATCATTTGTCCGTGTTGTTACCTGATAATATCTGATTGCAGATTACTAAAGCTGATGTTAAATGTCCCCCTTGGTTCTCCAGTAGTGTAAAGGAACTGGTTAAAAGGATATTGGATCCCACTCCAGCTACGGTATGACGTCTTTGATTTCTGTTGGCTCCCTTGTTGATATTCATTGCACCAGGTTTTGTGTATTTACTTCATCTACTTATGATAATGAAACAGAGAATCAGTATTGCTGAGATTATTGAAAGCGAGTGGTTTAAGAAAGATTATAAGCCACCTGTTTTTGAGCATGCTGATTTTAGTCTTGATGATGTGGACTCCTTCTTCAATGATTCAGCAGTAAGGTTCTTATGTTCTTCACCCTTCACCCTCCACCATGCGGGCATGGTCGTATATCACATTTTGCAAAGTTGAAATTTATATTTCTGTTAATGGACAGGACACCCGGAAGTTTGTTGTGGCTCCTATGAATCCTTCCGAACTGGTGTCGACATCTCAGACTCAGAGTCTCAACATCAGTAGTCCATTCAAGAAGCAGATGGTATGTTTTAATAGGCTCTGCTCATACATTATCATGACGAAACACACCCCTTAAGTTTAAGTCTTATCAAACCTTAATGTTACTCCTTTCTCTGTGTTCTTGACAATGTGCATGTTTCTGTTTGTCTCTAGATATATATATGTCCGCAGTCCGCTTGCTTAGTAATTAGCCATATGCTTAAGATGATATGCCTGCTTTGCTAAGATCTTTTGTCCTTGGTAGCTTCATCAGCTATGAGTTGATCCCATTGTTGGGTAATCATAATGCCACCAGCATATAGATTTTGGGTGTTGTTTAGGTCCTTTTTGGTAATAGCTTGGAGCAGAATCAAACTTATTCTTCCTTTCGTAATTAGGGACTTGGTAAAAGTGAAATTGGATTTGGATCGAAAAGAACCGCTAATGACATAAATAACATAATGTCACAAATTGAAGCAGCAGCAACATCATTGCGTTTAGTCGTGAAGAAGAATGACTTGAAGGTTCAATACTCTCTCTCTCTCTCTCTCTCTCTCTCTCTCTCTCTCTCTTAAGGAATTTCCTAAAGAAGTGGGTATTTTCCAAAATTTTAACGGCTCTTCTGTTCTATAACTAGATGACTCTTCAAGGAGAGGAGACAGGACCTAAAGGTCACTTGTCAATTACTGCTGAAGTAAGTTCAGGCACTTTCTTAGCACTGTCAAAAATGTTCTGTTCTTTGATCCGACTTCAGTTTTATGAGGGCACTGACCCATGTCTTCCTTTCAGATCTTTGAGGTGGCTCCTTCTCAATTCACGATTGAGCTTCGCAAGTCTGGTGGTGACGCCCTGCAATTCCACAAGGTATTTGATCACGTTTCGTTCGCATGAGATTTGTTGTCAACTCGACAAGAGGACGGGCACTTAGCTTGTTGCTAAACCATCTGGACAAAACTAATATCAGCATTTCTTCAATAACTTCTCCAAATGTTTGATGTGGTATCATCTCGTCCTTATTCCAATTGGTGAAATACGCGCAGCTGCTCTGACAACCTCAGTCGGAGTTTCGATGTTGCTTGAAAGTTGCAGTCGGTCGGTCAACCATATATATTCCAGTGCTGGTATTGGCGGCTTGATTATTGACTTTGTTCATTGTTGTTTGTGGTGCAGTTTTACAAGGGCATCTCGACTGGACTGAAGGATGTTGTTTGGAAAACAGTGGATGAAGGAAAGGAAGAAGGGAACGTAAAGGTCGGATGATGCAGGAGAATCATGGAGGAGCTATGCCTTTTCCAGAGTAAAGGGTGAACTGCAGTGAATTGGTTCATGTTGGTGAAGTACATAATATTAGCAAAACGCTCGTGTATTGATGAATTAGCAAAATATATACCACCCCTCCTAATATACAATTATACACTTTCTTAATATAGATTTCCCATGTGATATACAATTTTTATTTGTGATATATAATATTTAATAAGATGAATCAGATAATAAAAACATAATGCTATCATGTTATCAATTTTTTTTTTTTACATTCGTGTTCTTTTCACTTTATCGATAGAATTAATATGAGATCTAAAGTTCAGTGAATTAAGAGTAAGTCTCATATTAGAAAGACAAAATTTTATGGTCATTAATTAATGACATCGATAGCAAAAACTATTAACAAACCCATAATAATTTGATTATAATTTTATTGCGTTACACGATTAATAAATATAATAATAATAATTCGGCCAAGTGCCTGAAATAAAACTAGTCTTTCTGAACGAATCATTAATAATTTGCGTATTGTATTATTGGTTGATTAATAATAACAACAAACTAGTATCTTAACAAGTCAATAATAATTTGCTTATAATGTTATTGTGCAATTAATAATAATAGCAAACTAGTCTCTTAACAAATAACAAGTCAATAAATAATTTACATATAATGTTAATGTGTTAGACAATTAATAATAGTTATATAAGAATCCGGCCAAGGGTTCGGCCGACCGGCCCAACCAAACCAACTCCTCACCCTTCCCCTGTTCCCCTTACCGTCCCTCCCCGCCAATATTTCCCCCTTCCAGCTCCAGGTTCCAATTCAGACAGTGTCCGATCAATGAAATGAAGCAAATTATCAGGGCTACAAATTAAGCGAACTTCTCGTACCTCAGATTCACCCTTCCCGGCCGCCGGGAAGTTGGTGGCCGGATCTGCTACTTCTTTTCTTTGTCCGGAGTCTGCTTACAGAAGAGGAGTCAACGCATCGCAGAATTCAAATTTCACAAGTCAGAAAATTAGCAGCGGGGAGCAAAAATATGGGGTCTCAAGGGCAACGTCGAAGCGGGAGCAAGACGCGCGTCGGAAGGTACGAGCTCGGGAAGACGCTTGGGATGGGTGCCTTCTCAAAGGTCAAGTTTGCCAGGAATACCGAGACAGGAGAGAATGTCGCCATCAAGATTATTGACAAGGACGTGGTCCTCAAACGGCGGATGATCTCTCAGGTTAAGCGAGAAATCGCGATTATGAAGCATGGTCGACACCCATATGTTATCCGTATGCACGAGGTTAGAAATTAGAGCCCTTTACTCTTGTTTCTGGTGTTGGTACAGAAAGTTGTGGAAGGGACCATTGGATTTGAATTCTGCAACTTCTGGGTCTAGTTATTCTACTCATGCTGTTAAGATCTTTCATCTCTATTCTTCTGTTTTGAAAAATGCTTCATCTTTCTCTGATAATGTGTTGTAGCTCTTCTGTTTCAGGTGATGGCAAGCAAGACGAGGATATACATAGTCATGGAATACGCAGCTGGCGGTGAACTTTTCGACAAACTTGTACTACATATAATCTTGACTTTGCTTCTCAAATTACGGCAAGATGAATAAGAACCCAACAATTTCTGTTCTTGTTTGATTTCTAACCATCAGGTAAAAGGGAAGCTGAGAGAAGTTGCAGCAAGGAAGTATTTTCAGCAGCTTGTAAGTGCGGTTGATTTTTGCCACAGTAGAGGTGTATATCATCGGGACCTAAAGGTACTGGAGTCCTTTTCCCCTCAGGACATGTTGTATGTTTTCTGCTTCAAAGTTCCTTGCAAATCTTTTCTTGGTGATTGCTTTATTCATTTGTCGTTCATCAGCCTGATAATCTACTTCTAGATGCTTCTCAAGTACTTAAAGTTTCCGGATTTGGATGGAGTGCATTGCCTCAGCAAGTCAGTGTGAGTAATGATGAGATCTTGGTCAAGATGTTTAGAATTCGCTCGGTCATTCATTTTCTAGCATGAAGCTGCAAACTTTCTGCACTTACAGCTTTCTTCTTCGTGCTCTAGGGAGACGGGTTACTTCACACAACATGTGGCAGCCCAAATTATATTGCTCCAGAGGTACTTTAGATTCCTTGCATTCATATTCATTTCTTAGCTAATAGTTGCTTTGTTCTTGTTCCCTAAATTTGACACTTCTCCAGGTACTCCACAACAAAGGTTATGACGGAGCCAAGGCTGATGTATGGTCCTGTGGTGTAATTCTTTTTGTCTTGTTGGCTGGCTACCTGCCTTTTGATAGTAATAACATAGCGGTACTGTACAAAAAGGTTGGTTTTCTTTCTTTCCTGCACAAACTAACAGATGCGTGTATATGGTGTGCTTTTGTGTAACACAGGTTCACTGAGAGCACTCTGGTTTGCTGTAAATAGATATACAATTTCAGTGTCTCACTAACACTCTTACGAGCTGTTACTTCGGAAGCAATCATCCTTCTTCCATGTTTTTACGTGATAATTTCTGATTGCAGATTGTTACAGCTGATTATACAAGTCCCCATTGGTTCTCCAATAGTGTAACGGAACTAATTAAAAGGATATTGGATCCCAATGCATCTACGGTATGGCATCTTTTATTTCTGTTGGCTCCCTTGTTTGTATTCATTGTTGCTGCAGATTTAGTGCATTTACGCTATTTTCTTCTCATGATGAAACAGCGAATCAGTACTGCTGAGATTATTGAAAATGAGTGGTTTCAGAAAGACTACGAGCCACCTGTTTTTGAACTAGCTGATTTTGGTCTTGATGATGTGGACTCCTTCTTCAATGATTCATCAGTAAGGTTCTTCACCTTCCCCCATGCGGGCATGGTCATCTATCACATTTTGCAAAGTTGAAATTGATATTTCTGTTAATGAACAGGACACTCGGAATTTTGTTGTGGCTCCTATGAATCCTTCAGAACTGATTTCTACATCTCAAAGTCTTGACCTCAGTAGTCCATTCGAGAAGCAGATGGTATGTTTTAATAGGCGCGCCTCATATATATTGTCATGAACAGGCAGATCCCTTAAGTTTAAGGCTTATAAAAAACCTAACTGTTGCTCCTTTCTCTGTGTTCTTGACAATGTGCACATTTCCGTTTTTCTAGATCTGCAGATATATGTCTGCTCAACTAGTAATTAGCCGCATACTTCAGATGTTGATGCCTGTTTTGGTAAAATAATTGTCCTTGGTAGCTTCGTCGGCTTTGAGTTGATCTCATTGTTGGCAATCATAATGTAGGCAGCATATAGATTTTGGGTGTTGCTTAGATCGGTTTTAGGTTGTTGGTTAATAGCTTGGAACAGAATCAAACTTAGTCTTCCTTTTGCTATCAGGAACTTGGTAAACGTGAAACTGGATTTGCATCGAAAAGATCCGCTAATGACATAATGACACAAATTGAAGCAGCAGCAACATCTTTGCATTTTGAAGTGAAGAAGAATAACTTGAAGGTTCAGTATTCTCTCTCTTTCTGTCTCTAAAGGAATTTCCATAAGAAGTGGGTATTTTCCAAAAGTTTAATGGCTCTTCCGTTCTACAACCTAGATGACTCTTCAAGGAGAGAAGACAGGACCTAAATGCCACCTTTCAATTGCAGCTGAAGTAAGTTCAAGCATTTTTCCAGCACTGTCAAAATGTTCTGTTCTTGTATCCGACTTCAGTTGTATGAGGGCATTGACCCATGTCTTCCATTCAGATCTTTGAGGTGGCTCCTTCTCAATACACGGTCGAGCTTTGCAAGTCTGGTGGTGACGCCCTGAAATTCCACAAGGTATTTGATTGTGTCTCGTTCGCACAATAGCATACTAATTCCACCGATTTGAACCTTCAGCATTTTTTTTTCTGGCCATCTGGACAAACTAGTACCAGCTTTTCGTCAATAGTACTTCAAATGTTTTATGAAAGACGTGGGTGATCTGAGTTCCCTTGACACCCTCAGTTGGAGTTGGATGTTGCTTAAAAATTGCAGTCGGTCAGCACATTTTCAGTACACGTATTGACGACTTGGTGCTAACATTGTTCATCGTTGCTCGCAATGCAGTTCTACAGGAGCGTCTCGACTGGACTGAAGGATGTTGTTTGGAAAACAGTGGATGAAGAGAAGGAAGAAGGGAACGTGAAGGTTGGAAGCACAAGTTGAAAAGGTGTGCCGGGGTATGCAATGTGACAGCACTCCCCCTTTCCTCTGCAAGTGTGGATACTACCCAAAGCAAGAAATGTGAAACTGCAAGAGTTTGTGGTTTAGTTTGGACGTTGGATGGGGAAGTATGATGCTCATATTTGAGGGTAGAAGGCACCAAAGGCCACGCTCGCCGACGAAGAAGGCAGGACGACGTCGATGTTCCAGAGTCAGGCACTCTCCCTAGGAAGAAGTTAATACAAAAAAAGTTAATATAGGTAGAAACACTTCGTGTTGTGGGACTATGAATTAATTAGCAACAAAACCACTAATTTATTTGGCCATTTGAACATAATTGCCATTAGATATTGTGCATTATGCTTAATAGTATCTAATACAAGCTTTTATATATGAAAGGTTTATGCCACATTTGTTCATTGAGATTACTAAATCGAGTTATATTTAGTCACTAAAAAAATTTAATATCAATTTTGGTCACTTGAATTATTGGAACAGGTCCTCGTTAGTTTCCTTCCAACTCCATTAATGGTATAACAATGAACTGCATCACTCACCAGCACGAACTCAATGCAGGCCGACTCCACAATGAACTGTAAAATCCATTTTCCGAATCATACCAACCATTAGATTGAACCGAATCAGCGAAGGATACGCTACACTGCAAAATGGGATAACAATGGCTGGAATCCTGGCATATATAATATAGCTTCTATTCTTACACGTGAACATGTAATACAACCATAAGAAAGAAAGATTCTAACTTCTACAGAGGCTACGATCACCCGCCTCATATAACCTGACCGGTCAGTTGCATCATTGTTACCAGTTGACAGGACAAAATTTCCCAACATGGTCTCGAAAGCTTAGGCGTAACGGTGGACAATAATGTTACTAATGTTCCTCATTCACCTCGTCCCGAGAATCTGGTTGAAGATTCAAGATTTGGGAAACTACAAGCTTAGACAGCTGATTTATTGTGGCGTGAACATGGTCATCGTCGTCCGAAGACTGCCGGGGCCACCCGGGAGATTGAGAGCTTGACCTGTTGTACTCAGTTGCAGCTACTCCAGTCCTTTTCGATGTAGCCAGAACTTTCTCCAGGTCTGTCTGGGTCATTGGACGTGGTTCCTGGATTAAGGAGGAACGTAAGAAATCTTAGTGAAGACACTTCTTGTTTATCAAGAGAAGAAAAAAGAAGTATCAGCAAGCATGTAGAACAGCCGGCCAGCACGACACTTATTCAATTTGGCAAAACCAACCAAAAAAAAAAAAAAATTACAACAAAGGATAGATTATCAAAAGCATTATACTCACTTGATGTTTCTTGCCCTTCTTCTCCTGATCCAGTAGGTCCTTAATAGGAAGATAAGCAGCCTTCTTGCAGAGTTCAAAAAGATCAGAACCTGTGTAACCATCACAAAGACTTGCTATATAGTTGAAGTCGATGTTACGTTCAACGCACTCGCCCTTCAAAATCACCTTCAATATATCAGCCCTCTCCCTGCGGTCTGGCATTCCAATCTCAAAGGCCTGTGGAAGGCGTCGAAGTATTGCCTCATCGAGTTCAGATGGACGATTAGTAGCAGCTAGCACCATCACTCTTGCATTCTCTGCATGATATTTTAAACCCATAAAATTAGCAGGATAAGCTCATCCAAGTATGGTAATCTCTAATCTTCTAGTTTAATTAATAATATATCACCTTATTAAAAAAAAGCTCATCTAAGTACCAGCAAAAGATTGAAACAATCATAATTGAAAAAAATCAATAGAAGCAACTCACGGTCTGTTGTGAAACCATCCCACAAAGCCATGAACTCAGTCTTCATATTTGCCATTGCTTCTTGATCTGTAGAACGCCGCTGTCCCAGAAAGCTGTCGACCTCATCAATGAATATGATCGCTGGCTGGAGTTTATAAGCAAGGCTAAACACAGCAGCAACTACAACAGAAATATTTATTTTTTTTGTCTCAGTTCGAGCGACCACTCAAGGGTTTAAGGACCAATAAAAGCAGCTAATATTGCACACATGCAACCATGGATATGCAAGGTGCATTAGAACTAGAAGCACCAGACTTACAAACTCACCAAGCTTTTGAGCATCACCAAACCACTTGCTCATCAGATTTGAAACCCTAACATTGATGAAAACAGCACCAGATTCTTTTGCAATAGCTTTAGCAAGCATCGTCTTTCCTGTACCTGGAGGTCCATACAACAAGACCCCCTTCTGAGGACCCAGAAGCTTCCCATGTGAAAAAAGTTCAGGTCTCCGGAGTGGAAGAATGACAAGTTCATATAATGCTTCTTTGATGTTGTGTAATCCGCCAATAGAATTGAATTCCACATCAATGCGATCAGGATTTATAACATCACAAGCTATCACATCCTGTCAAAATATCAGAGATAGAAGGAAATCAGATTCATGAAGCTTTCAATCCCGCCCTGTTTCCGGAAAGAGAGAGCCATAAACAATTCCAAATCAAGCAAGGTGACATTCTTAAAGCTGGAATTATCCGAGCACTAGTTACAAGATTTGCAGCATCCAGTAATCGTTGGCAGTAATGATGCTAAATGTTGACAAATACCTAACAGCAATTCAGGCTAGGATGTTTTCACATCGACTCAAATTCTTGAGCGTAGATGACCTTTATCCTAAATTCTAGCATAAAAGACAGAACTTTAAAGACTGATGCACACCAACGAATCAGTGACATCAAATTATAGTAGTCAATTGGGGAACATTCAAATTGATTTCCAAATCTATCCCTTAAATAGTAAATCATTCAATTTCTATTGAAGTTCCCAACATCTCCAAGAGAAGCATACAACTCAACAAATTGTTCGAAATAAAAGCAAGCAAGAACCATTCATCTCCTAAATGGTCTTCCCATGGCAAAGCAGTTATCCTACGAGGCATTCTGGAAACCTACTCCGTGCTTCCAAATTTCCATTTCAGAACCCCACAAATTAAGGAGAGCTGGGAGAATTCAGAAGAGCCCAAAAGAACAGCAGATAAGGCAAGACCAAACAAACTCACAAGTCGCCACTAACAACACCATAGCTACCTTAATAATCCAGAAACAAACAAACAAACAAAACCCAGCAGTAATATGCAACCAGAAGAAAAATTAAGAACAAACAGCGAGATTATAAGGGAGATGGAGGGGAGCCTTACCTCGTAAGGATTGGTCTGTATAAGAGGACGACCCAAGCGCTTGGCGATTTCCTTCTTCTGTTCAACGGCTTTCTTCGTAGCCTCCCTATTTGGGTCGAGATGGCGGAGCCCAACGAACAGGACAAGACAGCTTAAGGCCGCGCTCGCTGCGTATAGCAGCAGCTCCTGCAAGACCTTGGTCTCCGATGAACTACCCATTGACGGGGAACCCAAAAAAAGAACAACCACCGGGTCAAAATCCACCCCTTTCCCCCTCTTAGCCGTACGAAAGAGGGAAAATTTCTAGGGTTCTGAAACTATAATGAACTTGGTTGCAGGAATTGGTTTGGAAGGATGAGGATAGGGAAGGTGTTGGGTTTTTGGGTAATTTGATTGTTTCTGAAATTCGTTCATCTTGGGGAGTAAGAAACCAGAAACGGGGAGATGGGGGAAGGAAATTTGTTCCTTCTGGTATTTGCCTTCCTTTCCACTCCCCGAAATTGGGCCGGTCAGTTCGCTGGCCCATTTTGTCTTGTTCTGGGCCTGACTTAACCTTCCTTCTTTCGAAATTCGTTTCAGGCCGAACTGCGGTGGGGTTTACTTTTGGGCCCTACCTATCGGGGCCCAAGGAACTAAAGACACGAGTAGAAGAGAGGCTAAATAAAGAAATTGACTCGGGGAAATTGTCACAATACAACTTTGTTTTCTTGTTTTGGCATTGCACATGTCTTAATATTTAGATATTCTATACCATCATGGTGGAGTCATGGACTTCTCGGGTTTGGAACCACGATATGTTGGTGGTTTTTCAGAGAAGATATTGATGGATATTGATGAAGCGTCGTACTTCGAACTTTTTTAAAGTGTCAACTAACGGTCAAACGAACGTAAAGTTGACGATTTTGATATTAGATTGTTTTCGAAAAGATTTGACTATTATATTGTTTAAAATGAAAAGTTTGGATATTAAATTGTATTTACCCTAAATTTAAGGTATTGAGTTCGATTTTCGTATAACACGTGTATCGTTTTAAATGAAGACACCAAAAATAAAAGTAATAAACGTCTTCTAGTTAATACAATACAAATCATCTTGTTTTGTGATTTCATCAATGTGCATAAATTGGACCAAAATCCAAAGCAAAACAAACAAGAAGATGAAAAGACCACGACCATACCGATTCTCGTTTGCTTACTTACGCAATTGCTCAACTCGCTTCCTTTTGCCTGGACTGATGGCTATGTGAACAAAGGGGGATCTGGGTGGCGTTTGAGTTTTGATATTCTGATTCTTTAGAGGTGAGATGGAGAAGAAGAACTTAAGCAAAAGGAATCGCTTCGGATGTTTTAAAGCAAAAAAAGTAATCTTTTTTACCTTTCCCATTTATTAATAGGGAAAAAAAATCCATAATTCTCGAATGGCCAAAATGAAAACAAAATGTTATCAAATGTCGTAATCTCATCATTCTCATCTTTGCTATTTTGTGCATGTCCCCTTCGAATCCGTTCTCTATTTTCTCCATCTCTCTTTTGGGGAATAGTGCTCAGTTCAAGTTCCAGCCACACGTTCATCATCACAACCACTGAAATGGGCAAAAACGTCGACAATTTGAGCACTAAAAGGATTCGATTTCTGTCATCGAGAATGGGAGATGGAGCCACTCTGTTTTTCTTCCTTTTGCTTGGCAGAGCATCAGTTACATCACTCTCACGTTTCCATATTCCAAAACGCCCATCGCGCAATTATGCGTTGTGGGTTTTTCTGTCCCGGCCATCGATGGTTGGAAATCCGCCATAGCCGATGGTGCAGATAGCAGGAATTAGAGTACGAAGGAGAAGGAGTCAACGAAAGAGGAGGAGAGAGGGAGAGTTGCCAGGTGGGCAGATTCAGCGCCAGCCATAGTTGGCAATTGTCCATTGAATTTTCCCATTTAGCGTGTAGTACTACTACTAAGCTAGTACCGCATTTTTTACACTGTCCGTTAAGTTTTGGCTACTCTTCTGTACTGCTAAACAACTTTTGCAGTACAACGTTGATGGTCACTGATCTGCTTTTCTGGGCTGTGGCCGCTTAATGCTTTGCTTTGGTGGGTTGGTTGGAAATCGACGTTTTGACAATCGCCCCCCTTCTTCCCTTCCACCCTAACTTTCCTTCTTTATGTTCTCTCTCTCTCAAGATTCCCGTTCTCTATAAATTCGAGATGTCTCTGTTCCAGTTTTGATGCCATCCCCACACACCCTTCTGCCTGTCGGGTATAAATTCCCCGTCTCCAGATTCCTTCTATCTTTCTGTATTCGCCGCATTAAGTTCTGAATTCAATGCTATCGGTGTGAGATTTGTCTTGAAATGCTCAACTCGGGACACCTCCAAAAGGAACTGAATCCGCCCAAGTATTTGTCTTCTCAGCCGCTTTCTTCCTTGTGATAGTTGATTATATGATTATATCAAGTTGGCTGTTTGCAAAGTAAGGCCAAGCATATAGAAGACAGAATAGCAGCAGAGAAGAAAAATCCAAGTGGGGAGATAAAGAAAGCCGAGATTCTTGCAACGGGTAATGCACTACACCTTCATGTTACTTGCGGTTGATTGGTCTGAAAGAAGAAAACAAAAAAGGAAAACCGAATTGGGTCTGATCTCGCTGTCAATTGATTATTGATTGTGTGTATTATAGGCAAAGAGAAGAAGACAGGGAACTAGCAGTCTTCTAAGCAATGAGTCAACTGAGGAATACGGGCAGTAATGGGGAGGAAATGAAGGAGATTCAAAGGCGGGAAACAGATGAAGCAACTGAGAACAGTACAGATGGAGACAATCAAGATGAAGTTGCTGCTGCAGCAGCAGCTGGGGAGGAAGAAGAAGAAGTGAAGAGGATTGTCCCGTGGACGAAACAGATCACGATGAGGGGAATGGTGGCCAGCCTTGCAATTGGGTTTATCTACAGCGTGATTGTGATGAAGTTGAACCTCACAACTGGGTTAGTCCCAAACTTCAACGTCTCAGCAGCTCTGCTTGCGTTTGTGTTTGTGAAGTCCTGGACCAAATTCCTGAAGAAAGCTGGGTTTGTCTCCAAACCCTTTACAAGACAGGAGAACACCTTGATTCAGACATGTGCTGTGGCTTGTTACAGCATTTCTCTTGCAGGTTAGAGCCTTGAACATGTTAAAGTTTCTTGCTTTTTTGGTGTATGTGTTTAGGTAAACTGAACTTAAATTGTTGGACTGCAGGTGGGTTTGGATCTTATCTTTTGGGCTTGAACAGGAAGACCTATGAGCAAGCTGGGGTTGACTCGGAGGGCAATAATCCGAGGAGTGTAAAGGAACCTGGTGTTGGCTGGATGACTAGTTTCCTCTTTATAAGCAGCTTTGTTGGGTTACTTGCTCTGGTTCCCCTAAGGAAGGTAAAGGTCCTTTCTTGTGCTATGCATACAGTGTTAGCCTGTTGTTCTGTGTTAGAGATGGATGAACATCGTTGAAAGTTATATGCAAACTGTGCTAGCTTTGGATTAAGATCAGTGCTTTACTTATCAAGATTGCAACTTTTTTTGTTATGTTTCAGATTATGATAATTGACTACAAACTGACATATCCTAGTGGAACTGCTACTGCGGTTCTTATCAATGGATTTCATACTCCGAAGGGAGACAAGATGGCCAAGTATGTTTTGTTATTTCCGTTTGTTTGACACAGAACCGAGTTTGTTCAATGTTTGAAGCCAACTCAAATTCCAGTAGTGTGATTTTGGTGGTGCAGGAAGCAGGTTCAGGGGTTCTTGAGGTTCTTTTCTTTGAGCTTCATTTGGGCTTTCTTTCAGTGGTTCTACACTGGTGCACCCAAATCCGATATCCCATGTGGTTTTGTTCAGTTTCCTACACTTGGATTGGTTGCTTTTAAGAACACGTTAGTGCTTTCTTTCTTTTAACCTCTCATCTTTCATCATTGTTCTGCATGTAGAAAATGGAAACTGGAAACTGACTGAACACTTTTTTCCAGATTTTACTTTGATTTCAGCCCGACATACGTTGGAGCAGGAATGATATGCTCCCATCTTGTTAATTTGTCGTTGCTCTTTGGTGCCGTGCTTTCTTATGGTGTAATGTGGCCACTAATCGGGGGACTCGAAGGCAATTGGTTTCCTTCAAATTTATCAAAAAGCAGTATGAAGGGTCTCAATGGTTACAAGGTCTTAACAAGCAACTCTCATTTCCCTCCATTTAAAGGAAGACTGCAGACTAAGCCATGGAAATTGACTTCTCTCACATCATTTTCAGGTGTTCATTTCTATCGCTATGATACTGGGAGATGGACTGTATAATTTCCTCAAGATACTCTATTTCACAGCTACCAACATCGTTGGAAGTGCAAGAACAAGAAGAAATTTCCGAACCCGTTAGTGAAATTCGTTCAAATGGTCGATTACATGACATGAAGTCGATGAAAGTTCAGAACTTTTTTGCTAAACTTAAGTACTTCATGTGCCTCACAGGTCCTGAAAATCAGAAGCAACCTCCAACCGATGATCTCCGAAGAAATGAAATATTTGTGAGGGAGACAATCCCAATTTGGGTAGCCTGCATAGGCTATCTTGCCTTTTCCATCATCTCCATCATAGTGATCCCTCTCATGTTCCCCGAACTCAAATGGTACTACGTTGTGGTCGCCTACATTCTAGCCCCCTCCCTCAGCTTCTGCAATGCATATGGTGCAGGGTTAACAGACATGAACATGGGTTACAACTACGGCAAAGTAGCCCTCTTCATCCTAGCAGCACTATCAGGGAAAGATAATGGCGTTGTTGCAGGGCTCGTAGGGTGTGGGCTAATCAAGTCAATTGTCTCCATCTCTTCCGATTTAATGCATGATTTCAAGACGGGGCATCTCACTCTAACTTCCCCTCGTTCCATGCTTCTTAGCCAAGCAATCGGCACAGCCATTGGCTGCGTCGTAGCTCCACTCACATTCTTTCTATTCTACAAGGCATTCGATGTTGGAAACCCTGAAGGCGAGTACAAGGCTCCCTATGCTCTCATCTACAGAAACATGGCGATTCTTGGAGTGGAAGGCTTCTCTGCCCTTCCCAAGCACTGCCTGCAGTTATGTTATGGGTTCTTCACGTTTGCCATTGCAGCCAACTTATCAAGAGACTTGTTGCCGAAGAAAGTAGGGAAGTGGGTTCCATTGCCCATGGCAATGGCTGTTCCTTTCCTTGTGGGGGCGTACTTTGCGATTGATATGTGCGTGGGGAGCTTGGTTGTTTTCGTGTGGCACAAGTTGAGTAGCAGAAAGGCTAGGTTGATGGTTCCAGCAGTCGCTTCTGGATTGATATGTGGAGATGGGTTGTGGATTCTGCCCGCTTCAATTCTTGCTTTGGCTAAGGTGACTCCTCCTATTTGTATGGGTTTTATGTCTAGCAAATAGGGTCTTCGAGATAGAGTAAGGATTGGAGGAAGATGAAAGGTGGAGCCATCATTGTAGAGATAAAGATAGATCTTTGAGCGGTTAGGGTACATATTAATAATATGCTCGATGTTTTCTCACCACAACTGGTGAAAATAGTGAGTTAATAGAAGAAGAAAATGTATGAAGTTTCAAAGTTGATATAGAGAGCTCTGTCAGGGTTCAGTTCTGATGTTTGGATTGTATTCTTACGTTGATTCTGAACTTTGATAATATTGCTTGCTCTCTGTTTGTCAAGTAGCAAATGAAAGAGGTATAGCTCAGGAAAGACCTTCCATCTTTTATTTATTCATGACATATATGATGCCCTGGCAGGTGTAAAGAGGACTGCCAATGAGCAACTATTAGGGTAATAAGCATCATTAATTACCGATTTATAATGATCACTTGAGACAACATGATTTTGAATATTGATGATGGATATATGATCACTTGGACATTTTGGCTGTGAGCTCTCTGGCAAACTTAGCAGCAACCATGGCAGTCATCCCATCAGCAGTGTCCCTCTGGGGGTTGTACTCCACCACATCTGCAGCCACGATATCACCTTGCAGGTTGTGGAGGATGTTCAGAACATCCCTGAAGGACAGCCCGCCAGGCTCGAAGTGAGACACTCCATGAGCAAACGCTGGGTCGAGACAGTCCACATCGATGGAGATGTACACACCTTTCACCCCTTCCCCTAGTTTCTGCACACCAAGCAAGCAAACAGGTCAGTCAGTTCATCCTCCTCATCAGTTACTTCAATAGCAAGTAAATGAATTATCAGCTAGAAATGAGACCAGATTCTCGAGGAAATGGCGGTCTTTGGAGAAGGTCCGCATCTCGTACTGTTCCACTCCAAACCTCTTCCCTTGTTCACGACCTTCTTTGTTGATCGACCTGATGCCCACCTGCAGAAGCCTGCGAGCATAACCACCTTCCATGATCCGGGCAAACGAAGAAGCATGAGAGTACTTGTTTCCCTCAAATGCGTCGTAGATATCCGGATGAGCATCGAGATGAAGAACATCCACCGGCCCTCCCAGCTTCTCCGACACAGCTCTCACTACCGGGTAAGAAATCGAATGATCCCCACCTAGAATCAGTGGCCGCAATGGAGCCTGCAGCAAAACTTCATTAATTCGGATGACACTAATTAACTAACATCCATTTGGAAAAGAAAAGAAAAAACTAAATATGATGGAACTCATCACCTCTTCCATCACGATTTTGACAGATTCACTGACGACCTCCATCAATCTATCATCACTCACACCAGTGTCTCTCATTTCTTGCACAGGAAGATCCCCAACATCAGCCATAACCAGGGGATCATCGATCATTTTACCTTCTTCGGTGGTCGAGTTGGTGCTGCCACACCACATTGCCTCCCGAATGAGAGGAGGAGCAAAAGCTGGACCTTGCAGGAACGAGGAGTTATGTCCCAACGGGATTCCAAGCAACGAGCTAGTCGCCACCGCGCCTCCCAGTGCACGAACCACCGCTCCCTGCAGAAGATGTAGTACGCGGCATTACCACGAAATTACAGTAGAGTCATCCATCCACACACAGGAAGCCAGAGTAACCAGTACACAACAAATTATTACCTTGAGCTTTGCTTTCTCGCGAATGAGAGTGAGGGAAGCATCGATGACTCGCTCCTGACCCTGCGTGATCACATCTTCTGGGATTCTGGCGGCCTTGAGTCGCTCCAATGTGTGCATCCCTCTCCTCCAAATCATCGACGACGGCATGGCTCTCTGCTCTGAAAGACTGAAACCAAAACCAATCTACTCTGTTTCTCTTCTTTCTCCCTTCTGTCCTTCTAACTTGGGATGATGGGTTTTGAGCTGCTGAAGTGAGTGGCATTTATATAGACTGGACTGAGAATGCTTTTGCATTATTGCACTGCCAAAAAAAAATATCTTCAGCAGTTGTATTGTACTGGTGGTGCCATTGACGCCCATCCATCACAGTCTGTTTTAAAAGGAGTTCCACGTTTTCCTCTGGGTGGTCCTCTTTTCTATCTGATAACCAATAATTCGTTGAGGGCGAGGAATACTGAAGAAGAAGAAGAAGAAGAAGAAGAAGAAGATAATACAGTAAGAAAGATGGACGGACAGAGACGAATCATATTGGGGGAGCCTCAGCCTAGCTGGCTGGATATTGTAGAAGATGCATTGCAGGACCAGTGCTATAATATGAACGAGTGTCAATATGTCAATCTCACAGTTGAGATGGACTTTAATTCGCATGCAGCATTATTGGAGCTGGAGACAGGGACGAAGCCAGCTCATCGAGGGCACTGGAGAGGAGGCTCGCAATAGTCTCAGTCAAGATCTTAGGTTACAAGATGCTCAAGGGTTACACAGCAATTATTAGGGGTTTCAGTTCGGGTCGGGTTCGGTTACCCAAACCAAATCCCGAAAAAATCCAAAACCGAAAATCACTAAAACCGAACCCGAACCCGATAAGAACTTGCGGTTCCGATTACCCGAAACCCAAAAATTCCTTATCGGGTTCGGGATCGGTTAAAGCAAAACCGAAACCCGAAAACCCGAACGCCTAAAAAATACGGACTGAGTTCTATTTATTGGAGGTTTTTAGTCGGAACCCGAAAAACTGATAAGCAAAACCGAACCTAAAACCAAAAATCCGAAACCGAAACGAACCCAAACCCGAAAAAACTGAAAATGTATATAATCGGATCGGTTTCGGGTAAACCCGAAAAACTGAACCCGAATTGAGACCCTAGCAATTATTAGGCTTTTTTTTTCAATTCTGATGTCTGGATTGAGTCCCTATGTGGCTGTGTTCATTTTGAACTTTGACCATATTGGTTGTTCTCTGTTTGACCACAAGGAGCAAAGGAAAGAGGTTATTCAACAAAAATGACTTACTGACAAAAGATGGCAATTGGAAAAAAACAGTGAGTGTAGATTCACAAGCAAGTAGCAACTATCACATATTCTTAATTCAAAGGAGTGTGAATATTATATTTCCAAGGGTGTTGATTAATGAACATTGACCATATCCTTTGGGAACACAAAAATGTAAAGATGAATTGTTGTCACCAAACTTTTATGTGTAAAAATCAAACCCCATTTATTTGTTTATCACCACCATATATATAATTGTCATACAAATTATTGTCATACTTTATTATAGATTATATAGTTTCTGTAATTCTATTTTGAAATCATAGAGAATCTAATAAAGAAATCGGGTATTCGTTATATATACGTCATAATTTTACTTCCAACGCACACAACCACACATTAGTATCAAGCAATATCAGTATACATGTTGTAGAGCTCTTGCTTAGCTAGCTTATGAGAGGTACTACCGTGCTAGGGTTGATCCACTACACGCAATGTCTACAACCTTAAAATATCTGACCGTTCAACATTTTAAACGTAAATAAACCTAAAAATCTGTATCCGTACTCTGATCAATGCGCCAAAAAGCTAATCTACATGAATCCGAAGTGTAATTCATACTTGTATATATAATATAGATGTAGCTCAGATGATACAGAACTTCATAACCACAATTTTTTTTATTTATTAGGGTCAATTTTCCGCCAACCGGTATAGTCTGGTCAAGGATGGCACCTCCAACCACAACTCTGCAGCCATCTTTACGAAGATCTAATGTAGGGACCAACCAACCAACCGACCAACCAATTCCACAACTCCTACCAAACCAAACCAAACCGGTTCCTTAATTTCCTTCCTATTATTACGAGTTTGCCCATGATTCCAGTGGCCGGCCAGAGGAGGGCATCTCGTAAATAAAGTCAAACGCGAAGGGCATTTTGTCGTTTCCTCCAAAGCTCTTACCTGTCACTGCCACATCCCATTATAAATGATACTAGAATCTGCCAGCCACGCCTCCCCCACTGAATCCCTCGCCGGACGTGGACAAAGAAAGTGCAGCAGTGAGCGAGGGAAAGAGCAGCAGCAGTCAATTGAGCCGGTTGAGGGCCACTCAAGGCGCATCTCAGGCGCCAGGGTAATTCAACTCCCCTTTTTTTGTTTGTTGGAATTTGAGCTGTTCAAGATTGTGTTGTGCTGGTCTTTGTTTGGATGATTGTGGAGTTGTTGTGGACTGCTGGATTCTTGTTTTTGGATCCCAATCTGGGGACTTTGCGTTATAAACTGGTCTGGGTTCTGATTTTTTTTTTCTTCCGGTGGTGTTGTGATCAGTGGTATTGTTCTGACGAAGTCAAAAGGGAGTTGTTATAGCTATGGCGTCAGATCCGAAGAAGGTTTATGGGTTCGAGGAGGTTTCTGGGCACAACAAGACCAAAGATTGCTGGCTTATTATCTCCGGCAAGGTCAGATCTCTGTTCTGATCTGAAACTTGTTCTCTGAATTGGTGTTGCCTGTTATTTGTGTTGAAACTGTTCTTTCCGTTCCTCTCAACCCCTTTGTGGTTTCACTGCTGAGAGTATCTGCTATCCGATGTAAATTGACAGACTTTGATGACTCTGGATTTACCCCGTTGCATGTCTCTTCAAATATCAAACTTCCTGACGGTTTCTTATGCTCCGGTCAAAGTTGTCTGATGTTTTTTTTTAATTACAATCAATCATGTTACCTTCAAAGTTGTGCTGATGAACGAGGGCATGGTGTATCCAGCTTGATGTTTTCCTTCACGTATCACAAAACTCTCGTCACGGTCCACAAAACCTGTTCCTACCTCAGAAATGGCATTGAATGTCCAATGGTTAAGACTAGCTATTCTGATTTGTATGGTTAGGGATGTCCTTTGAGGTTACTTGCAGTCATGGGAAGTTGGCCTACTTGTCTTTGCTCCCTCCCTGAGGGAATGAATGTTAGTGATAAAAAAGATGGAAATACATCATTTTCATAGGCAGTAGAATGCGTGGTTGATGGACTATATATGGGGATCCCAAATCCTAATCCTTCTTATTTGACTTGATGACCTTTTAGTATGTATTTGGAATAGGTTTGCTTGGTGAAAAAGAGATACTACTGTCACATTATCATCGAGAAAAGGAATTAAGGATGGACCTGCTTTTGTTCTATGCCTTGTTCTTGCTGTGTTGTGTCTATTAGATGGTGGTGTGGAACATGCCATCTGAATTTTGCTCATCTGTGAATCTTTAGGTCTATGATGTGACCCCATTCATGGAAGATCATCCCGGAGGAGATGAAGTTTTGTTGTCAGCAACTGGTAAGTTGCATAATAACATTAGGGAGTAGTTTTGCAGTTCCCTCCAGTTTTTCCTGCTTGAAGTAGGATGGATAATCATATGACGAGGGTTTTTCTCTTTTCAGGGAAAGATGCAACAAACGATTTTGAGGACGTGGGGCACAGCGATTCGGCTAGGGAGATGATGGACAAGTACTACATTGGCGAGATAGATGCAAACACGGTTCCTACAAAACGCAAGTACGTTCCCCCACAGCAGTCATACAACCAGGACAAGACCCCAGAGTTTGTGATCAAGATATTGCAGTTTCTGGTTCCCCTCTTGATTTTGGGGCTGGCCTTTGCTGTCCGTACCTACACCAAGAAGGAATAAAAGCTGCTGCCGCTGCACCTAATCTCGTGGATCCTGAACCCCTACCATACTCAACAATGCGACTCAAGAGTACTAGCGTCTTTGTTTTAGCTTTCACTTGCATTATGTTTGCCAACATTTACATTTACACAGGTGTTTATTTCACAGTCGGGTTAGTGTCGATTATTGTGTTTGCTTGACAGTAATATAGCAGTACTTTCTCGGTTCAACTCTTATTTCTCTGGGTAAATGAGGGGTGCTGTGCACCTCTTAGACAAGATTCACTATTTCTAGTTCTGGGGAGTTCCTACAATAGAAGAGATTCCTGGGAATTTTGTGACCTCTCACTGTGACCAATATGTCGACAGTAAGACATACCCCTTTGAATATGGGAAATAATCGACTCCCGTGGATAAAACCTACAAACCTAACAGCTGCTTCTGTATATAGAACTCTGCTTACGCTCACAATGTTTAGATCGAACAGAATGAACATAAACATATCTTCCGACAGAACAGTGCCAACGCTTCTGCAGTCTCCAAACCGTTGAATACGAATCTACGATTACCGCCCACTGTCATCACCTGAAATCGACTTCTTCAATCAAGTTTGCATCCTATTCTCCTCCATCCATGTTTTTGTGCTTCCCAAGGAGCGAACTATGGGGAAAGTGCATAGTTTCCAATAATCAAGCAGTTGGAGAGGAGGAATAATGTAGGAGGTTTCAAATCCATTACCTATCACAGGCATGTAGTTCTCACCTTCACTTTGGCATAGCTCACCTTACTTCTAGCCTTTCTCCATCCGCACACCTGCAAGTGTTTCTATTTGCATTCTACCAGTGATCTCAGATTCAACCCAAAGACCAAATTGCCAATCGAACAAATATTAATGTTATTACACCTATACGCACTCTAATAAATGATAAGACAATTCAAATGCGTTCCAGCAGCCATGTTCTTTGGGAAATATTGAAGGGGGTGAAACGATGGGGAATTCAGCAATCAGTGTGTTGGTATTCATAGTCCCATAGTACATAATGTTTACTTCTTGAATCAGTCCCCAGTACACAATCATACTGGCTCGGAATGCAGGCTATACCTGCTTTCAAACATTAGAAAGCAGCATAGAAACATTCCAGGAGGAGCAACTGCTGCATAAAAAAAATCATAGTGGGGTTTCCTTTACAAGCATTGCATGCAACTGCCATAAAAACATGCTCAAAAGGACATCAGGAACCGGCCAAGAGCGTTTCCAGCCTTGTAGATTCCCTGCTGAGGCTTAGATGATCCTTTAGAAGAACTTCAGAAACGAAAAACAAATAAATCAGTGGAGCAAGCAAAGTCCAGGAAACAGCACCAGCAGATGTGTCACTCAGCTCGTATCACGACTCAATCTTCTCATGCAAGTTGACCACCAAGTTATGTGCATCATCCAAAAGCTTCCACACATCGAGTTGACCCGACATGCTATTGCACTCCCTGAGAATCTCATCCATGCTACTGTACTTCTCAATTATCAACTTCCTCTTCTGCAGCACTGAAGCTGCGATAGCATAGAGCAACAGATCATCCGTCGGAGGCACTCTCTGCCTAATTCTGCTCCCTGCTGACTTCCCGATCCCAGCTCTTATAGCCGCCTGATCTGCCCACATGACCTCCCACAGACAAAGCGTCTGCTCAAAACTCAACTCCCTCCTAAATAACACCACAACCATCCTATAAACGAAGAAACAATCCTCAGCCTGAAGCTTCTCCAGATGTCGGTAGAGGTGTGAGTCCTTAAATTTGATAATCTTGGAGACAATGCTCAGCTGCCTTCGGATGCCTACCTCATCAAGCCTAAAGTTATGTCGAGCCTTCTTCATGAATCCGACAAAACACCAGAAGGCTTCGTGATCTTCTTGCATCACTGCAATGATTGGGCTGAGTAGATCGCTCATCCCTTGGCAATAACCAATTTCAGGGTCGTAGAGTGCATAAGCCTCTAATATGGCCACTAGTCTTGCTGCATGAAAAACTCTGCATGGCTCAAGGTGATCGTGTTCTTTTAACCCGACTGCCTCAGCTGAGCGCTGGGCTCTGACTTCAGATACGGAAGCCTGAGAAGGGGAGTAAGGGACCCACTCTGAGTTGGCACGCACTGCATCAACACGAATTATTCGTTGCCATGTGGCGAAATCTTCAACAGCACAGCGAGTTGGAAGTGATGGAGAAGTATCAACTTTGGAAGAAACATGCACATCATCATAATCTTCCCTGTTTTCTGGAGCAGATCCCTGAATGACTTCAGAATCTTCGGATAATTCAGAGTCATCAGACGACTCTGTATTTTGTGCAGAGGCATCAGCACCTTCTAAAAGTGTGGTGCATCGATCATCTGAATATTCAACATCTGGACTCTTTCCTTCACTAGAAAGGGACTCCCGGGCACTGACCACATCCTCGTGACTCAAAGAGTCAGTATCATGAGCAGAACTTCCCCCATCTTCTTCATTGCCGACTGTTTCACCATTTTCACACAATTTGAAGGTCTCGGAACTTCGCCTAAGGATTCTCCGGCACTGTCTCCTGAGTTTCTCATACTCTTTCCTGCACCAGATTATCAAGAAATAATCATACAACCATATCATAACCAGATACCAGAAGTTATGAGTGGAGGCTCCAAAAGAAGAATGAAGCAAAGGGCTGACAGCATCTCAAGGTATCAAGATCCAGCTTTCAAGTTTCATTCTAGCTTGAATTCGGACAGACATACCTTTTCTGGGTTCTTAGGAGCTCCCTTTCCTCTTTAGTGCTGTCCAAGTCATAACTGTTAAAACAGGAACAAATTGTGAGCCAGGGAGGAATATTCATATACTAATCAATCTATAAGATACCATTGACAAACATTAAAATAAAGACTTAACAGAGATTTATGTTTAATGGCCAAAAAAGAAACAGATTTTTGAATGCATGGGTATGCAAACACCCTTTCTATCTAGAACTAGATAACACAGCAAGTCACGCCATTTCTTTCCAGGACATCCCAATTACCCCCAGAATTGAAAAGATATATTACAAACATAAAGATGCGACCGGCAATAAGTTTGTTGTCAAACGGGTCAGGAAATGACCCTAGAATTCAACCAGGCTAATCATAGGTCATCATGATGCAAGGAAATGAGTGCACAAGGTTTTCTAACTAGTTTCAGGAGTGAAGAAGTGGGCAAAGTTGAGGCATTTACAAGGAGTCTGGATAGAGGTAAGCACATCCTTTAAGAGATTATGAAGGCTATGGGTCTAACCAAACCGAGACTGCATATAAGTAGGCCCTAGCTGGGGCTCAACCCTTATGAGCTATGCAATGGTCAAGATGTATTGCTATTGTATCCCTAGATTTGAGGGATGCTTACATCCTTCCCTAAATTTAGAATGACGAATGAAAAACACATATTCAAAGTATCTTAGATGATCAAAAAAGTATTTGGAGATTGAAGAATGATAGGCAGACAAGGATGGGAGATAGATAACAACAACCATAGATATATACGAACAGCAAGATCACAAACAGGACAGACACAACAGGGTTATGAGGGCTTACACTCCAAGCAGAAATGGCCAGACCTCTGGTCTAATACTTGGCTCAACACCCTGTGTCGTGAAACAAGAGATATTAATATAACAGAAATGCAATCTTAGCATTTTAGAACAAGTGACCAATCTACTCACTCCGCTTCGAACTTTCTTCAAAAACTTGGCTCCACCATCACGTAGTTTCCCATCTGGTGTACAAAAATTACTCCATTGTTGAGGAGTAAGGACATGTTTTCTTTTCCTACGGGACCATGGTGATTTGAGACGCCCCCTGAAATGGAAGAGAGTTCCCAATTAGTCACTATATCCCTCCAAATAGGAAGCTTGTACTTGAGATGACATAGTAATAGCAACCCATGGACATAGACATGGCAGTCGGAAACCGGGTTTGAGAAATTGAGAAGTCGATCAAAAGTAGGAAACATACATTTACAAGCATTCACATGCAAGACCAGCAAAACACAACCTTTATTCTTTAACTCATATAATACTCAAGTGGGATGCAGCTTAAAGACACACATGGAACGAAAAAAGACATTAGGAAGAACACAGAAAAAAAAGCAACATAAAAATGCCAAACTTAAGAGAGCACTACCTTTCCACTTTAAAACAGCCTAGGAAACTAATACCTACTTCAGGCAACCCATACTGCAATTAATCAAGAGCTCAAGCAAATCACACACCAATGGCAAGTGTTTTACCCATCTCTAGAGCACTAGGGAAGTGACAATATTTCATAGCTAACCCCAAAATCCACCATTCAGCAGCCTACTGGAAAGAGCTTGAAATGGAAATGGAAATGAAACGGAGCTTCCAATGGAAACTCCATTCATTACAAAAACCCAACAGGGAATCGAAGTTCTGAGCCTACCTCTAGGATAAAAAGTGTCAAGGGGAAGAAACGAACCAATTTAAAGCAGCATCTAAAGCAACCTGGGGGTCGGATCTAAAGAAAACGCTCCAAGAAGTGCAGGAGGAGGAAGAAAGGGGAACATTTGATGAAGCAAAAAAGGAAATGGAAGGGAAATGGGACTCACCGATCGAGATGGGAGTAATGAGCTTGTGAGGAGGAATTAACAACGAATAGGACCGAACGCAACTGAATCCAGGTGGAGGACGATGATCCTGAACCAGACGACGACGGAGAAGGAGTATTTGAAGACGCCGACGAAGTATGACTTCGTCTCAGAGCTTTCATCTACTTAAATATATAACTGAAATCTTTTGTTTCTCCCTTTTTCCCCTTTCCTTTTCCCCTTCTATAAGCGTCAGTTTTCTGAAACTACCCAACTAACAATCACAATCTAAAACCCTAGAAAGTTACAATCTACAACCGCAACAAGAACTGAATTGAGTAATAGAAGAAAAGGACCGAATCCTCTCTGCCGGCTGTATTCTCAGGGGAGGGGGAATCTGGGTTTTTTGTTGTTGTTGTTGTTGTTGTTGCTCTAAGGGGTATTTTACCTACTAGTGGTGTAGAAGATGGCGGCAAAGACGGCGATTCCCGCCAAGGCAGTGACGGCTACAACAGCAGCAGGCGAGGAAGCAGAGTGGGAACCCGCCACCGTGGTCAGTGCCCAGGGGAACCGACCGCCACCGGCAGTCCCGCCGTTGCCGGAGATGTGGAGGAATGCTTTGAGGCTGAAGAAGTTGGGGATGGGAGTGAACATTGAGAGTGTGAACGGAAGCAAGATCCGCTTCAAATGGGGTCTCTCCGGAAAGTAAATTGTTGCAACAGCAGCGCCGTCGTGGCTATTTGAGGAGGAGATCGGGAGGCGACGGTGGTAAGGGGAAGAGGAAAAGGAAAGAGAGAGAGAAGGGGAAGTGGAAGAGAGAGAGAAAAAAGTCGTCTTTGGCTTTGTTGGGCTTCTTCTCCCTCGTTTTGTCTTTGTCTCACTCCGATACACAGTTCCTTGCTTCCTTCCACACTGTTATTATTTAAAAACAAAATAGGGAAAACAAAAAGAAAGTGGAAAACAAAAAACTCTATAATAAAGCTAAAAAAGCAATTAAATAAAGCAAAAGATAAAGTGAGGGGAAAAGGTGATGGAGTGTGAACAAGACTAATTATGAGTTATGATATTTCTTATGAATAAGAATGATAATTAATCCTTCTCTGACCCGGATTACTACATGCTTCCATTTTCTCTCTTTTGCCTTTATAATTCCTTTGATTTGAGATAGAATCGTTTTCTTCCCACTACATAATGGTATGATTGATGACCCATAGAGCATGATAATCTGAATTTTATAAAATTATTCGTTTCCACAATTTTAATATTGTTGGATTGAATGCACTTTATTCTCTTGCATTATGCAAGTTACAAAACTCCAATTCACCAATCTAATGGTAGCCTAGTAGTATGTTTGGTAATAGAGAGCTTAGTGGTTGTGAGTGTGAGTCACATTGGCTCTCTTGTGAAAGTTTTTACCAACTCTCTTGTCTATTTTCGGTTCAATAATTGTTGGGGTCTTATGATAACTATGTGAGTTCAATGAACCGAGAAATAATCCCAGGTATCACTTTTCACCTTTTCAAGTATTACTCTTTGAAATTAAGAACCCAAATCGCTGATGTGTATAATGTATTGTTTAGAACGATTTCAATCGATATTCGTGTATAATTTGCATAATATTAAAAAAGGATTTTGATAAACTGTTACGTACCAATAAATAGATTCAGTCGTATCAAACGAACGCTGTCCTTACCTGGCCCAGACCCAGGTTCCGGACACTTGTGAACAATAATAGACTTGTGATTGATATACTTCATAAGTACAAAAGTTCGATCAACATAAAACTTTTCACTTCTCCGACACCCGAAAAAACATGATGCGTTGCCCCGACATCGCTCAACATGACAAGAACATAAATTGTTAAACTAAGAAACTCATGTCAATGAATTGCGGGGGGCAAAATTCCCAAGGTAATACTTACCGCGATAAACCATCTTTATTGTTGGGACCAGAATTATTTATACATCTTGAGATTTACAGAGTCATATCGTGATTGGAGAGGTTGCTCATTCAAAAAAAACTCAATCATCCTCTATCATATCCCATGTTGATCAAGGCACAATAATTAAAACTCGACCCCATACGTTGTCTCCCGTTCCCCTCCGGTCTCCGATCTGCTCGCCCAACATCCTGCAATATTAAATCACTTTTTCGTGGATCATGTCTTGCTTAGCTTGCCCCTTCTTGTTCACAATGCCTGTAAATATTTTATACGTATATACATATACTTTGTATTCTTGGTAATGATTGAGCTCTCCGAATTAGAGCCAGCTAGCCAGTTGCTTTGTGCTAGTCTCCTTTCGATTAATGGCGAGATCCGGCGGCCAAGCATAATATCCAAGTAAACAAAGTCTCGCCTGCCACCATGGGCCGGCCGCATGTCGAGGCTCCTCCTCGTGAGCGCGCGCAGGCAGAGCTCCAAGTGGATCCAGGATGCAAGTAGTTGCTGGGAAGTTGGGAAAGGGACCAGAAAAGAAAAAAAGGGAACGTGGTGCAATGCCGGTTAAGGCAAAATGTGAAAATGCAGAGCTCGGGAATCTGGATGGGGCAGCAAACTTTGATTATCTTGTTGGTGTTTCTCGTGCAGAGAGCCGGTCCCCCCATGTCGTTCTGTGACTGGGTTTGTTGCTTGCTTAAGGCTTACAACGTGGAAGAAAGAAAGCGAGGGATGGAGAGGCCTGCCATGGTGCTGCTGCTGTAAGGTCGTTAAGCACATATCAGTCTCTCGTGTTAAGATTTTCGGCCTTTTTTTAGATCCAACTAGTTAGCTGCATTCATGCTCTTCATTTGCTTCAGTCTGTCTTCAAAACCCAGAAAGAAGCAGTTCATCAATTCCACTTTTCGACGATGATGAAACGAGGTAGAGGAGTGACAGGGGGGAAGAGGGACTCCGATGAAACAGATTGAAGATGTGATGGAGAGAGGAAGGGGATTTAGTAATGGCAACAAGTCTGAGTTGGATGCTAACAAGATGGTTTTGGTGCAGACGAATATGTTACATTCAGCATCCTCGTCGACACCAAGGTAATCTGCAATGTCCAAGGTCTTGAAAGATCACATGACGATCTTACAGAGAAATCTACAGGGAAGAAGTGTACAAAAGATCTGCAGTTAAAGCCTAGAAGTAGTACCAGCACTTACTCTGCAAACAGTTCTTCCTTAAACAAACCCCTACATTTCACAACCATCCAACTCCATTTTTATTTGCCTTGCAGAAAAGGAAAACCCCTAGGCAGTAACATTCTTCGGTCCATCTAAAGCTTCGAGGCAGCAGCTTTGTCCAGAAACCATTTCAACTCTCCTTCGGGCGAAACTAGCTGACAGGGCAGTGGCTCCTCGTTCTTCCCGCTGTTGCCTAATGCTCTCTGCACCACATCAGCTTTGCCACCTCCACACACTACTAGCGCAATGTTGGCAGACGAGTTTATCACGGGGAATGTGAAAGTGATCCTCTCTGGAGGTGGCTTGGGCGAATCCAAGATGTGAGTAACCCATTTCTTGCTCTCCTTGCAAAGCGGATGACCGGGGAATAGAGATGCTACGTGCCCATCCGGACCCATACCCAGAAGCTGGAGATCAAACTTTGGAAACCCACTAGCTTCCGACTTGGCTATCACCCCCGAGTTCACCAGATGTTTGAGGCAGGTCTCGTAGTCATCTGCTGCACCCTCAGCGGACAGTGCATCGTTGATCGAGTAAACATTGCCTGGTAGAATCGGCACCTGCCATAAATGTAAGGGCTTTTTCATTAAACGTCTTTCTCCATCCATCCATCCATCCATCCATCCATCCATCCATCCATCCAGAAATGAATTCACCGCTTAGAGCAGAATGACAACGACTGTATCTTTAATCAAACACTGTTTTGGTCGAAATTGAACAGAGCTACATGATTCTCCTAACTCAGACTGTTACTCTAGAGCTAACCATCCAGTCACTCTCTACCAAAGGTGGCATTCATTCATTCACATTCGTTCTTTCTAAATGCAGAGCCACAACATTGAAAGTGAGGAAATTGCAACGAGAAGAAGATACCTGAGAGAGAAAGAGATCGAATGCAAGCTTGTAGTTACTGTCGTCATGATCCTTGGGAACAACTCGCTCGTCTACCCAAAACACATGCCACTTCGACCACTCTATCGAATCAATATACGGCGGCTCCAGCAATTTCCTGAAAGTTCCCAAATCGAATCGAATCCGGCCAAATTGAAACCCCAATGAAATAAAAAATCACTCCTTTCGAATTTCAAATCGCAAACGAGACCAACCTTGGAGAAAAAACGATGGAACAAACGCAGACGAAACTCACCTGAGAGACTTGATGAGAGACCCGCCGGAAACGACGACCGTGAACGAGCCCCTCTCTTTACCGAACTTATCAGAGAGATCGGCGGTGTACTTGGCAAGAGAAACCGCGAGATCCTCCTCCGTGTCGAAAACCTCGACCTTCTTCTCAGCAGCAGCAGCAGCCATCCCGGCAGTTGAGAACGCCTTGGTCCGCCTGAGCTGAAATCTCCTCGAAGTCTCCGCTTTTCCGAGACCTAATCCGGCGAGCGAGCGATCGGCCGAGAGAAATGAAAGCTTAGAGAGCGGCAGTCCGCAGAGTGAGCGCACCGACGACGAGATCGTGCTACTGCTGCGGAGGAGGAAGGTAGGTGAGAAAGAGAGCGATAGCGCAGCCATGGAACGGCGAGTGGGAAGTTCTTTATAGTCAACGGCGAGAGAGAATAACGGCAGCGAGTGGTAGTGGAAAGGAAGGTGGGGAAGGTCACTAACGGAGATGTGACTGCGAATTTCTGATTTAACGTTTGGAAGATGACGGAATCAACAATGCTTAGTGCTGAGGAGGCGGCATATAAACTCGACACGTGGCCCGGAGCGAACTCAAATGGGCCAGCTGTCTAAAACCAACCCATTACTTCGAGAAATATGGGCTTATCTATTGGGCCAATGCCCAACAATAGGGCTAGAATCTCGGTTAAGCTGGACCCTGAACCAAATAAGTTGGTTTTATAACCGCGCGCCACATCAAAACCCTAAAACGCGAAGGAGGCTACATATAAATACTTCTCAAACGGTGAGAGAGCTCAAGAGAGCGGCGAACATAAGAGGCGAGAAAATGCAGATCTTCGTGAAAACCCTCACCGGGAAGACCATCACCCTCGAGGTCGAGTCGAGCGATACCATCGACAATGTGAAGGCCAAGATTCAGGACAAGGAAGGTAAGGCTGTTTTCTTCATCCTTCTTATGAATCCGTCCGAATTGAGAATTTGATATCATGGATGGCTAAGTTTTTTGGGCGGTGGATGTTTGATTAGGTATTCCTCCGGATCAGCAGAGGTTGATCTTCGCTGGGAAGCAGCTGGAAGATGGTCGTACTCTTGCGGATTACAATATCCAGAAAGGTGAGTTTCCTCGGGGTTTTCTCCTTTCTACGTGCACGTGGCTTGAGATTCCTTATCGGTGCGGTGATTTGTGGAGAATTCTATTTGTGGAACTGTCTTCACTGAAACGATAACTCGTCGTGCAGAATCGACTCTTCATTTGGTTCTGAGGCTTCGTGGTGGCATTATCGAGCCATCGTTGATGGCTTTGGCCAGGAAGTATAACCAGGAGAAGATGATCTGCCGCAAGTAAGTTGTTACCCTCTTGAGACTCCACAGTGATTACTTGGTGTCTACTTTTTTTCTGTTTTCATGGGTTAATCATGTATTGCCCGTCTGAGTTATTGTGTTCCGCACTACCAAATCCATGAGCATATGGGGTTTCCTGGGACATTTTGTGGATTAGGATTATTGAAAGTTATCGAACAATCTTCAGCACTGTCTATAGATTTGCCTTGTGGCTACTAGCGTCTTGAATTGATCTGGGTAAGTTGGGAGTTTCATTTACCTAGGCTATATACTGTAATGCTTTAGTTTGGTTGTTGAACCATGTAGTAGAGCTTAGGAAGGAAATGCTTTATATTCTGAAATGTTGAAGCTACTCATTATTGTCTAATGAATGGCCTTAATCTTTTATCGACTTGATCTATCTTTATTTATCTTCTGTTCAAGTAATGACGCAATTAACGTTTGCTCTTTTCAACTCATGTAACTGTTGTGCTTCTCTCAATGCTTTGTGTTGCGTGTTTGATATTTGATCTGGGAATAATCATGTGTTGGATATGATGTCTATGCAGGTGCTATGCGCGTCTCCACCCCCGTGCTGTCAACTGCAGGAAGAAGAAGTGTGGACACAGCAACCAGGTAACTGTCTTTCCCATTTGTACATTCTCAAAATATCACTGTCCACTATTTTTGTGTTGTCGTTGCTAATGCATTACTTGTTTTGTTACCTGCAGCTGAGGCCGAAGAAGAAGATCAAGTAGACTGATAGTCTGGATGCTGGGATGATGTTACTGTTAGGTTACTGGATAATCGTTTTTGTTGCTGTCGGAAATTTTGGTGTAATAGTTTCATGACTCGAATGCTAGTACTGGTTTCTTTGTTCGATCTGTTGTGGCAGTACACACTATTACTGAAATCTTAATGCAATTCAGTCCTGTTTTACTTTGAAATCTAATTCTCATGAATGGTGGAGTACAGGATGTTTCTCTATTCTTTCAAGGCTCGACGCCTATGCTGATCATTACATCAGATGCTACTTTATGTTCTTGTTCGTTCTCAGCTGTGAGAAATGCTGCGTATTATGTGTGCTAACAATACACTTCCCAACTGGAATGCATATTTCTTGAACGATTTATGATAGCAGGTTATTGTCTAGATTTCACAGGATGTGTATGAAATATGAATGGTTCTTTGTTTGTAGATAATAACTTCGTGTTTGCACATTGTTGTCATTGTTCTTTCTGTACGATCCATGACTTGCTCGGCTTAGGGAATTTAGCAACAATCATTGTTCAGGGAGCTTCTGATGGTATGTCTGTATGCATCTGAGTCCGAGTCGTCATGAATCATGATATTATCTGGCATGACACAAGGTTTTGATGAGAAAATATATGAGAGGTAATGAATTCTGTGCGGAGGAGGGCGCATTGCATACATACCTCGTCTGGAAAACATTTTGGATCATTTTCCTTGGCGAACTGGATGCAGCATATTCTAGCTCAATCTGCTCCTCCAAGCTTAGCCTCCACCCTAGAGCTCCCAAATTCTCCTCTGCTTGTCGAACAGTCTTCACCCCTGGAATTGGAATTGTGCCTTTGCAGATGCACCAATTTATTGCAACCTGCGGTATGGTTTTCCTCCTCTTCGTTGCAATTTTCGAGAGCACCTTCAACAGAGGCTCCAGTCCAGGAAGAATTTGACCAAATAGCAGCCCCCTGTAAAGTGAGAGTATTATACTAACATACTGAGCAATAGTGAAGCCATCATGATTTGATCAGATCGATGTAAGCTGCACTCACGAACCTGGGTCCAACCGGAAGCTGGGAAGGTGTGTATTTCCCTGTCAGCATTCCAAGCCCTAAAGGACTGTAAGCGATAAGACGAACCCCCAAACTGTCGCATACTTCTTTGATCTCCATCTGCTCCTCTCCCATGCTCAGTAATGAAAACTGAACCTGAGCTGAGCATAACGGCACTCCTCGAGTTTTGAGATAATCGTGAACCTTAACGAGCTGATTCGGTCCATAGTTGCTCACTCCCACTGCCCTAACTAGACCCTGAAACGGAAAGAGCTTACAAATGTTATGAGAGATCGAATCAGGCTTCTGCAGTTCTGCTAGCTACTGGCTACTGCCCGATTGCAAACTCAATAATAACCTGCTCATACATGGCAACTAGGCCGTCCCAGAGCGCCAATTCCTGAGGGGGAGCGTAGTTTGCAGTCGACCAATGCAGCTGTCCTATGCCAAGTTGCTCAATTTGCAGCCTCTCCAACGATCCCCTGGAAGCCAAAAGCCCTATTATCATTTAAGACAATTGTGGCACCAAGAGTCCAAGACATCACTCAACTTTCAAAGTGCTATTGAAGCATGCGTACTTGCAGGCCTTCACAAACTGGCCTGGGGTCAGCCGCCATGGATATGCAGCAAACTTGGTAGCGATCACAATATCATCTCTTGCCTTCCCTGGCACACAATACACCACAGATTAGACGCGGAATACAATGAAGCGGTTTACTACACTAGATATAAAAGAAGAGCACTCAGATTACTGACCTGGATACTCTCTTATGAACTTGCCGAGGAGCTTCTCACTCTGCCCATTCAGCTTCCCAGTCCCATAAGAATCAGCCGTGTCGAATAGATTGATCCCGTTCTCCACGGCCAGATTGAAAATGCGCTGAAGGTCGGCGTCCATGGATTGGTCGTAGCCCCAAAGAAGCTGGTTCCCCCATGCCCAGGTACCAAACCCCATTGGAGACACTGTCATCGGACCCATCTTCACCTGCTCCAACAATTCCATCGCCATGGATCGTAAACAAAGTACAAGCATCTGGTTAGAAACAAACCCATTTTCCGTGGCGAGAAATGAAGCGGTCAGTGTTACCTTTTGCCATGGCCAGATGAGGGGAAGCTGGAAAGGCTTCAACGGTGAAGAAGGTTGATTGGAGGAAGCAAAACTGGCTAGGTATGCAGTGGTCGTCGAGGCTGAGAACGCCGCCATGGTTTGATTGCTTGCTGTTGCTAGAACGATGTCTGTGTTCTTTTGGTTCTCTGTGTGGCCACGATGGTTTGATCATGTTAATGGATAATTGCTTTTGCCGGTGTTGCTAAAAATGTGGAAATGGAAAGGGTGACGGGGGAAAAAATGACAGCTGTGGGATTTGAACCCACGCCCTTTCGGACCAGAGCCTAAATCTGGCGCCTTAGACCACTCGGCCAAACTGTCGGAGAGATGTTAGAATTTCACAGATTTGTTTTTTATAAGAATGTCGTCACGGTTTACAGAAAGTATTAATTAAAGGATCATAGTTCAGAAGTCACGACTGCTGGTTGATAGGGAACTGAAGCCGATTTTTGACTCTCTATTGGGGGGAAATGTGTCGAATTTTTGACTCAATGGAAGGAAGAAAGTTGTGGGCTTTTTCTCCTGGGACAGCATGAGCAAGTTGCAGGGAGTAGCAGTTGAGGGAATAGGGGCAGTTGTCGGAGATTAACCTCATCTTCCTGCGAGCGGATTAGTTTGGAAGTCATCGTTGTTCAGGAAACTCTTCTTGCACACCAAGTGCTTGTGTAATTGTCCCTGTGACCCAGGGCCGTGCTTTGACTTGTGAGACATGACACGAAGGAATACTAGGGAGAAAGTTGATACCTTTTTCCCCATTGTTGAAGACATGGCTTTATGGAAGACTGGGAAGATCTTCTTTTGTTCACATGGCTTGCAAGTGATCGTTCAATGTTACTGGTAGGCAGTCGATTGATTATTCAGTGAAAAAGTTCAATGAGATTTGTTAGCTTCCACCTAATCGTGGTTTTTTCTCTCCTAGACGCATACTGTAGCTGTTTGGATCGTCTTCCATCATCTCATATGGTTCATGGTTGCATCTCATCTCACATAATATTGCAGACTGCAGTCTTACCTTCTGATACATACAATTCAAACCAACATTCTTCCTCTATATGAATTTGTTGCAATGCTACGTAGACATTATTAGAATTTCGAAATCCAAATGCAAATTCTAGCTATGCAATTTCTATAACTTATACTTTATAGCTTTAGTTTCCTAAATCACCATCCTGCATGATGTCACAGTCAATATTTTCGTCAAATTAGTGCTCATCACCCTCCTGCATTCAATACCATGTTGTTCTTGCTCTAACCAATCTTAGCTACTAGCAAATCAAAGCCACCAAACTTCAGGCATTTCCCTGTATGGGTTTTGGCCGTTCAACACCAGAAGTTGAACCATTGTGAACTTCCATAAGACACGTCAAATTGACAACCTGGTGGTAGTGAACCTTCTGTAGCCTGAACCTTGTCCACGAGCTGCTGGTACCCATCATACCCTGGGTGCATAAAACCTCTGCTCTTGTCAAATTGTGTGCTCTGTGAACTTGTGAATACTTTGTTCTCTACTCCTTGCTGTGCAGCTTGGGGCTCAAACATGTTTCTGTCTTCTGAAGGTACCGTGATTTGGCAACTTCCTTCCAAGTCCTTGCAGTTATCATCTCCCTCCCATGATTTTTCCATCTGTGCGTTTAGATTCTGCAACTGTTTCAAGAAGGAATAGGAAATGATCATTGAGTAACTTGTCCCTACAAGGAACTTGTTATAATATAATATTGGTGAACAGAAGTCACCTGTAAGAGCAAGGTCTGCCTCTCGTCCTGTAAAGACTCGAAACTAGATGCAAGGCTATCGTAGTTAGCCTTGAGCATCTTGTAGTCTTTCTCAATCTGCTTTGACTTCCACCTAGCTCTCTTGTTCTGAAACCATATAGCGACCTGGCGAGGTTGTAGCCCGAGTTCTCTAGCCACCTGCATCTTCTTCCTCGGTTCAAGCTTTGTCTCCGATTCGAAGATCGACTCCAGCAGCCTAATCTGTTCATCACTGAATCTCCTCTTGCTCTTGTTGCTGCTGGTCTTCTTCTTTTTTGGAGCTTGATGGGATGGCTGGTAGCAGGCTAAAGTTTCAGACTTTGCATCTGGTGCTTCTGGAGACGACTCTCTTTGCTTCATCATTTGATCACTCATGTTGTGACAGGTAATCCTAGTATTGTTTTGTACCTTGAGGACAGAAGTAAGAGTAAAAGAAGTGTCTTTTCATTGGTTTTCTTCCTAAGTTTCAGACAATTGTGTAGAAGAATGCATGTGGTGGAATATATAGCTCTGCTGGATTGAGGCAGAGAGCTTCTATAACCATGCCTTGCTCTCAGGACTCAGGAGTCCACTAGCCAATAATCTTTCATAACGTGTGCCATTCCACCTCTTATGCCTTTGAGGATATATCTGTCTTTTTTTTTTCCTTTTTGTCAAATTCAAATATTTAATCACTGCTTGGCTGTTACATCTTTACCCCTCAGCCAGATCATCATATGGTATACTTGCTGTAAATAGAAAACTTGGTAGTTTTGTCGCTTCTTCAGCTCAACTTGTTTGACGTGGCTGGTGACCACCTTATTGAAGTGGAGTAAATCAGAAGGAAATCTCATTTCTTGTTTTAAGACAATGATGTTCTCTAATTTACTGTGCATTTTTCTAATAGTCTCCCTTATCTAGAATCATGATGTATTAACCAATGATTAACATGGCTGTCAAACCATCAATGAGTTTAGAGGTTTAAAAAGTATGAGGTTCATATTTGGTTTTGATTATATTACAGGAAACCTGTAACCAGTTCACGCAAGCATGACCACTAGGAAACACTCTGCTTTGGTGGGAAACAACTCAAGATAAACAAGTCCTCTCATGATCAATAATAATAGGTAAAACGACTCTCCACCTTCTACATTTCACATGGTTAAGTCATGTAGAATAATAATTCATGGTTTACTTTTCCTCATCAACCCTTTTCGTCCCCACCTTATCTGGAAAACACTTGAGTAACGCCAGCAAAATGGAAGTTTTCCTAAGCTCTGAAAGTTGCCTCCTTTTGTCCTGGCCACGCTCCACATTCGACATGCATGGCCAGATCGATAGCTAAATAACAGTGGTCAATTGGATGATGTCTGAGCAGTCACTTTTTCTAGGATGGTCCTGGTAACAAATGGTGCAGAGATTTATGAATCGACAGACACCCTTTTGGATATGCATGTACCATGAATTGTTAGATAGAGAGTTTATTCGTCATTCAAGGAATTGGAGTCAACTACACTTTCTATCAGCCGCAATCCTCTTGCAAGTACTAATGCCTAACCACCCCTAATGTGCAAAGGGCACTAGGGCCAGCTAGGGGGGATGCATCCTGAAAACTAGCAGGGAAATGCTTCTTATCTTCAGTAATGTTTGCATAACTCCGAGTTCCCTATAAGGTGATGGTAGTGTTTTAGTTGCTGAGAACTTGCTAAAAGTTCATTGTTAGCCTTGCAGGTACAACCCGGTAGGTATGAGTTGTGGCAAAGTCATCAACCTCAAGCCAAGCTGCAACATTTCTCGGAGCTAGAGCAGTAGGGGTAGATAGACAAATATGGGTAGTTCTTATTAATGTGCAAAACCCAGTTTGGCGTTATATAGCCAATCATACCAAGCTGATTTTGGAGCAGGAAATAGCAATTCTTATCTGCAGCTTTTCTCTGGTCTCCGAGGTAATAAAAAGTGGGTGAAGTGTCAACCGCTCAAGCCATGAAGGAGCTTTGGATGCCTTTGGCGGGCAGTTAGACAGTCCTACAAGGAACCTAAACTAAGAGTTGGTGAATTGCAGAAGTTAAACACATGTTTTTGGCCCCCCTAGTCGATTAACCTGTCCACAGAACTTGTCCTAAAGCAAGTTTGGCTGGTGGTTTGGTTTGTGGGACAAAAGGGTACATATAATATTACACATACTTGTCCAGGACAAAGGAAGCTAGGTCCCCCTTCCATCGTCGTCATCAATTGGAGAAAAGGAAAGGCAAAGTGTGAATGCAGTGCATGCATATCTTTTCTTTAATGGGGCTCTAGTTTTCAACACCGAGTGAAAACGACTTGGTTATCTGTCGTGAAACGGCCATTATTGTTAGGTAATGGTGGTGCTTGTTTGACACGTGTGCAGGAGGTGGTGAAGGCGACTACCCACCAGCAGCAGCAGCAGCAGGCAAGGGAGGAGTAGCAGCAGCTGTAGCCTACAATTTGATCTGTGGAGGTTTTCATATCTAAATTTGGTTATATGTACGAAGAGGGTATGTATGGTTCTCTCTTTTGTGATAGTTGCTGCTCATTCTCACCATTAATTTGGGTTCGATTCTGTACTGTAGGAATGACAATATGGATTCCTGCAAGCGGTGGTCTTCTTCACACGGTTCTTTTTCTTCTTTCTCTTCCCTTTTGGGAGCTTTTTAGTTTGCTTCTTCTTGTTGTAATGTGTTGTGATGGATTGGGGAATTTTGGGAAATGGTCTGCTTGCGTGCACTACTGTGATTTTTTTGTGTCCCGTGGTAAGGGATAGATTCCATGGATGTCACTCTTTGCGTTTCCTCTTTTGCCCTTTGGTGACTTTGTTCTGTGTTTTGTCGGCAGAAGTGAAGAACAAAAATTATGTTAGGGAGACATATTTTCTTAAGGTGGGTATACGCTCGAGTTTTTTGGATGTATATGCCTATATGGTACACTTCTAGTTTAGAATTAGATTCTAGAAATCAATTTTTAAATTTTAATAATCAACAGGAAATATGTCTACGTATTTTACTCTTAATTTTGTATTTATAATGGTGATTAGACGAATTTCTGAAGTTGCAGCCACTGGCGGATCCAGGGGTGGCCACCTCGGGCCACGGCCCAGCCCTTCTCTGGATTCGGAGCTAGTATAGTCCTTATGAGTTTATCGATTTTAGTCATTCGGCATAGTGTTATTTTATAATAAGATTGTGTGTAATTGAGAAAATGGGTTAGATGACATAATCAAATCACAACTCTTTAGCCTAGAAATTCTAGCTCCTTTGATTCTCTTCTAAAGAAAAACAAATAATGTAACCTAAAATTGTAAGAGTTTAAAACGTAAATGACTAAAACAACTGAGGTTTGCTCTCTTGAAAATTACTAGAGCAGCTGATGGAAATATGGATGAACACACAATACAAATTGATTAGCCGATTGATTTGTCTGGTATTGGCATTGCCCGTTTCAACAGCTATTATGGAGAAAACCTTTTCAACAATGGAACAGGTGAAATATGATTTGCCTAACAAAATGAGCGATGAATTTCTCACTGATTGGTAAACTAGTTATTTGAGGGAGATTAGTATGCTATTGGTATGAATGTACACTCCATTATTGATGACTCCGCTATATTAAAAGATCGATGTATACAATTGATATTGTAAAAAAAACTATAATTTTTTTACCGTATCTAATTTTCTAATGAAATGCGGCCCAGTGCACTACTATGTTTTGGATTCACCGATGGTTTCAGCGAGCAAGTTTTTTTTTATGGGAATCTGCGCCAGCGAGCAAGTCTTAGAACTACTTAAAATACAGGTCAAATGGTTAATGAGATTTTGCATAAACTCATTTGTTTTTTTTTTTTTTTTGTCATTTGTTTTTACATTGTTTTGAGACTATTTGATGATCAAAATAATTATCATAAAATTCGAGACTCGAGTCTCGAGAGTGTACCATAAATGTGTGCCTGGGCTCGCTTCTTAAAGCCCAACAAGACTAATTTTCCTAACCGGGCCCCAGCCTGTGCGCGACTAGCCCAGTTCTGTCCACCTTACTATCTCTCAGATTGAGCCTGCGGATAAAGCCCAACCCGCATTGGTCTCTACTGGGCCTAATGTATAATGTTTTTTTTTGTCATAGATAGATCGTAATAGATAGGGTATTATAGTGCGGTGAAAATGAAAAAGCGGTAGTCAACCAAAAGGGTTGCTACCGATGCAAGGGCCGTTTGTACCACGCGATGGGCAGCCCTGTTAGTACTACTAAGAGCAAAAACAAAAGAAACAAATGTAAAAGAGGTCTTCAAGCATTGCTCCACCTCGATCATGATCGGCATCATTCTCCATTGCTCATCGTATGACCAATTAGGATTCACCACAAAACATACAGCAGAGTAGTCACGATTAGGATTCCATAACATTTTTGCTGACCATTAAAAATAAGAAAATAAATAAAGAAATAAAAAATTGAGCACGTGCCTGCCAAGAGTTGTAACTACACCAAAAAGAAACCGCAACGCAGTAACAAAGCCGGAAAGACTCGCCGTCCACCGGTGGGAGTCGCCGTAGGAGCCCGGACCGCCACTCGTTTAAAAACCCCTACAAAAAATAAGATCCACGAGAAGAATTTCAAGGATAGAGTCAAATCCAGGATTGACGCACGATGGCGTGGCGCAGGAATCTGCTGGATCGCACGACGGCGAGAAAGAGGGAGAAACAGATCCAGAGGGTAGCCAGAGCAGGTTGCTTTCCCGCTGCTTCCTTTCCCTCTCATGCATGATCAAAACCCAAAGTAACCGCCATTGTTCTGGAATTGTAACCGACGGTGCTTTTGACGGTTGCCACCGTAACCGGTAGATTCACCCGCCACATCTCATTCCTCTGTGGCACTCTGTACTCTATAAGCCTCCGTCTTCCGCGAGTTCTTCTTTCCCTCAATCTATTCTCTGAAATCGCGCCCAACCAGAAGGCCGCAGGACAAGCCAGGAGGTCGGGCCATTCTTCCAGCCGGAAACTGCAAATCGAAAAAGATTATCCTCTTGGCTTCTACTTACTGCGGCGGTTCCGGTATTCTTCGCCGGTGAAACAGAGATCTCGCTGAAGTTTGAGTGAGGGTTGCCTAATGTATAATGTTGATATTGTCTGATTTCCAATCATTCAAAATATAATTACGTAATGGCTTCAGAATCGAATTATAGTCCATCGTAATCCATCGATATTTGTAAGATATAATATAAATCATTAGTTAGTTTATTAAATACATGAATTTGACATTTCATCTTAATGGATGTGTAATTGAGTATCTAAGTTTATTTACGTGAACAAAAACTACGATATTATTTAGCTAGCGTCGTTGCACTAACTTCGACCTGCAGACTAAACCAGGACAAATTAAGGGTTTAGTTTCTTTTGATGTAGCAGAGTTCCATTTTAATAATACAAATCGATATATGGCAAGGCAATACACGGGAGACTCAGAAAAGGATTTCCACTGCCTGCAGTACTGCTGCTCCTCATTTCTCGATGAATCAAATTTAGGGAGATAGATTTAAGATCTAGATTTAGATACACACAGACTCTCTAGGCTGACGACTTATGATATAAGCTGTCCTGTCAGAACCCCAGAAAGAAAAAAAAGAAGAGACATTTTTGGTCTGTTGGTGAAGAACCCAACATCTGCAACTCGAAAAGTTGGCCATTGTTCTTCCCCTGAAATAGCTGGAGACTTCCTGCTGCTACTTGCTAGTGGGCCTGGGCCGGGCCCGCCAGATTCTGCTCTGATCTCCTCTTCCTCTTCCTCCGCCGCGGTCTTGCATCAGCATCAGCATTCAGCAGATAGCGCAATTAGATCGTGGAGAAGCAAAAATCTATATATGCAGCAGATGTATCTGCAGGAAGAAAAAGAAAAAAAAAAAAAAAAGTTGTGCATATTATCAATGAGACAAGAGAAGAGAAGCCAAGAGGAGAAAGAGTGAAGTGGGTGCCATGGGAACGGCATTGAAGAACCTTTCCACTGCCATGAAAACCACTATTTGCTAATTCTCACACGTAAACCTCCCTCTATTTCCCCAAAATCTATCATGTCATGTCTCAGAGTCTGTATTACTTACATATATAGATACTTCCTGCATGCAGGCTCACACTGTTTTGCTATCTTTGTCTGGTTTTTTTTTTTATACGGTTTGCACAGGTTGAACACAGGTTGAACGTATCAACCCTTGTGCTGCCAAACTCATTAGGCTTTCAGTTTGTGCAGGTTGGACATACCATTCCTTGTACTAAACCATTGTTTGCTTAAATTGGGGGTCGTCATGAGGATTCGAAACCATGGCCTTTTGGTTATAGGCTCTGATACCATGTTAGCGAACTAACCACTTGGCCCCAATAACTCGAGTTGTTGGAAAAGATATAGTTAAGCCTTTTAACCTCTTATAACACATGCAGTCTGAGAGAACAAAGGTAAAGGGTAAAGAGGAGTATATATACTCCTTAATTTTGTGGAAGAATACTCCATATATATATCATGAATCTGATTCTGGGGGAGCTTTTGCTCATCAACTCAAGAATAATATATATCAGTATGCGCCTTTGTGGAAAAAATTGCAGCAGCTAGCAAAAAGATGCCCATCTTTTCAAAGAATAATAATAAGCATAAAATATAAGGCTACAAGAGAAGATGGGTTCTTCCAGCCTTTGCTGCTGGAATGAATATTACCCCTCCCTCCCACTTGCCACCAACTTACATATATGCCAGAGAAATGGATTCTCCATTGTTTGTTTGTTTGTATTTATTTATGATAACCAGTAATTAATTACATTGATATCCTACCCAGTCTGACTAGTAACTAATAAAAAAATCTATACATAAACATTTAATTAATCTTAGTTTTGGTAAAGCTTTGGGAAATGTTAGAGAGTCTGCTGTTGTTGTTTAATTAGTTTAGTGTGCTAGCTAGCTGCAGAATCCAACCACCCCCACTAACACCATTTTCATAAGACGTTAAGCAAATTGTATTATGTAATCTGTGTCCTGCAGTCTGTCTGTCTGACTGTCATGGCCCTCCTTTTTGTGGTGCATCGCCATAACCAATGCAGCCTGCAGAAACGAAAATCCAACCACTACTCCTCCCACCATTTGAATGCTCTTTATTTAATTAATCATCTGTTGGCCGTGAAGTTACCAATATCAAGCTGCCAACCCAGATGTGATTATGTCTGTGCATATATATGAATGAATGACATGAAAGATAGTGCAGCCAAAACCCTAATGCATAATTCATCGCATGGAAGAAGAACCAGTAGTACTTGAAATTATATATCATGCATCTTAAATCATGTGCAAATTAAGTCCTGGAAAAAAGTCTAATCATGAACCAGTAATTGCAAAAGGGTCTCTTCTGATCTGGAGGGTTTCCTTTTTGAAGCACAGTGTGATAGAATGTGTATAATTCATTATAAGCACAGAGATACAGATTCATACTAATGATTAACCCCATAGGCTATATAGCAAGGTAAAAAAAAAAAAGCAATGATGAGAAGCATGAGGGAAACAGAAACTAACTTTGTGTCTTACACACAAAATCTGTAGGTAGAGTCAAAATGGTTCATCATTATACCAATCAACCTTTGCTTTCTAAATCACCAACACCTACACATCGGATCTGCCAGCAGTTCATGAATTACATTGTTTGACTAATATCATATCCAAGAGAGAGAGAGAGAGAGAGAATTATACCCTGGAAAAGATAACAATGGCGATGGAAGGGTGAAACAGAAGGAGATCGAGTAGTGTGGAAGCAAGGGTGATTGAGGGGAATGAAGCCTGGTCCGAGGGCCATTTACCTTAACCAGCTGCTACCCATTTTTGAGATCTGGGAGCTAGCTAGCTCATAGTGCCTTGGACCAGACAACGTTCCCCACAAAACACAAAGCTTCTTCTTCTTCGTTCTTCTTTTTTTCTCCCTCCACCCTGCTCCATGGATCGTTTTCTCTCTTTTTTGGTTACCCTTTTTTGGCGGTACAGAGAAAAGTAAAGGCACAGAAACCATAAAGAAGGGATGAAGAGGAAGAGGAAGAGGAAGAAGGTGGAGGTGTGGAGGGGTCGGGAGCCAGCTTGCCTTTGCACTATTTGCTCCCTCCCTCCCTCTCATGGCCGGCCATTTATTTATATATAAAAAAATGCCGGCAGGCATATATCCCTCGAGTAAACAGCCAACAACCAGCAGACACTCCACAATTAATTAATTAAGGTGATATATATAGTTAGACCCAGAAAGAAAGAAAGAAGAAGCAAAAACTTATTATTGGAGTGTCGAAATCAGAGGTATCTCCATTATTACGATATTGTCCGCTTTATTTCAAGTCCGTATGAGGGAATTATGTCCGGGTGTCTGTGTAATGGACACTTATATATAATGATACTTTCTCTTTTATTATTGTTTGTGGTACTTGGGATTGTTGATTTTAGTATAGTATGAAGTTGTTGAACCCTGATTTCGACTTGAAATATCCCACAACTAACTTTTGTGATTACAACATGTCCAATACGATGTTATCGTCTTTGTTTCACACACTGATGAACTATAATATAAATGAAACATTAATTTAATATCGTTCAGACTAGAAGAAGAAGAAAAAATAATGATTATTAACCACCAATAGATTTTGATAATATACACGGTTAATTAAGCTAGAAAGTGACGAGTATACTTGTGAGATGGTGTGCCCGAAATACAACTTTTGTGACCACAGCTAGCAAAATTATGGTGTTAAAGACAGAATGGTTCGGTTGCAACTCTAGATTCCAGTTCGAGCCATTGGATTCTATTAAGCTAAACATTTCAACCAAACAAAAATGTATATAACTCGGCCACATGAACAACTCAAATTTGATCAGCTTTCGTAACGAAGTTCATGATAATTCTTATTGTATGGCTCCTTTTTTTGAAATTGCTAATTTTTTTTGTGACAGCATATACTAATTTTGAACTGCTTCATGTGTTCTGCCAATTTGAATTGTTTTATCCAACTCAAATATTTATTACAGCTTACAAAGTACTAGGTAACTAGACCAAATGATCCATTCTAACCTTACACCAAAAAAATTTGACACATCCAACCAGATTTGTTACAGTTATAAGGATCCCTCCATATCAAAATTAGCCAACTAGTTGCCCAACAAAACAAAAGTATCGGGCCGAATACCCAAACTGTCAGCCCAATAGTGATCGGGCCTGGAGCATTTTGAAGCCCACAATCCAACATTAACCACTAGGATGCGAGGCCCGTATTATAAGCCCAAAATAAATATTGGAAAGAGATACTGACAGCTCTGCTAAATTTGACTGTCTGTAACCAAATCCCAACTCATAACTCAATCAATGTTTGGTGAGAGAGACAGATCATCACACCCTCCCCTCTTAATTACATGCCAAAGTCAAACTGACTAATAACTTAACCCTCATTAAGTTCCACTTCCCAACAATTAGTTGCATTAATCAAATTAAAAAAGCAATTTAGGTTCCGTTTTAGTCCCCCGAAAACAAAGCCATTCCCACAAACCAATTCCTCTCTTTCTCCCTGCCTCAAAAAAATCCAAAAAACCACAAAAAAAAATACTGTTCCTTCTCTCTCTGTTTTCCTCTTCTAATTAACGGCGTACCGGCCTGAACACGTCGCCGGCCGGGGAATTGGGCGGGGAGAGGAGGCGACACAAAACAAAGGAGAGTATATCTCATCTCCCTTCTTCCTCCCCCCTCCGGCCACCACCACCACCACCACCGTGACATGAAACCCACTCATCTCCTTACATTTCCATGCATTTACCCAAATCCCAATCTCCATCATCTTCCTCCTCGTCAACAGCTCGGCAATCATCACGGCCACCGGAGGTAGCCATATTCAGCACCACGCGCCGTCGCCATTCCCATTGCCACTACCACCGACACCACCATCACCACCTCTTATAGCTGTCATTCTCATCATCCACCGCATCTCCTCCCCCACAACAACAAAAAGGGGGGAGAAATTGAGATTGAAAAATCAATTCTCGATTCGAGCTCACAAATGCCATGGTAGACAACCCACCACCGCCATTCCTCGAATTCCTCGTGGATTTGGTCACCCTCTTCTCAATCTTCGCCATCCTCCTCCTCTCCCTCGTCTCCCTCCTCCTAATCCTCCACCTCTACCTCAAATCCTCCACCACCGCCGCCTCCTCCCCGTCCCGCCGCCACCTCCGGAGCTTCAATTCCCTCTGGGCCGTCAGATCCCTGCTCGTCCTCTTCGTCGCCCTCTGGGCTTTCACCGAGCTCCTCGTCATCCCGTCCTTCCGCCGCCGCTACCTCGCCCCCTTTTTACCCAAATCCCTAACAATCCCGCAGCAGATCTGCCTCTGCCGCCTCCACGTCACCCTCTCCCTCGGCCTCTTCCAGCCCGGCTTCCTCGTCGCCCTGCTCTACCTCGTCAAGATCTCCGTCAAGAAGAGCACGCCGCGCGGATCTCGGGCAATCCTCTCCATCGCCGCCACCTGCTTGCCCGTCCTCCTCCTCCAGCTCGTCTTCATCTTCGGCGCCTCCTCCGGCCTCTTCCGCCTGCCGCCCTTCTTCAACCGCAGCTACCTCCTCCCCCGCACCGTCCTTACCCCCAACAACAAGATCCCCATCGCCGCCGCCGCCCACGGAAACGACGCCGTCCTCTGCCTCTACCCGCTGATGAGCTGCGTCGTCTTCGGCTCCTTCGTCGTCTGGTACCTCGCGGCGTTCTCGATCTCCTGCTTCAAGGCGCTGACCCTGGTCATCAATAAAGGGCTGAGGTTGCGGCTCTACGGATTGACCCTCGTCGTGATGATCACCTTGCCTTTGCAGCTCGTCTGCCTCGGGTTCTCCGTCTTGTGGACCCCGCGGGACGAGCCGTACGCCGTGCTGTCGCTGTTCATCTTCCTCGCGGCCTTCGTCATGGCGGCGGCTGGGGAAGGGATCCTGGTGATTCGGCCGATCGCCGATTCGTTGGCTGCCGATCAGGAGATTCAATTGGGGTCTGGTCGGGCGATTCAGCTGGGTTCGAGCCAGGCGGCGGTGGTGGTGTTGCCGACGGTGACGACGGAGGAGGAGGAGAAAGCCATGGTGGTGGTCGGGCCGGCGACGGAGGAAACGACGGCGGATCGGAGTAGTCATAGTGTACAGGTGTAAGCATCAAATCATATATATGTAGAGAGGGAGAGTGGGAAAAGGAAGAATCTGTGGAAAGCTCAATTCGAAGAGATAGAGACGAGGGAGAAGGGGGTAACTGTTGCTGGTTATGTGTGAATTGTGAATGAGTTTACAACACACAGGGAAAGCTTTTTTCTATGTGTGTTGAAATTTTGATCATTTAACAAGAAAAGAAAATTTGTCTATCAAATTCTCACCCTTGTTACAGTCTGAATTAGAAGGCAGCCATTTTTGCATGTTCTTAGTGTTCATTGATTTCTTCTTTCTTGATTACCTGCGTTTTTTTCTGTTTTTGTTGGTTTGCCGCCATTGTTACTCTGTTTGTTGATAATTTAAGAGACTTTTTTTGGTTTCCCGCCACTGTTACTCTGTTTGAGATTACCAGCTTAGATGCTGTCTTGATCGTCTCTTTTCATATTTGCAATTAACGAATGGAAAAGAATAAGAACATTGTACAGGCATTACCAAACAATGAAGCTACTTGAATTAGAATTCTCCCGACTCTCTGTTCTTCCCTTGTTAAAAGAAGCTGCAAAAAGTACTATACTGTCTTGGCATATACTAAAATCTCTACAGTCTACGAGCTTTTGAAGAAGCTCATGCAAATGGGGGGCTTCACTTTCGCCAGAGCAAGGATCGACGAGGGCAGAATCCACAATCCATCTCCACAAATCAACCCAGAAGCGGCAGCAGGAACCATCAGGCCAGCCTTTTTGTTGTTCAACTTGTGCCAAACCAGAACAACCAAGCTCCCCACGCACATGTCGATCGCGAAGTACGCTCCTACGAGGAAAGGCACGGCCATTGCCATGGGGAGAGGAATCCACTTCCCTATTTTCTTTGGCAGCAAGTCTCTCGACAAGTTGGCTGTGATAGCAAATGCGAAGAATCCGTAGCAGAGCTGTAGGCAGTGCCGAGGGAGGGCGGAGAAGCCTTCCACTCCAAGGATCGCCATGTTTCTGTAGATGAGAGCGTAGGGAGCCTTGTACTCGCTTTTGCGGTTCCCGACATCGAACGCCTTGTAGAAGAGGAAGAACGTGAGTGGAGCTACCACGCAACCTATGGCGGTACCAATAGCTTGGCTGAGAAGCATGGATCGTGGGGAAGTCAGAGTGAGATGGCCGGTCTTCAAATCGTGCATTAGATCAGAAGAGATTGACACGATCGACTTGATCAGTCCACATCCTACAAGCCCTGCAACGACGCCATTTTCTTTCCCCGATAAGGCTGCTAGGACGAAGAGCGCCACTTTGCCATAGTTGTAGGCCATGTTCATGTCGGTTAGCCCAGCGCCATATGCGTTGCAGAAGCTGAGAGCCGGGGCGATAATGTAGGAAATTACCACGTAGTACCATTTCAATTGAGGGAACATGATGGGGGTGATGATGATTGAAATTACGGAGAAGGCGATGTAGCCCACACAGGCTATCCAAATTGGGATAGTTTCCCTCATGAACACTTCATTTCTTCGAAGGCTTTCAGTTGGAGCCTGATTCTGGTCGTTGGAATCTGCAGATACATGAACTAAGATTTTTAACAAGAAGGTAAGTTCCTGAACTTCAGTGATGTGTCCTGGTTTGGAAACATGATTTGAGGGATAAGAGCATCAGCTTTATTTACTTACCAATTTTCAGATTTCTTCTCGCCCTTGCACCAGCATGAAGGTTAGCAATTGTACAGCAGAGTATCTTGAGGAGATTGTAGAGGCCATCCCCAAGGATTAAAGCGAATGAAATGAAAACCTGAACCAAAAACGGTCATAATCATCGTCATCAAGAGTTTATGAATGACAGCAGGGAAATGGCAGCCAGCAAATAATTTGTAAGGATAGCAAACCTTGTAACCATTGAGGCTCTTCATACTGCTTTCTGGTAGTGTTGAAGGAAACCAGTTTCCTTTAAGTCCATCGATCAACGGCCACATTACCCCATAAGAGAGCACTGCGCCAAAGAGCAACGAGAAATTGACGAGATGAGAGCATATCATTCCAGCTCCGACATAAGTCAGGCTGAAATCAAAGTAGAATCTGCAAGAGAAGTTCAATTTCTTGATCAATACAGAGCAATTGGTACTGAACACCACCATGACTAGTGAAACAGATGTTCAAATTCAATTCATTATGCACAATGTGAGTTCACCAGTGCTAGTTTTAGCACTTACGAGTTTTTCCAAGCAGCCAATCCAAATGTTGGGAACTGCACAAAACCGCAATACTTTCCTTGATCCTTTGGTCCACCGGAGAAGAACCACTGGAAGAAAGCCCATAGGAAGCTTATGGAGAAGTACTTGGTGAAGGCTTGGACTTGTTTTCTGCATTACAAAACACCGAATCCCCGAATTGAGTAATTTGAAACTACAATCACAAATCTTCTGTTGTATGATCAGTTGGTAAGGAAACCAAACAAAAAGCCAGAACAAGGATTTACTTGCCTGGCCATCTTGTGTCCCTTTCGGGTGTGGAATCCATTGATAAGTACACCAGTAGCTGTTCCACTTGGATAGCTCAATTTATAGTCTATTATCATAATCTGAAACCAATCAAAACCATCCCAATTTATCATATCAGATGCTCATTCCATTCAATACACAGCTAGCTCATCGAGACTCGTTCGTTTAACAAGAAAAAAAGGGTCCACTCTACCTTCCTGAGAGGAACCAGGGCAAGTAGCCCAGCAAAGCTGCTCACAAAGAGGAAACCAATCATCCAGCCGATTCCAGGTTCCTTTACGCTCCGCGGATTGTTCCCTGATGAATCAACCCCAGATAGCTCGTGTGTCTTCCTGTTCAAACCCAGAAGATACGACCCAAAACCACCTGCATAATGAATTGCCATTTGTTACAATTTACAAAACCATCTGCATTACCTTGCTGTACATGAAAACTAAATTTGATGTTCTATAAGAAAATATGTCAATCTCAATCCCCACCTCCAAAATCCATGCTGTAACAAGCCACAGCGCAAGTCTGAATCAAGGTATTTTCCTGCCTGGTGAAGGGAGTGGTGACAAATCCGGCCTTCTTGAGAAGCTTGGTCCAAGTGGTGACGAACACGAAGGCTAACAGCGCCGCTGAGACGTTTAACGTTGGGACTATCCCAGTTGTTAGAATCAACTTCATCACGATCACAACGTATATGAACCCGATCGCCACGCTCGCCACTATCCCTCTCACCGTGAATTGCTTCGTCCACGGAGGAATCCTTTTGAATTCCTGCTCCCCTGCTTCTTCTGAATTCTCTTCCTCCTCCTCCTCCCAATTCTGGGCTCCTCTTCCTGCTGTTGTTTCAGGCCTCTCTGCAGCCATCTCTATCTCCTTCCTTTCCCCCTCATCATCGCCCATTGCAAAGGAACTAACAAACCCGAACCCCACTGAAACAGAGGATTGGTATTTGGCCGTTTCTTGATTGAAGAAATTCCACACTGAAATGCTATCCTACTGATCACTACTTCAATCGGTTTCGAATTTCCGCAGTGGAATGGGATTTCGTTTATGTTAGGAGAAATCTGGTGACGATAAAGATTGAATCTTTGGTGGGATTGTGTGGGGGGGAAGTGGGCAGGGCAAGTCGGACTCAGTGATGGCGCATGGCAGTTGATAGTCAATTTCTGTTATGTACACGTCATCGTACACGTGGCGCCCATCCGTATCAGTTTGTTCTTCCCGCCATTGCTCTCCACGGGGTAACGGCTTGCCACATCAGCAAGACTCCCGCCTCCCACACGCTTCTTCTTTTTTTTCTTTTTCCTTTAATTTGTACATGGATCCAATCAAGTTTAGGCCGAGTTTGAGGTTGGATCGTTTTGCTGGGCCAACTCAAGTTCGAAGGAGCCCAAAAGCTACCGTATAATAATACAAGTGGCGTACAATACTGTCCACAAAGGCCCAGAGTGGTGTTGAAAAAAAGGAAAATAATTTAAAAATAGAATTCTGGTTTTATCTTAGAAAAGAAAAATTAGAAAATCTGGAGGAAAATGTTAAACCGAGCAAACCAGACGAGAGAATCTCTTGGGGACACGGGCGGACGGTGTTCGATGCCCGAGTGAGCGAGTAAGATCCGATATTCAGAGGTGGTGGAGAAAGAGAGAGAGAGAGAAAAGCCTGGCCTGGTCGTCGATCTCAGAGAATACTTCGCCGGCGACCGCTGTTGCTTTTTGTTGAATTCATTCATTGTCGGCGAAAAGGGTGAGGCGGAGAGTCGCGGTCCGGTATCCCGCTAAATCGCGCATTTGGGAAAACCGTACGTTGGCACGCGATTGGGTAGGAGGCCGGAGAAGCACCGGCAATCGCAGATCTCCATCCGGCAATCGAGGCGATGAGTAGTTACAAGACGCTTCTCAGGCCGAGGCTCGAGAACTCGGTGTTCGACTCGCTGAGTCAACTCGGGCAGGAAAGGTATAACTCGGTCGGTGCAGAAAGATTTTGTTTTCTTATCCTTCTTGTTCCTCCTCGTTTGGCTCTGATATTACCGTGTGACCTGTGTTTCTTTTTTGACAGAAATTCGAACAATGACGATGCTCTTTCCGATGCCGATTCCGTTATTCTGAACGGCCCGGACATCTTCGACTGCGAGAATCAGGTGCGTTTCGTCATGGATTTGATTCATCAGCGAGTGGAGCAGTCTCAGGTAATGGGCCTCAATTCACATTTGGTTTCCGAGGCCCTGAATGAATCTGCCTTTGGTGTTGTCGAGGAAGAAGACAATCGTAATGCCATCAGGAGTTTAGAACCCGATTTGGGGATAGGGTTTGGTTTAGGCACACACGACAATTGCGGGTTCCATGATGTGTACGCTGGTGATGATACCAGCAACATTGATTATCATTGCAATACTGTTCTTGATGATGTTATCGATGACGACGTGTTCTTCATTGAGAGGAGGGTGTCTGGGCTTGAATCACGGGTCGTTGAGTTCCAGTCAGATTCAGAGTCGGAGGAGAACGACAACTCTCTGCTAGCTATAGATTTCGGTTCTCGTGATGAATATGGATTGGATGACGATATACATGTGGGAAGTGGGCACTATGATTATGGCGATGGAGAAGTTGATGTTGGTGTTGTTGATGATGATGATGAAAGTATTACGATCCCGCTTTGTTGGAACTCGCTTTCCTTGGAGGATCACAGAGATCATCAGAATGAAGATTTCGAGTGGGAGGAAGTTGATGGCCGCGTGGATGAAAGAGAGGTGTTGAGCATGTTTCTCGATGAAGATGATGACGACGATGAGGCCTCTGCATCGCTCTCGATCTCTCCGATCATTTCCCCCGAGGATATGGTTAGTGTGGACAGGGTGGTCGGTTCGGGAAATCTCGAGTGGGAGGTCTTGCTGGATGCCACTAACCTGGGACCGCTTCCAGACCCAGATCAAGCAGCTCGATACTTTGGTGGCGGCGGTGGTGGTCATGATGACGACTATATCTACACAGCAGACTACGAGACGGTGTTTGGGCAGTTTGCTGAGATGGACACGGTGCTCACAACAGGTCAGCCCCCTGCTTCCAGATTAGTGGTCGAGAGGCTTCCCGCTGTCGTGGTGACCAAAGAAGACGCGGGGAGTGATGGCTCGACCTGTGCTGTCTGTAAGGATGACATGAGTGCTGGGGAGAAAGCAAAGCTGCTGCCTTGCACGCACCGGTACCACGAGGAGTGCATCGTGCCTTGGCTTAATATTAGGAACACTTGCCCAGTCTGTAGGCATGAATTGCCTACCGACGATCCCGATTACGAGCGGAGGAAGATGGTGGAAAGATCTACTGGTGCTGTTGCTGCTGCTGCTGGTGGTACTTCTGGCCATCACCATGTGATCACAATGTGATGGGGGGTATTTACTGACCTCATCGTTGTTTGCTGCCGGGGAAGTCTCATTCCCACATGTGTATCCGTGTCAGATAAGGAGTTTACTGGCTTGCAGCTTGCTTGTGTGACGATTGTAGTAATGGTAGAAGAATTTGTTTTTGCTGTATTGTACTTTCTGAAGGGTTCGGTTTTCTGGTTTTGTTCTTGTTCCTGGAATAATGTGAGAAATGGTTTGTTGTTTTTTGAAAAGTTATTTGCCTACGATGATTGAACAACGAATTGTGCACCTTATATTGGCCAATACTACGGTGCCGCACTAAAAAGTGCGGTATCGGTGACGCCGTTTCTAATTGGGCCACGTGGCGCTGATGTGGCATGGCTGGCTTTGATTGACCCAAGCCCAGCAATTATTAACCGAGCAACGAAGGAAGAAGTGACCAAACCAACTCCCGTCAAACTAACGGTAGTCCTCCCCATCCGATTAATTGTTTTATTTTTTCATTTATTTAAAAATTGATATAATTTATTTTTCTGTAGTAAAAGAAAGAAGGAAACTCTCGCTCGTCCGATTCTGAAACGATCGAACAACGAACTCCACAATCCGTCGGACGGTCCAAACTCCATTACCTTCACTGTATTCCGAATCCATTGATTGATTTGTGTAAAACAAAACCCTGTTCCCAAGCGGCCCTCTGGCTCCATCGAAGCACTCTGCCGATACCGACGATCCAAAGGCAAATGAAGAGTGCATCTCCCTCCCTCTGTTGCGTCTCGCCGCTCTGTACCCTTCCTGTTGACGAAGCATAATTCGAAGTTCGTTGGTGCCTGGAAAGAAACATGTTTGTAGGAGGAAGTTCAAGTCAGCAAGCTTACCCTCCACCTACCAATGTAAAGGTAAACTGGAATCAATGCCAGAGCAGATAGCAAAAACAGACAACCAAATAACGGAAATCTTCCAGATAAGAAAATACCCTCCCACCTTGCAATATGCAGCAGGCCACTGCCAATACAACCATCTCCAGACAAGAGAAAGAAAAGCATAAACTGAAATAGGGAAGGGGAGAACAACATCATAATCAATGTCGGAGGGAGCAGTGAGGGATTTCAATCCAGGCGATAGGGAGACCGGGGAGATGGGATCGACGACGGACAAGTCGTCGGGAAAGATTTTGTAGAGGCCGCCGGCGAGGGAGATCGATGAATTGTGCTGTTGTTTCGTTTGGTGTAGATCCATGTTTTCTGTTTTCTGATTTTGTCAAAAAAAAACAGTTACATGAATTTTAATTTAATTAATTAACATAAAAACGAAAACAAAACGTTGAACGGAGTTACGGAGAATCCATTCGCCCGGTTGGGCTACTTCTAAGTTCTAACGGGCCACCTGGGGTTTGGTTGGGATTAATTAAACAAAATCAACGCCACCTCATATCTACGTGGACCAATGAAGGGTAGCGTCACCGGTGCCGCATTTTTATTGGCGGCACCGTAATATTGGCCTAAAACCCCTTATATTTTATCCGTATTTAGGAGAAAACCCAACGCGAGTCGGATCCAAAAATCTCAGAACCCAACACGAAACAGCCCAACCAGAAAACCCAACGCGACCCGAAGGCCCAAGAGGCCCGTGTCCGGTGTCCTTTCTTGTAGCGCCCGAAGAGTTTCCCCCCAAATAAATACTTGGACGTCAACTAATAAGCCGTGTTGTTTCCAAATCACCGCTTTTTTCCCCCCCAACCGCCCTCCCCTGGGAATAACCGTGTCTTTCTTCTACTCCCTTTTCTTTTTCCCATTTTCTAGATTAATCTACAATTTTCATTGGTTATTAATTTATCAATTTTCTGACTCACGCCAAATTCACGACTGGTTCCGTGTGCCAGCTCAGCAAGCAAACCTCACACCCCTTTTTTTGTGTACAAGCTAAGCAATCCAATAACCCTCTTTACCTTCCCCAATACGCTCTCCCTAATTCCCTTCCCCAGCAAAACCCTAATCCCCTTTCCTATAAATACGCACCCCGCCAATCTCCCCCTTTTCCCCCTCCTTCCATTTCCTTCATCTTCATCCTCCAGCCAAACCACAAGTTTTCTCTGCAACCATCCAAACCAGTCCCCTGCAGCAGCAGCTAGAATCACTATATGCGAAAGGAGGCAATTAGATTAGAATGAGCAACATTCCAACTTCCCTCACAGACTCAGCTCTCACGCTCTTCAACCTCGCCATCTCTTCCTCCGATCCCTGGCCTTTCTCTGCTTTCTTCTTCTTCTTATAATCCCCTGCCTCCGCTTCCAGATTCCGTTTCCGCCAATCCGGTGCCAATTTTTTTGTTTGTTTGTTATGGGGAGCAGTAGCGTAGCGTCGGAGGAGACTATTATTCACGCGATGCCAGCCGCAGCAGCTGCCGACAACCACGGCGGCGGAGGAGGAGGAGGAGGGGGAAAGCACCACCACCACCACTTCCACATCCACTTCCCGCACCTGGATCTGTTCCACCACGGCGGCGGCGGCGGGCCGAAGAAGGGGATGGTGGCGATCATCGTCGGGGAGGAAGGGGAGGAGCAGCAGAGGTTCGTGGTCCCGGTGATCTACATCAACCACCCGCTGTTCATGAGGCTGCTGAAATCGGCGGAGGAGGAGTTCGATTTCCACTACCAGAAGGGGCCGATCACCATCCCCTGCCACGTGGAGGAGTTCCGGAGCATCCAGGGCTTGATCGACCGGGAAACCAACAACCTCCACCATCACCACCACCACCACCTCCTCTGCTTTTGGGTTTGATTGATCGATTTGATTCGCCATTGTTACTACTAATACACATATACTTATTATATTTCATGTAATTATTTTTGGTATCGATTGTTATTGTTATTAATCGATTTAATTGTGTAAAGCTACCGCGTGTTGTTATCTTTGCTGATTAATTTCGGTTCATTAATTATGTTTGGTGGGGAATATAGAAGAAGGGGAACAAGTGGGGGAGGTGGCGGTGGTGTTTGTGTGGTTGCTAGATTGCTATTAACGTACCAATCTTATGGTGGTGACAACGATGATGATGATGACGACGACGTGGAAAAAGCATATGGTAACAAAGGAGAGGAAAAAGGAAAATGTGTGGTTTGTGATTAATTGCAACGTTTGTTGGATTGATACATACCAATAAGTATGGTTCAAAGCGGTGAGAAATGATGGTTGGTGTGATATAGTTGATCATAGACATTACATACTCTGTATTCATAATCGTCCTGTGGTTGGTCAGTCGAGTTCGAGGTCGATAAATTTATCATGAAGCACGGATCGGAGCGGGTCGCGACTTATATGAATGTGTAATTTAAAGAGAGAACATTTGAAAACATAGAATTTTCATCAAATTACAACATGATAAATGTAGTTAATGGTTGAGAAAAAGGACGGTTCTCACCAATTTATAATCTTTTATAGCTAAAATACAAGGTAATAGTATTAGGACGCGGGCAGATTTATGAGATTACCTATGCAATGTCATGCTCAACCCAGTCTACAATATACGAGTGTTGCCTGCCCAAATAAGTCAAATAGATCAAATAAAATGGGTCATATAGAAATTGTCATTCTTTTATGTGAAATGGGGGAAAAAATTAAAGGTGGTTTTATAAAAGAGAAATGTTAAAGGTTGTTTAAGATTTTGCTTTTGCTTTTATAACTTTTGTTGATGCAATTTGGGGTGGGAAAGCCAAGTCTTCCAACTTTCTTGTAAGTGAGAGAAAAAAGTAATTGGTGCCAAGTTGGGATGTCATGCAAACGTATGGCACACGTTTGGCCTTTGGGCTTATTGGAGGGTTTGTTTGTTGTTGTGGTTGGATGAGATGAGCGCCGTTTGGAAGGAAAAAAGGCAAAATACGTACCCCAACGACCTCAAACCTTCCTTCTTGCTTTGCTTGTGCAATAGCGTTTTGCTTGGTTGGGAGTTGGGGCCTTTTTTTCCCTCCTTTAAAAAGTCACATTCCATTCCTTGCTCCTTCAATTTTGCTTTTTCTATGAGATTACATGATTAGGATGCTTTTATCTAACAAACATTGATAGGAGTTTGATTTGAAGTTGCGAGTGGAGCGATTGATTGGCCTATTCACAAGAGGTTGAAACGGATTCGAGCAGGTGGTATTTGCTAGATGAGAACATGAACTGATAACAATTATATGCGTACGAATTTGATGATTCTTTTTGAGAAATGAAATTTAGGTAAGTTATGATTCAGACTCTTATCATAATGATATTGCAGACAATCAGTTTCCTAAATTTGCACGCTACAAAAAAAAAATTATTTAATTTCTATATGATTAGCTGTTGTAAATGTGTTTACTTTATGAATTTCTCTGATGAGAAATGGGGTGTTTTTTTTTTGCTTTGAAAAGAAAAAAGCAAACGAAAATGGCAACTTCCATGTAGTTGTGGTATCATCATGTTTTGCTGTCTTCCATATCCAATAGCACAATAATTTCACTTTGAGAAATATGAAGTCAAGCATTAAACTATCCAATCCACGTCACCCGCAGCTCCTAATTATTTGTATAGGGCTCACAACAATAATGTTGTCAGTCTTTCTACTAAACCAAAATTAAATGTTACTCATTTCCTCTTTACATTAAATACCACATTGTAAAATCTTATTCGACAGTCTGATTGTAGTAAATTAAACAAGAATATAGAAGTGGTCTATCTATTTGTATAAACTATTGATCCTATTGTATTGAACTTTGTAAACTTGGAAAGGTAAACCATCTGATTTTTTGTTTTTCATTTTATCCTCAAAACCTTCTAGATTCAGATGTGTAACCAATTCAATTGAAAACCCTTTGTATGTGTGGACTGAGTGAAAGGGAGTGCAATTATATCATATTCATATATAGAAATGGACCCAAATTTTGGCAATTGCAAGTACTTAATTAATTTGTTGCCGTCGTGCGCGTGGTGGCCGGAGTCACCGGACATCATCATCGGCAGAAAGAAAGAAAAGAAGGGTTCATATTTAGTGTTAGTGGTTGATCAATGGCAAATCGGCAAAGAGGGTTAGGTTGGGTGTCCAAGTTTCAGGGGTTGGTGGTGCAACACACAACGACGTCGTGCTGAGGTAATAACTTACATAATTCTATTGTCCTCCGGCAGACCCCACAAATGCCGACGGCATTAGGTTGCCCCTTTGTTAAATGGATTGAATTTATAGATGGGTGAATTTATGTATCAAACATATTGTATCAAATGAATTAGTAGATTTATCGACCCAAATGAAAGCTAATTAATTAAAATTAAGGGTGATCTATCGATCCAAACAAGAATTGAATCAAATCTAAGTGTCATATAAACATTGGATCAATATACAAATTTAAAAAATTTAGAATTAAAAAATGTCATGATGAAAAAATTTAGGTACCAAAATGAACTTTTCCAAAATTATTTTATTTTTAACAAATTAAATTTAAGCACGACAATGTAAAATATAAAAAGGATAGGTGCTAAACTATGACTTACCAACTATCCATGAATCCGCCAATCTGATTGGATTTAGATTAAATGTATTAGATCTAATTTGATTGGATGTAATTGGATATTTTACTGGATGGACCGGATCAGATTGGTGGATTGGATACGAAGTTTCCACTTGATCTAGAGGGTGGTATTGCATACGGGGTTGGATTAGTATATAATGATAGGATATGTTGAAACCGCTCCTCCCTCGCACGATATCAACTGTCGATCGGGGTAATGCAGGCGATGGTATTTTTGTAAATTTTGTCACACCTTCGTACTATCGCGAAGAGGACGAAATAGAATCAGTGTTAGCACGCGCATGTATGTTTACACACACCACAACATATAAAACATTTTGTAGCGGAATACGATTTTATCGTATGTATTCGTATTCCCAAATCTCGCTTCTCGTACTTTGAAATCCCATCTTTGCGTCGTACATTTAGACATATACATATTCAGCTGAAGAAGTTGGGCCATGCATTTAGCTTTGGTTGTGGGCGTTTTTAGAGAGCTGAGAGAGAGTCATCGGCCGCATGTGACAAACAAAAACAGCTATATAAACCTTAAATCTCCAGCAGCTTCGGGTCCATGAAATGAAAGACTTGGAGATGCGGCGGCCGTCTCTGTCTCTCTTTTTTCAGTCCCTTTCCTTCCACTTGAAATCATCGGCGGATCTAGCGCTCAGGACTGGGCCAACCCGGGCCACGGCCCAGCCCTCCACCGGATCCAGAGCTGGTATAGAGCTTATAAATTTTTCGATTTTAGGTATTCGGCCCAATATTAGTTAATCGTCGGTCGAGTGTTATTTGATAATAAATTTTGTGTAAATCCCTATTATTATTATGAAAGTTGGAGGGTCAAATTGACCTTCTTGTCAATCCCTAATTATAAACGGCTTGTTGAGAACCATTAGAACAATGCTTAACGTGTCTTTTGTTAGGTTCTACTTGACTTTGTTATCTTTGCTAACAGCCAAAGATAACTTCCCAAATGGAAAACACGCAATGAATTCCTCAATTTAGGCTTACCTATGTTGTGTGTTCTTCTGATTACAGGCCAGAGAACATGCATGGACACCGCAAACTTGGGCCAGCTGGCCCAGTTCTTGATTCCTTGCAGGATCCGTCAGAAAGCTAAAATTGGTCTTCTAGGTAAGTTGCCCATTATTTTCCAATTTGCATCTTTTCCTTCCCTTTTGCTAACCCAAGTTTAAAGCTTTCTTATTCTATTGATATCGTGGTCAACTCTTTAGAAGTCATAGACCCACGTGGGATTTTGTCCCATTGTTTTATACTCGTTTTCAACGTTTAGGTATCCCTACATCACTAATCATGTTTTTAAATATGGATTAAGAGAAAGAAGGGCAGATTTGACTATTGACTTTGTCGTCAACTTACATCACATTATAATGCAACAAATTTGTGGTATGGTGTTTCTGTTTGTGCGAACGATGCAAACAGCTTTTGCAGAATCAGAGAACTCACTTGGCATTGCCGTCGGTGCAGAAATCCGAACCATCGCCGGCATCATCCAGCGGCCCCCACGTTTACCCTAACAATGCGCCAAGATTTTGGGCGGTTTCCAACTTTCTATTGACTTTCATCGCATGAAATGTATAAAAAACTACGACAATGTGTAAAACACTACGAGATTTTGGGCGGTTTCCTACTATGAGTCGTGTGTTTAATTTTCAGGTCTGGCTGACGTCCAGGATGTAACTATCTCTTTTTTTATATCAATATAAGATTATATTAATGGTGTTACGGTATTTTTGTTAGGTTTTTCTCGAGAATACTTCATACTTCACCAACTCAAACTGTTTTTATCATGGGAATTTCAAGTATCAGACCCAGGACAACATAATCCTATGCAATAAGTAGTCTCAAGACTCGACTCGCTCGTCGCCTCCATCATCAATATCCCTCAATAGTTAGACAAGAACTTAGCACAAAACGTTTTCAATGATAATATTGATCGGTTTTTATCTAAAACTATATATATGAGTAAGTATCAAAATAACGTATTATATATCCATCAATACAAAAATGATTACGATTATAAAACCATGGTTGCAAAATAATATAGGAAAGCTGTCCCCTCCTAAACCAACTATCTCCTGCTTATTTTAGACTTTTAGAGTTATAGTAGTAAGAGGTACTATAAGAACAAGTTTGAAGCTTTAGAGAATACAGTCTTTCCAAATATCTGAAGATGCATTATTGCATTTAAAAATACATAATTTTTTCTTTTCTACAAAAAGGTTAGCTATCAACTATCATCATCTCCCAAAATTTGTTCATTTCTTCGACATAGACGTGACAATTAAGAACAGGAAAACAAGAGATGAAACCAAAGCTTCAACTTCCAATCATCATGCTCTTGCCTTTGCCTTGAAAATGTCCCAGCACTGTCACTCGACTTCCTTTCCTCGCACTCTATCACAACTTCCACAGAAGTAAAGGGAGAACAGATAAAAGTGAAAGGACACTCGTATTCCCCCCTCCAAAACCAGAAAGAATAATGGCAAGCAAATCAAAAACCGATTCTCTACCCAGATAATCCTATAGCAGCTAAATAACCCGTCTTCCTATCTGGGTCTGGTGTTCGTACTCCGTATCGTCACACCACGCAAGAATTTAGTATATCCAAGAAAACTCAACCTCCCATCCGAGGTTCTGATACAGTCTGCAAGCAAGGAATGAGCTGCAGGCCCCAAGTTCATTTCCTGCATTTGGTGAAGAAACATGTTACATCCCAAACTCGAATATCAGCCACCACGAGCATGGTTTTGTGAAGGGAACTGTTTTAAGAGGACTTACCAGTGCCAGTTCCTGCACCGATATGACTCGGTTTCCTTCTTGTTCGAAGTGATCAAATGCTGTTTTTGCTATCTTGTCCCACCCGTCATGGGCTTCGAGCTGATATGTACTGATAGCCGCCGCACAGAATTCTTCAAACCCCATTTTCTTGTAGGAGAGTGGCTCAAGCTGATGATAGAAGTAGGTGCAAGGTAAAAAAGTTAGCCTCGTACATGAAGTATAAGTCATAAGTACATACATGCTCTACAGTAACAGCAAGAATAGAATTCTCGTGTTTGTTTAAACTCACCACATGTAGAATGTCAATGACTCTAGACTCCTTCATGGCATCAGTCACATTTCTGGTTAATGCCTGCAAACCAGAGGGGGAAAAAAAAGAGTTTTGAATAGAACACTACATGTTTGTCCATAAATCATATGAAAGAGATTTTAGACGAACATGGTTTTCATGTGAAATAAAACACTGAAAATGACAGATCTGTCACTAACCGCTCTGAAATTGTTAAGGGACACATGTCCATCTTTTGGTTCTAGGAGCTCGAATTGAGCCCTCAGATAGACAAGTTCGTCCTCAGGAATTCCTTTTGAAAGAGCCTGCATTTGTATTTAAAAGGCATGAAAGAAATGTCAGAGTCGACCACCCCGTTATAAACATGTTCTGCAATGACATAGACAACTTATCTCTTCTTTCCATATGTATGGAAAGAGTACGACTGAAAAGTTCATGCATGTATAACTAACTACCTTCAATGCTGCACGTCTGAAAGGTGTGGCCCGAACATATGACTTGACTGTCTTGAATATAAAGATATCCAAAGGCACCTCTTGAGCTTCACTTCTTATCCATGGATGAGCTGCAAAATAGAGACAATTAAACCATTCCGTTAAACTAGGGAGCAGCATTCATCTATTCAGCATTTGGATACTGAGTAGTGAACATTGCTGTGTTATCATAAATAACAAATACTCCTTACAAAGAGCCTGAGCTGCTGTCATTCTTTTTCTGTGGTCCTTGTTCAGAAGTCTTTTTACAAAATCTTTAGCTTCTGGTGATACTGAGGGCCAAGGTGAGTCATTGAAGTTAGGATCAGCTCTCAACACAGACCGAAAGATCCCTGATTCAGTCCTAGCCCAGAAAGGTCTACTCCCACACAGTAATATGTAAGTTATCACACCAACACTCCACATATCAGCCTCAACGCTGTATGATCGATGGAGCACTTCTGGTGCCACATAGTATGCACTTCCAACAATATCATTGAGGCGTTGTTCTGCAAACAAGACAATGTCCAAAGTTGTACATTGCTTCAGAATAACAGTTCAAGGCAATGAATGTGAATGAACTCCAAGAGAAGATGATCTGGTTGTCAACAGTATAAAAGAAAACAACAAAGAGGTCTTTCAACTGAATTGATGACGTATTTGCTAGAAGACGGATACTATCCTGGATTTTACACAAAATAGTCTCATTGATTGAGTGAAATCGAGAGCAAAAGAGAACGAATTTCACTACCGCTAGACCAAAATTGAAAACCAATACACGGTGAAACCTAGAAGCCAATGTAACTTATTAAACAACGAGAATCAAAGACACTTTGTAAGTCTCCAAAATCAGTAGCATAGTCATCAATCACGACAGATTCAATCACAATTGTCAACCTCACTTATCACTGAACAACTAAAATTTAACTTGAGGAACTTGGACATATCTACTTTTCACTCTATACTTCAACTTTGACTGCCTAAGTTCACTAGTATGGAAATGATCTACAACGCCCTTACCTTAAACCTAACACTTAGAAGGTGCAAACAGATATGAAAAGGTGCAAATACTTAACACATGTTTGTTTCAATGAACTGAAATTCCAATCCTGATACCAGTGTTGCTTGACATGAAAATCCCAATTGATGATTACAGTAATTTGCAGTGTAACAACTGTTACCTGGCCTAACGTAGTCAGATAGACCAAAATCAATAATCTTCATTGGAGCATCCTCATCTTTAGTGGTGAACAGAAAATTCTGCAAAAGGTGAGTATTCAGTTAGAGGTTGAGAATAAAAAATAGAAGAGACATGGTAGAAGATCTTCCAGACACTTTCATAAACTAATTTGTTGTTCAATTAGGCTACAAAATGGAAAGCAAAAAAACATTCCATACATGTCAGTATAGCTGCACACAGTACAATCATATTGTAATACCTCAGGCTTTAGATCACGGTGTACAACACCTTGAAGATGGCAATAGGAAACTACACCTAAAATTTGAACAACGATGGCTTTTGCATCCTCCTCAGTGTACCTTCCACCCCTACAATACAAACATAACCCAATATGTCAATTACCTCTAAATAAAGGATCAAACTGACACTTTCATCATAAAACCATTCCAACTAACATGGATAAAATTTAAATACATTAAGACTTTTTTCTCATTCAGAAAGGAGGACTAGGAATTGCTCTATTACCTCGATAAAATTCTGTCAAGAAGTTCTCCACCTTCACACAATCTGACAGCAAACACGTTTAGATTGCTTTAGAAACATTTTGAATTACACAGGGTAAGCATGCCAACTAATCTCATTTCTCATATAGTCTTCCAGGCCGACCAACGTATTAGCAACATTCAGATTTTTTTCTTTAACCCACAATGAAAGATATGACAAGACAGATAGCCAGTTTATGTAAAAGAGTGAATAAATGTACATACTCCATAACAATGTAGACGTTGTTGCCATCCTCAAATGCATCATGAAATCTTATCATGTGCTTATGCCCACATAATGACTTCAATATTTTTACCTCCCGGCGAACATCTTCAATGGCAATTGCTGTCGTCATCTGCCATTCAGAACTAGTTAGTGATAGAAAATGTTTATGAAACCCAATGTGCACACTTAACAAAACTAAGCAACCATCAATCAGGAGCATCAGCAAGGCCAAGCTGATAGAGCCAAAGCTAAATCGTTATTATAAGTAAATATGATATTCAATGATAATATGAATACAAATATTTGTCATCCCTTCCAGTTGATAACATGTCCATTATCTTTCCATCTTCTTTCTAAATTGCCAAGTTCATCTTTTCCCCTTCCAACTAAAAGAACAAACTCTCAAGGTGAAAAATACATAATTCCTTTGGGAGTTTATAAAACCCTTTACCCATACATACAAGCAAGGTCTCAGAGATAAGAACAATCCAAGATTTTCTCACTCGCCCTTCCTATGTCAACTGTTTTGTTCTGATCTACAAGTATGATGTTAGACCAGAGCACCACATTCCTAATAGTGATGACAGCATCCACCGCCATAATTTGACAACACAGAAAAAAATTGATCAACAAACACTAAAATGACTTGTTCCATCCAGACATGTATAGCTGTCTTCCTTGACCAAAACTCAAAAGGTGATAGGTACAGCTTACCATCTTATCCTACATATTTCTTTCCAAAACCTCGGATCCGTCAGTTTTTCTTAACACATACAAACTCCTCATCCCGAGACTTCCAGCTTTAATGTCCCAGAGAGGACAGCTGTTGATGCTTCATGCCAGCATTCCATTGCACATTACAGATCAGGATAAAAACTGTTAAATTCCTCCAAGTTTCCGGGATGATGGAGTGACTCCACAGACAACTTCTTGTCTTCACTCCCGTGAAAGCGAGAGGAGCAAGAAAACAAAGGGAAGGAAGAAAAAATCAGGGAGAGACCCATCAAACTCTACTACACCATTTGCAAGCTTGTTGCTGTTCCTAAAACTAAAAGATCATATAATCAGCTGAGGAATGTGACTACTCATGCTGCCAAATTCCAAACAACCACCCTCTTAAACTCTCAAAATGAATTTCTATCCCCTTGAAACGTGGAGCTAAGCTGGACTGTTAACAATCTTAGTCCACAGCAGCTGACCAAAGGCATCTCAGTGATCAATCCTCAATTCCTAAAAAGTTCATAAACCAACCAAGTCAAGCAAAGCACGAATCCCAGCTCCAGAAACAAACAAGTGAATCACGGAAAAGCCCAAATTGAGACGCATTCTCCCCAAGTTGCATTCTCCATCGCTTAAAAAGTCAAACCCACCACAATCCGAATTGACCAATCCATCATGAATCGATCAGTGGGGAAACGAACAGGAAAATAGAGGCGAGAAAATTGGGAGAAAGAGGGAGGTGCGAAAGAGAGAAAGAAGAATTGGGACGGCATTCTACGCGTTAGTAGCATACTACCTTGGCCTTGGAAATGACCTTGACAGCGACGGACTCGCCCTTGAGCTCGCCTTTCTTCCCCTTCGCCCAGCAGGTATGCCCAAAATGCCCCCGCCCGACCTCCTTCCCGAGCTCGTACTTGGCCGCAATGTTCTTTGGGTAACCGAAATTCTTGTCCAGCGGGACCTCGCTCTCCTCCCCGCCACCACCGCCGCCGCCCTCCTCGTCCTCCGGAATCGGACCCTGCTTCGGAGTCTTCTTCGTCTGGCCCTTCTTCCGCATCATCCTCATGATCGGCTTGGCCGGAGAAGGCGGCGGCAGGGGCCACTTGAACTTCCTCCCCGGGGTCCCGGACGGCGAAGGCGACGGCGGGACCCCGTGCGGCAGGGGGCTCTGGAACGGACTAGCAGCATACGAACTCCCGTTGTTGGAATCCCCGGCGACCGGAGTCGTCGGGACCCACGACGGCGACTTCGCCGCACTCTGGTGGTTGTTGCTGCTGTTGTCGTTACTCCTCCCCGGAACTGCTTCATTGTTACTGAAAGAGGTCGATTGTGGCGCCTGATCGGACAATACTGCTCCCTTGGCACAGCACTGCCCCATCCCCGCCGACGCCGGAGGCTAGGAAATTCGAGGGAGCAGGTCAATTGGGTTCTGATCGGAGGGGATCAAGAAGATATGAGGTTGAATTCCCGGAGCATTACTCAGGCGGCCGGGGACGGTGTGACCGAGAGAAAGAGGGGAAATAGGGAGAAGGTTGGGAGTTGCTGGTGTGAGTTTTCAAAGCATTTGGGGGAAAAGTTTTCTTCTTTTTCTTGTTTGTTTGTAAGATTTCGGGTTTGGTTTGGGTGCTTTGAAGAGGTAAGAGAGAGAGACGACAATGGAAGGCGAAGGAAAGGAAAGCAGGAAGAAGAAATAGGAGAGAGAGAGAGAGAGAGAGAGAGAGGAAAAAGGAAATGGAAAAGGAGAGAGAGAGAGAGAGTGGCAGGCTGGCCTGTGACATCGAGTTATACGTAATTAATGTGGCCGTTGAACGAAATTAAAAATAATTTCCGTGTAACAAAATGTTGAAATTTACAGTTTTCAGGGATTAATAAAAGATAAAGCGAAAGTGGGCTTGCTCAAAGAGCAGAGTTATATTGGACTTGGGTTTTCAGCGCCGGCCTCTGGTTCGGTTTATCAGGGCCCAGTATAGATATACTCATGGAATTGGGCCTGATAAATGGCGGGAGCCCATTTTACAGTTTCATGTTTTCTTTCCTCATCGCACGCAACTCTTCACTATTTACACATCAAGCTCCTCGTAAAAACGTATATTTACTAGCAAAACCCCCCTGGCTCCAGCAAATCTCAATTGGGCTCCGTTCTCTCGCTCTCTCACGACTTACAGGCCTCTCTCTCAACACAAGTCGGCTCCATTTCTCCCTCTCCCGCTGCTTCGATCCCCATTTCCATGTCATTCGTCGTTTCAGCTCCCTCACCCCGCGGCTAACTCGGCCGATTCTAGGGTTTCTTCTTGGTATCCCTCTCTCTCTCTCTCTTCCTTTCGCGCGCGTTCTCCTAGGGTTTTCTCTGCTTCATCGTCGCCGTGGAGTAGGGGGGTTTGGGGATTGGAGTATTTGCCTGGGGCTTCCTAGATTGAAAAATGGAGGCCGCCGCTGGTGTCGCCGCCTCTCGTGGGGGCTCTCTGCCGATGAGTTCGTCGTCGAGGAAGGAGTGGCGTGCGGTGTCGGACCATCATTCTGCTCGAAACCCCAGCGACGAGGTGGGGGGCTTTTCTTGGTGTCAACTCTTTGTATAATTCGCATCCGAGCTTGTTTTTTTTTTTTCGTTCATTGGAGATGAATGTAGGAATTGGACGGTCGTCAACTGCAGTCCATGTCTGCATGTGTGGTAGAATTGCTTCTTTGCGGGACTATGAGCTGTTTGTTATCCTTGAAACTGCTGTTTCAGTAGTTTAGGCGTGTTGAGCTGGCCCTCTATTTGCGGATTAGCAGCCTCTATGTGGTCTGTATGATTAGGGAACCTTTCTCCCAGTACTGAATTGCTGAAATTAATTGCCTTTCTTGAGCTTTATGTGAAATCTGATTTTGATGATACGTGGCATAAACTTTAGCATCCTATAAGCTCACCATCTTAATAAAATAACTAGATGTTGTTGATCCTAGGAGTTGGAATGTTCCAAGTTATAGAAGTCGGATCAGAGAACACTCTGTGAAACCGAAGTTGACATTTCTAAGCCAGGCTTTGATGAATGTTCAGAGTAAAGAAAGTGTTCTTGTTTGTTATTTGTCAAGGTGCAGCATGGGAGAGGGCCAGTTGGTGTGGATTTCTGCTCTATTAATGTCGATGGGAGTTTGGACAATGACATTTTACTTCAGCGGGTTCATTCCTTAGCTACACAAAGGGAAGAATTGCAACAAATGGAAATTGAGTTAAGAGCACAGATGATTGCTAGATCGGAGATATTGGAGATACAAAATAGCTTTGATACTCAAATCAAAGAACGTGAAGATTCTGCTGCGAAGCTTCAGGTGAGCTATTATACTTGCAAGGGTGTGCATTTTGGTTATTTTCCACTATGACATTCTGTTTGCCGTCAGCTGCATAGTTTGTATGACTGTTTTGGCCGGTGGAATAATGAAGTAGCTTTTGAGAAAGACAACAATGGGGCTGCAACTTTTTCCACCTCTCAATTGTGGGTATATATTTCGTTTCAGGAAAAACTCCGTGAGAGAGAGCAGGCAATTCATGACCTTGAAAGAAGAATTGAAGAGACAGACAGGGAGCTACATGCTGTGAAATTGGATAATGAAGCGGTTTGTGGTCTTCTTTCTCTGGCTCTTACATCAAGTGCTGTTTGTTTCCTGTAAATTGTGTGATATGATTTTCTTGTTTCTGCAGGCATGGGCTAAAGAGGACCTTCTCCGAGAGCAAAACAAAGAGCTTGCTACTTTTAGGTGAGTGTATGAGAGGCACTTCTCCGTTAATCATTACCCCCTCTCCCCTTTCTTTTGTTGGTTGTTTGGTTAAGTATTACCCTCAGGATGTAAATGCGAAGGAGAAGTATGATATCTTATTATGAAATATATTATGTTTATATTGAAATCACTACTTGAAATCTGTATGATGACTGTCAGACTTACTTCTTTATCTGGTCTAGAGGTGTTTTGGAAGAACAGCCTGTATGTTTTGGTTCTAATGCTATAAAACCATTATTAGATATATGTGCATTTCTCTGGTTCTTCTTTCGATCTGAAATTTGAAAGAGTTGCAATGGACTATTCCTTGTGCAGAAGGGAGCGTGATCACACTGAGGCTGAACGTGCACAGCACATGCAGCAAATACATGAGTTTCAAGAACACATCCAGGATAAAGAGAGACAGATTCTTGAGTTGCAAGAACAGGTTAGTTCACATATGTTTCTCATGTGGTCATGCTCTGACATTGGCTATCATAGTTTAGAGTTTTGATACTCTGTATCTATTCTACATTTTTTTCTTCTTTTTTCTTTTAAGATCCTTGAATTGAATTAAAGGAATCCTCGTTGGAGTCTTTAAGATTATTTTCTATGAGGCAAGGTCATCTAATGCTGTTTTCTTTCAGCATAGGGTTGATCAGGAGACTATCTACCTGAAGGACGAACAACTGAAAGTTTGGATTGCACGTGTTCAGGAGATGGATGCCTTGCAATCTAATTTACAGGCTGAACTGCGTGAACGGATTGATCAATATAATCAGCTGTGGCTTGGATGTCAAAGACAGGTTGTTTGCTGTGATGTCTTTCTTAAACTTTGCTGGTTCGTAGGGAATTAGGATTTAAATTAGGATTTAAATTACTACTTGAAAATGATTGTGAAACTGCTTATGGCAGTGTATGTAATCTGTTTTTATTTCCTTGCTTCATCTGTCAATCGAACAAACTAATTTATTTCTATGAAAGCTTAATTCAAATTGATGCTTTGTTATTTGGCGAGTGTGGGCTGACAACATATGGATTTTTTGTTTCTTGGTTGACATTGCAGTTTGTAGAAATGGAGAGACTTCATGTACATACCATACAACAGCTGCAGATGGAGCTGGCTGATAGGACTGGATCCTATCTTGATGAGTCTCGGTTTTCTCAGACAAATTCAAAAGACTCGACTAAGTTTGGTCAGACTTCTGGAAACCAACTAGATGTAAATGGAAGTGGCACATCAAATGCTAATAATGGGGCACATTCGAATGGGAGTGCTGATAGTGTCTCATCATTTGCTTCCTCTGGAAATGCTGCAAATCAGGTGGGTTTGCCTTTCTTATTTAAACTGATGGCACATGCATATCTCATTAGGCTCAGTGTAAGTTGCTGCTGGAGTCAATGTGGTCTTTCCTGTAGCATGAAACTTACCTCACCCGACATTTTCCATTATGTTGGACGTTCAAATGAATAGTTTTAGTTGCTAATTGCTGCCAACCTTTTGTTGATGAGATATGCAGTTACAGAAAATCTTTTTATATGGTGACAGATTAGAAAGCTTTATGTACACCTTCTGTATATTTTTTTTTACTGCAAGGTGATTAGTCATGTCCTCACTCCTCAGTTCATGCGCGTTGTCAATTCGTGACAGTATTTGTTTTATGTTGGATACTGTACTATTAGGAAAAAATGCTGGAACCATAGATTCCAGTAGATTCAGTAACTTTGAAGGGTCTGCAGTGAGTGGTTTAGTGGACAATGCAATGTTGGTGGAGCTTTATGCTGAAGAAATGGATGAGATGGAGAGTGAGTGTTGGTACCTGCTTGCTGGATTCTTACTTGGCTTGCTGTCTGTGATTGTCTGAGCTGGAGAACATGGAATAATACAATACACGGACACTGTTTTTATTTTGTTGAGCAATCATTATGTTGTCCGACTTGTGACTATCTCTCCCTTGTACTGATCTAGCTTTCGAAGTTTCAGTGGGAAGTAAAATTTTGTTTTGTGTTTGATGCCAGACCAACCATGTTGCTGGCATGTCGTTATCTCCATCATCTTTAATGGGAATGCCGACCTACATTCCACCTGGACAGATGACAGCGCTACATCCCTTCATTCTGCATCAACAGGGGATTCCTCATTCAATGCCATCACATGTTCATCCGTCTCAAGTGGGACATTTTCACTCAGTACCAGCAATGTCATCCCTCCCACAGTGGCAGACTCAGCAGGTTCTGTTAAATGTTTTCCTTTAAGCTTGTATTTATACTTCCCATGGTTTAGGTGCTGCGTATCTTTTTTATATTTAGGATTCGAATGTTTGTCTTGTAATTCTATTTGAATGACTTCTTTGCACTTACCTGCAGGCTGCCTCCGAAGCATCACAAGTGTCTACACAGAATCAACTCACACCATCTCAAAGTGAGCAGAACCTTGATAGACCTGAAACAAAATATTATGATATGTCTGTTAATGGACAAGGTTATCGGTCAGATTATCTAGATGTTCATAGAAATCAAGCGGCTCAGGCTGATTCGGTGATCTCATCATCCATTGTTGACCAACAGGTACTTGTTTACATGTTTTATTTAGACCAAACAAGTAATACTACTTTGATTTCTCATTTGTAATGAAAGTACTATGCTTTCAGGTTCTTGAGTCTATTGATAGAAGTTATGTGGTTGCGAATCAGCCGGATCAAAACCTACAACATATTTCTGCTCAATTTAGTGAAGCATTACGGTTAAACTCTCTTGAGCAGAAAGTTGAACTGCAGGTTTGTGTGTTTGCCTTGATTTCTGATGTAATTTATCATTGATCCGGCATCAAAGTTTGATGCTTATAGATTAGTTGAACTTGAATTGGTGCAGGAACAAAATCTCATTAGCTTGACCAATGATGGATTAGAGAGGGCGGTTTTGTCTGAAGAACAAGAGAGTTCTGTTGTTGATGTCTCACTTCCTGAAGCCTCGGTTCAATCGGCTAGGCTCACTGAAGAAGTCATCAATAATGGGGCTGGTACAACTGTCCCTGAAGCTTTTATCTCAACCGATCAGGCCAATATTGTGACTGCCGCAAAGGCGTTGGAGCCTCCCCTTATTGACGAAAGATCTTTATTGGCATGCATAGTTCGCACAATTCCTGCTGGTGGTAGAATTCGCATAAACTCAACGGTTCGTTTGTAGTTGGCTATTAAAACCTTTTTATTTCTAATGTAGCACAAGCATATTCTTGGAGGAGTTGAAATAACTAGACTTTTTTTTCCTGGTTCCATTGCAGCTACCAAATAGGTTAGGAAAGATGCTTGCACCTCTACATTGGCACGACTACAAGAAAAAGTATGGGAAGCTAGATGACTTTGTGGCTGGTCATCCAGAGGTATGGTTCTGGAATTACACTCCAAAGTGATTTTCTTTCTAATGTGCTATTGTCTTACCCTAAGACTTGTGGGCTGTGGGGGGTTTTCAGCTGTTCTTGATCGAGGGAGACTACATTCAGCTAAGAGAAGGGGCACAAGAGATGATAGCTGCTACAGCTGCAGTTGCTAAAGTAGCTGCTGCCGCTGCATCCTCCACTCCTTACTCATCTTTCTTGCCTACCATGTCCCTAACCCCAATGGCACAGTCTCACCGGGCCAAAAAGTTACCTTCTACAGACACCAACCACCTAAATGGTGTTAGTTTTGGTGTCCCTGGTGGCATGTCAAACGTGAAGATACTAAGCAAATCGAAGGATAATACTCGGGATATGAATGTGGGAGCTAATGTGGGCGGCAGTGGTCAGAGCAAGGTTTCAACTCATGTTAAGCCTAATTCCAGTTTTGTGGGGAATCAGCAGGGAAGGTACAGTCTTGAATCCCTTCCAAAAGTCTTGTTACCGGGATGGTTTATTTCTTTCTGACAATGACATACACATTATCTGTCAGTTGATGACTTGTTGATTTTGTGTTTCTTTTGACACTGTTGCAGGGTCGCTGGAAATGTGCCAACTTCTAGAAGATAGTAAGCATCGAGACCGAGAACGAGAATGTTAGGGAAAACAGTTTGAATGTATTGAATGATGATAGTAATTCTATGGTCTTGTAGGAGGTAATGCCAAACTGGATGCGTCCTTGTGGCTGGTACTAGGTGGAGGTTTTGTTGAGTGGAAGAAATCTTTTGGGAATGCTTACCTGCTGCGGAAGTATGAACGATTAACTTATTGGATGTTGAGGAAAAACAAGGTCTTCTAGGAAATTTGTTTCTTTGCTGTCTTCAGTATGGTCACTATATACCGATTCGTGTCGTGTTATCTAATTTCGTTATTTTTCGGTGCGTTTACAATGCCGAAAAGGAAATTGTATCTCGTGCACCATGGCCATGCAGTTGCAATGGTACTCTGCACTTGATATCTGCACTTATGTAAAGGTACAATGGCTGTTGATTACGTTGGGTTGCTGATTTGCATAAGGTTGAATCTTCCAAGCACCATTGCGTCATTGAGGGGCCTTTGATCACTGAATTTTGCCTTGGGCGTACTTGAACTTTGAATATGGAAATCGAGTCGATTCACAAATCAACAGGCATGAAATTTTAAATTTTGTTAACCAAACGGGGAACAAGCATGGGGCTTAGCCTAATAAGGGAGGGGATTAAAGGAGAAAAGCTTTGGCGCAGTTCAAAGTATGTTCACGGGACATTTCAGAAAAGGTAAGTGGAAGTCCAGGCATATAGTGGTGCTCATTGGATTGCGACCTTGAAACTAAAGTACTGTGAACACACCCAGAGACACTAGGACTTCATGTTGGTTTTCCTATCCCTGATAGGTGCGCTGCAGCTGTTGTTGCTGCTGCTGCTGCTGCTGTTGCTGCTGCTTTGGGTCGTTCATCTGAAAAGGATGCCGAGGAGCTTGAAGGTACATTGGTTGCTGTTGCTGCGGCCATTCAATTTGACCTTGTGATGCCTGCATGTAGTGTTGTTGTTGTTGTTGCTGCTGCTGCTCTTGTTGCACCGACGCCATCTGAAATGTATACATAGACACACAGACAGAGAGAGAATTTGATAACCAATTTGTTTGAACATCAGCAGTAAAATAAGGTTTATTTAGGCTCTGCGAAGGTTTTACCTGAGCATTTGGTGGCGGTGTCGTCCCTTGCGGCTGTGGTGGTGGTGGCTGAGCATCAGCAATCTTAGCTAGGTACATCAGGTTCTGTTGTAGCTGGTTTTGCAAACTGATTCAACTCCCCGATTGGAGATAGTATTGCAAAGAGAAAACAGAGGCTAGTTATTGTTTTCTGCTACAAGGTGATTCCAAGCACAATAGTTAAAAATGTCTAGCATCGAACTTGCTGATCCATTTAACTCATCTACTAAAGCCAAGTCAACAACACATCACATCTAGGGGAAGGCAAGGGAGAGGGAAAGGCAGCCTACAAGGTGCAACTGAGAATTACCAACTTCTATATTGTTCCCAGAGAAAGGAAATAAGCAGATCTAGACAAACTTATCAAATTCATTTGCCGCATACTCACTCAAAAATCATCAGATCACCTTCTGGTTGGATTATTGATGAGCATTAAAGAGAGAAATGACTTATTTTAACTAATGCAGCACAGAATTTATGAGACCTCCACAAAACTGTTCTACTTCTCCTGATAATGCCTCTTCTCTTATCTATACAGAACAGCTGATTCTGGCCAAACTCAACTGCAGCACACCCAACTAAGTTTAACTGGGAGACTGGTGTTAGCATAGCTTTAGAACAGAGATGAAAATTCCCTACTGTTTCCCTGTGATATTTCAGGCAAGAGCAAGAGTGAAAGCGCTAACAAGAAAAGAAAAGACTTCCAGATCAACAACAGGCAGAAGTCTCAATGAAGTTGAAGCATCAACATTCTGAGGAAATAAGTTTTTGAATGTAATGCATATGCTCAATAGACAAACAAAAATCGACCAGGTAGTTGATATCACTCACGAGGAACATTCAGCAAACTTCCCGGCACTCTGATGCTCCAGGATAGCCATGATCAACTTCTTGTTATCATCCAAGTACTGCAATAAAGAACCAGAACCAAAGATCAAAGGTTGCCCAACACAAAGAAGCAATCAAATAGATCTGATATTTTTCAAACCTCGAAGACAAGACAAATAGATTAATTGCCTCCAAGAATCCCATAGTGAAGCATAATCAGTGCACCACAATGTTACAAAGTCACGCAGCCAATGACTACAATGCAGTTTTTTCCATGGTGAATCCAAACCAAGCACTAAAATGTATCCAAGAGCACAAATCGTTGGCAAAGCTAAGGAATAGCCAAAGGAAAGTAACCCATTACTCCCATGGCGAAGAACAATAAAACGAAATAGAAAAGGGAAGTTCTTGTTCCTGCTATGCTCTTCAATCTTCACAAAAGCAATGCCATGACCTTACTCTTGTTGGTCATACAATGTCGACTGAATCGTATTTAAGGAAATGGCACATTCACACTGTGTAAAAAACCAACGAATCCAAAGAGACTCAAGATCTTGATCCATAAGGCGTGTGAACTCGTAAAACGTATATCCAAAAAAGGAGATGAAGAACAAAGGACCCATGAAAGCTAGCATGGAGGATTTCATTACGGAATCACGATTGGGGAAGGAAATGTGGGGAAACCATGCCATGCAAAAATAGGGTAAGGAAGAACTAATCCCATTGCTACCTTCTGAATCTGCTCGGTGGTGACGTTTCCCGGAGGAGTGTTCATCAGCATCCCCTGCTGCTGCTGCTGTGGCGGTGGCGTCTGCGTCATTGTTTTTCCCTTGTCTCCCCACTTCCTTCCTTTCCCACAAATGCCGTAGAAAAAACCCACAAAAACCAAAAACCCTTTCGTCTCCTTCACCTTCTTTTTCACTCCATCTCTCTCTCCCCCTATCTCTTTCTGGTCTTTGTTTGCTGTCAGGCGCTGCAGAAAGAAAACAGAGAAAACGTCCAAAGACGGAAGGCCGTTCCTGCCACTCTGCAGAACTATTTATACCACTAGGAAGACTTCTTCCACGGGCCACGTCATCAAAGCCAGAACCTAAAAAACGACGTCGTGGGAGCTTTACTAGGATTGCTGCTTATCCGACGGCGTTTAATTCTGTTCGCGTTCGTGTTAATTTTATTCGATACTGCCGGCCGGAGGGGAAGGAGAAGAGGAAGAAGAAATTGAGCGAGGCGGGGCGAGAGAGGAAAAAAGAAGGCGGCGATGGGTTATGTGCTAAGGGTGAGATTGGCGTCGTTCTTCGCCGGAGCAGCGACGGCGTCTTTCGTCGGACTTTACAGCCTGTACAAGGATTACAAGGTTGCTCATGAATCCATATCTCAGCAGGTATATTTGTTACCCCACCTTTTGTGTTTTTTTTTTTTGGGTCTTAGTTTTAACCTTGCCGGAAGTCTGTTCCTTTGTTCTACGAATGCCCGTCGGTCCGAGGAATTTCTTCCATCAATGCAAGATTATGAATTTTCTTTGAGTTTGGATTCATTAGGGGTTTCTTGCGTAAAGCTGATTGCTTTGGCGTGAGTGGGTTTGCAATTCCATTTTTTTTTTTCTTCTTGTTTGTGTTTCGGGTTGGTAGATTTAGTTTCCTTTTGGCAATTGAGATTCTGTAGTTGGTTGGCATTTCGACGATCAAAGGCTTGTCTAGGAGTTGATAATCGGTAGTTTATGGCATCGTTCAATCAGTAGGCTGATGGCCTTTTTTCTTCTTCCAAATGTAGTTGCTAAACAATGTGCAAGCAAGAATTCATTCTTGTTTAACTTAGGTTGCTGGTTTGACTTTTGAGTGGGATCTAATCTGGGAATGGTTTCCCTTTCTAGCTAGAAATTATCTAGCTATGATGCAACACTGCAATTAGAGATGCCAGGAAAGAACTTCTACAACAATTGAATTTTCTCTTTGTGGTTATGCAGCTTGAGCTACATTTGGTAGTTTTGGTAGTTTTTTGCTTTCTGGTTTCCTCTTTGTCTCTCTGTTTGTTTAAGAACAGACTGAGGAAGTAATAATGTGCAGAAACTTCAGAATACTAATCTCAAGTGGGATGAAAACTATCCTTCTGACTGGATCATTGGAAGTTTTTTGTTTTTGGTTTCTTGGATCATGTATGCATCACTCTCTGAATCATATGTAGTACTTACACATTTGCAGATTCAAAATTCAACTGAATTTCCACTCTGCTGATATATCTGAAGCATGCTTCCAAAAGATGGGCCATCTTTCCATTTCTCGGCATCAGACCTTTCCTAAAGTTCATTAGCAATCTCTAACAATTGATAGTCATTCCCAATTGTATTTCAAATGTCATGTTCACTACTCATTATGCAGTGTTGTTAGAAACAATAAATTGTGTTTCACCTGTGAAAGGACTCATTCGATGTTTACGGGATTAATGAATTACATCATGGTAAGTTTGGCCCTATGATCATGAAGATAAAGACTTTGAGGACATAAAAATTGCGTAATAACTGCATCCTTCATCTGGAAGGGTAACTGAGTAGAGAAATGAACATAGAAAGTTTACTAGTTCAGCTTCTTTTCCTCTTCTGGGTGATGATGCGATGCACTGCAAGTGATTGTTGAAAATTTCCGTCTCTTTTGACAGTAGTTTTCTTTTTCATTTGTTTCCCCAGGTGAAAGGCCTATATGAGACGCTTGATGCTCGGATTTCTGCACTCGAAAACTTGAAACAATCTGAAGTTCCACAACCAGCAGAGGCAACGGAGTAGCTTCTCGGAATGAAAAGTAACATTTTAGTATGATACGTACTGTGGCTTTCAAAACCAAACACGTGCTACTGAAATTGCCATTGGTTTCTCCTGCACATTCCTTGTAATCAATGGAATAAATTTTACATCTTGAACAAATGACATGAGTTCGCATTTTGATTGAATGAATCCTGGCATTGCAGTTCACCAACATTTTGATTGAATAAATTACAGCTTGAACAATTAGTGAGTATATCCGTAGGTGAAATGGCCATGTTCATGTAAGATGTAGACGAGCTTTAGTATTAAGTGAAAACCGTGGTTGCTAAGAACGATATGAATTGCCCTTAGAAGTAAAGAGTCGACTGTTTCCACCCACAGCTGGGCCACCTCTCTTTTACCTTGGAACTCTAGTCCAGTGGTACCGTGATAACAATCCAACCGAGGAGCTAAATAATGTAGATTTCCATCTTTCTGCAATTTTCTGCTGTGTACTGTGATCATGCTTCCTTTTTGGAACCCTAATCTAGTGGTCCAATTATGCATCAGTGTTGCTTACTTTCGTATGCTACAAGTAATCCTAATCTAGTGGTCCTACTATATACTACAGTGTTGCTTACTTTCGCATACTACAAGTAGTCCCAAATCATGACAATTACATTTGCTGTTTTTAGCGTCCAGTTAAACTGGGGAGTCATTTAAACCTTACTGATGAATTGGCGTCTCCCAGCTTGAGAAGAGAAGCCACAACATCCCTCATGGAGGGTCTCATTTCAGGCACTGGCTGAGTGCACTCAAGTCCCAGTTCCAGTAGCTTCTTAGCCTTCTCTTGCTTATCTGGATCCCAAGAGGTGATTTCATTATCAACGAACTTTATGAAGTTGCTACCCTCGTCATCACCATCATGCTTCCCTTCTACATTCTTCCTCGCCCAACAAGCAATGTCCTGGCCTTCTTCGAAGCTTGGATCAACAGGCATTTTTCTGCAGACCAGCTCTAGCAAAATCACTCCATAGCTGTACACATCGACTTTATCTGTCAACATCGTTGAGTATGCATTTTCTGTCATGGAGAAACAAAGAAGGTGAGTGCTTCGAATGAGATGAGTAGGCTGAAAAATCGTTTGATGAAGAAGCTTGATCATAATTAACATACCTGGAGCCATGTACCCAAGTGTGCCAACAATTTTGGATACTGTTGAGCTAGACTGTTCAGCATCAGGATAATTATTAACACCTAACTTTGCCATTCCAAAGTCTGCAACTTTGGGCTCCAAGTCCGAATCCAGCAACACATTGTCGGATTTCACGTCCCTATGAATGATTTGAGGCACACAGTCATGGTGAAGGTAAGAAAGGCACTGAGCGATACCGAGTGCAATGCGTAATCTATCCTCCCAATCCAGAACCAACCAGGATTGCTCTCTGTGCAGTACATCAGACAGCGTCCCTCCAGGCATGTATTCAGTGACAATGAAACAATCTCCCTTTGCAATGCAGTATCCCCCTATTTTCACTGCATTTCTATGCTTCACCATGTTCAGGATTCTAATCTCATGGATGAAGTCCGATTCAGAAAGATTATTCACCTTCTTGACAGCCCACTTCTTTCTGGAGTGCACAGATTCTGTCCAGTAAACCGTCCCATGTCTCCCTCTTCCTATCTCGTTGCAGCTTTCAGCAGCACGGATTATGTCTTCAAACCTCAGATCATCTGGTAAGCTTTCGGATCTCATTGTGGATTCGTGGAGAAGTGATTGGTCACACTCAAGTTTCTGGTGAATCACTCGCATGATGAATACGTAAACCATGGCACAAACTATTGCCATAGTACCGATCACTGTGATAACCACGGCAGCTACTTCACCACCGCTCATACGTCCATGCCTTGCTCTCCTGCCACACCTTGTGTCATTGCTTGTGATACAAATCCCAGGATTTCCAAGGGAAGATCCTGGATGTTTTGCTGCTATTTTTTCCCAAGAGGCTGGGATTCTGCCGTAGAGTTGCTCGTTGAATGATATGTTGAAGAAGTTGAGGGCTGCCATATTCTTCAGTTGACTAGGTATTTCACCGGAGAAATTGTTGCTCGAGAGATCGAGAGCTTCCAAGTGGTCCAGATTCCCTAGGCATGTTGGGATTTGACCAGAGAAATTGTTATGGCTGACATTGAGAACTGAACTAAACTGGCGAATTCTACTCAGGCTGCAAGGAAGAGGGGTTTCAAGCATGTTGTTGGCCAGCTGCAGCGATCGAAGATCTTGGAGTGGAGAGAAAGAGTCAGGAATTGCTCCAGTGAGGTTGTTCCCCTGAAGGAGCACAACTGCCAATCTCTCCAGTGCCAATATCTCATTAGGAATATTTCCTGAGATGGAATTCCCGCTAAGATCTAGTTCAATTAACTTTTTACAGTTGCTGAGCTCGGGAGGAATACTTCCTGTCAGCATATTAGAAGAAAGATGTAACTTATGGAGCTTTGCTAGTTTACCTAGCTCAGGAGGGATAGAGCCAGAAAGTCTGTTTCCAGAAAAGTCAACCGTCGAGAGATTGCTCCAGTATCCAAGAACTGGTGGTATGCTACCTTCAAGCAAATTTGAACTAATCTCCAGGTAACTTAATCTGGTGTTCTTTCCAATGTTTGGCGGTATTGCCCCTTGCAGCTGATTATGGCTCAAAATCAACCTATAAAGAGATGAACATGCACCAATACTAAGTGGGAAGCTGCCATTAAGCTGGTTGTGGCCAAGCACAAGAACCGAAAGCTTGTTTCCTGCGCATAAACTCGATGGAACTGGACCAGAAAGGGAGTTTCCAATCAGATCAAGTTTCACTAGTGGAGAGTACTTCCCAAGCTCAGATGGTATCACTCCAGTCAAGTTGTTATGAGACAGAGAAAGAAACTGGAGCTGTGTCAGCTCGGCAATCTCAGACGGGATTCCACCATTCAACTTGTTTTCATAGAGAGCCAACTCTTTTAACCTCTTTAACCCACCAATCCGCCTCGGGATTTCGCCAGTAATTCGATTCTGGAACAAATAAAGAACCTCAAGGCCTTCAAGAAACGAAATTTCAGGTGGGATGCTCCCTTCAATCAAGTTATCGTCCAGTCTGACATCAATAAGTGCGCTACAATTGCCAAGCTGTGGAGGCAAGGTGCCATTGAGCTTGTTGCTGTAGAGATACAAGTATTTCAAGTTCTTCAGATCACCAATGGAAGGAGGAATCGGGCCAACTAACTGATTCCCAGAAAGAGCAAGACTGGTTAGCTGCTGACAATGAGCTATCTTCTCAGAGAGAGTGCCGCTCAGCTGGTTAGTCGACAAATCAATCCAATCCAAATTCCCCATAGCCCACAAGCTCTCTGGGATTTCTCCCTCCAGTTTGTTTCTATCCAGAGCAAGCCTTTTAAGCTGCACAAGACCCGTGAAGATCTCAGCGTCCATCTCACCAACTAGACCACTACCCGAAGCTACAAACAGAGTAAGATTCCGGCAATTTCTCAGGGAAACAGGGAGAGATCCAGAGAGCCGATTCTCAGAGACCCAGAAATTGGAAAGAGCACATGAAGGTGGGAAATCAGGGAGCGACCCCGTAAACCGATTGGAGATAAGGTACAGAGTTTCCAGATTGGGAAGAGTGAACAGCTCCATCGGAATCTCCCCATCTAAAGTATTGTTCTCTAATCCAAGGTATTGAAGGCTAGTGCAGGAGGCTACCTGTTTAGGGATTTCGCCGGAGAAACCATTGTAGCTGAGGTCCAGCACCGTCAGCTTCTTGGACTGGAAAAGCTCCGGGGGGATGGGACCCACTAACTGGTTAATCCCGAGAACGATGGTATCGAGCTGCGAGCAGTTCCCGAGCTGAGGTGGAAGGATTCCGGTGAAATTGTTGCGACCAAGGTCGAGAGAGACGAGGGCTTCGTGGAGGCAGAGATAGGAAACAGAGTCGTTTAGAACGGCCGAAAGGCCGAGATTTGTGAAGTTCAAGGACATGATTTGCGGGGTTGGAGTGTCTGGATAGCAGGAAACTCCACGCCATTGACAAGGAGATGAAGAAAGGTTGTTCCATTGCAGGAGATGCTGAGACTGGGAAGGGAGACTGTCTCTGAACTGAAGGAGGTAAGTCGCTGCTGGAGAGACTGCAGCAGCTGAACTGGCGATGACTGAAATTAGAAGTAGTGATTGTGGGAAGAAGAAGAAGAAGAAGTAGAAGAGACTCCGGCAGATCATTTTAATAACTATATGCTAAACAGTGAAATTTTGATGAAAGTTAAGCTTTCAGGGATGGATAGATTAAGCTTTCATAGATTAACAGATGGGCGAAAAGGAAATCAGCTAATCAGGAGTACATCTGTTTTTTGTTTTATTCCTCTTGGTTTTATTCCGGTCGCCGGTGGCCGGCGGTGGGGTTGTTTTTATAAGACTGAAAGTCAATTTTAAATCATTTGCATCCGCACTACAAACAAAAGTCTGATTATTCAGGCGGAGTATTGGGGGAATGTGAACCCACTCGAGTCTCCCAAGTAATAATACTAACCATTACCAACCCCACTTAGGTGTGAGAATGAGACTGAGACTGAGACAGAGAGAAAAAAACCATTATGAAATAAATGGTTTACTCTGTTTCTCTGTTTCTTTCTGGGGTTTTGTTTTGTTTTGTTTTGTTCTTGCTTCTGGTTAAAGTTCTTCGCTTAAAGTTAAATCACCATGTGCTTCACATTTCGCAGCATAGTTTAACAATTTGTTGACTTACAGAATCCGATGGAAGAAGAACAAGAAATTGCAGAGCATTGTCTAGTTGTCTCCACCCATTGCTAATACCAAAAAAGCTCTGTTAAAGTTCATATTTCATGGGTTTGTGCCAGTCCCTGCAATTAGTCTACTGAATTTGATTAAGAAAGTACAGTGATTACAAATCCCAATTGGATCTCATCTCTCCATGGGAAGAGATCACCTAAGCAGCCACCTGTTAACCTCGTAATTAGAAGCAGGATCAGCACAGGAGGAGATAATCTCGTCAGTCGCAGTTAGAACGCTGTCAGTGTAAGACGAGGATGACATTTTGGATCTCTGCTCCATATAGCTGGGATACCTCAACCTGTATTCCGCATCGTAATCGTAATCTCCGGCGGCGCGAGGTGGATCCGGGAAAGACAATCGTTTCTTCGCCGTCGTTGAAGTAGCGCCGCTGCTACTATGCGGCTGCCTGATTGGCTGCTGCTGCTCCCTGCTGTGGTCAGAGGTAAGAGTCGGAGAAGGAGATGAAACAGAGTTGTTCCTCTGTTTCGGGGCACTCTGCGATCTCGACCGAGCCTTGGCCGACTCCGTCGCCGCCATGTACCGGGGGCTGCCGGAACGAGAGTGGAAACCCGCCGCGGCGTGAGCCGGCGGTGGTAATTTTGGTGATGATATGGAGTGGTGGTGGTGCAGGGGAGAGGCAGGGGAGTTGCTCTGGCGCCGGCGAGGACTCTGTTTTTGATGAAAAGGAGGGTTCAGAGAACGAGTGTCCATTTCCACGGTTTTGATTGTCGTGGCAGTGGAGTCTATGGAAGCTCGCCGCTGCCATCTGTTCTCCGATGTCCTCTGGCCGCTTCTTGTCCAGCCAGTACTGCCTTCTTCTTCTTCCACCTCTCCTTCACTCGCATATCTCACTAATTCCCTCTCCCTTCTCCTCTCACCGCCGCCGCTCCACAGCTGGTGGGTTTGTTGTAAAATTGAACGAATTTCCTCTTCCATTTCCGCCTTTGTTCCATCATCATCATCAACAGCAGCAGCATTGTCATTGTCCCAGTAGTTGTCACCATCTCTGAAGCATTGCTCCAGGCTGTGCTTAACAGTAAGACGGCCACCGTCGGCGGTGGCTGGAGAAAGAGAACGGCCGTGGTGGTTGCGATTGTGAAGCACCTGAGCCTGAACTCTGAGCAGAGATTGAATGCAGTGAAGGGTGAGTTTCGCTCGTCTCCTGACATTTTGCCCTCTCACCAATGCTTGCAGCTTCACCACTCCCTTCAGCGCCCTCAGTGCCTTCCTCCCCTGAACCCAAAAGGAAAAATGTTAGCACACCAAATGGTACCATCCAATTAACTAACTCGAGCTATTGCGACGAACTAGTTTTGTGCAACGAATACTCACCAAGTAGCCTCTGAAGGTTGTCTGAATCGAGACCGCTGCGAAATGCTGCTTGACAAAGAGGGAAGGATTGGCGAGCCTGACGACTTCCACCGCCGCCTGAGCGGTGGCAACTGCAGCCTGAGCGGCTGCAGTGGTGGCCATCGCCACCGCGAGGGCGTGCCTTTGCTTACTAGCAGCTTGCTCCGTGGGGGAATTCGACACCACCATCCTGCCGCCGCCGCCACAGTGGTGGAGAATGACAGTAGTAGCAGCAGTCTCCTGCTGGCTGGTGGTGGAACTACTAGAGTTGCTCTTCCTGCTGCTGCTGCTGAAATTCATCCACCTCCTTTTCCCTCTCTTCTGCAAAAATTTCCACTACAGTAAATACACACATACATTGTACAACAGAATCATGTACACATATAGAACATCATGAATTTAATACCTTCTCTTCATCTTCTTGTTCATGGTCTTCCCTCCTTTTGCTTGTTTTCTTGTTAGCATCATGAGATTCAGCTGTAGTAGCAGTAGTTGTAGCAGTGCAGGAATTGGTGATCTTCTTGGTGGGAGAACCGAAAGCCTTTCTGACAGCAGTGAACCAAGAAGAGCTTCCTCCAGTCTTCCCCATCGCCTTGATACATAACAGAAGAGTACTGCTGCCACTGCTTGCTATTTAATACAATACAGAAGGCAGGGGAGCGTATTTGCCAGCGATGCAAAATGATGGAATGAGAAGAGAGGAAAGTAAGCTAATGAGCAATGATACTAACTGATAATGTCTCACATTTGCATGAAATGGTGTAAATGATGCTGCAGGGCTTAATAATAGTAGTGCTATGGAAGTGAGATTTTTGGCTCCTCGAGAATGCAGAAAGCTGCTACAAACAACAATGGAATAAAGGGAGAAGTTCCTCCATGGAATCATGGGTAGAGAGTTTCATCAATTGGAATGCTTTTGCTTTTTCTCTCTCGAGTGTGTGCTTTTCTCTCTGCAACTGTTGTTGCTGTGGAGAACAGTAAAGTGAAAAGCGAAAAATAGCTCCACTCGACCCGATACTACTATTATTGCTTGCAGCTGCCTGCCTGCCTCACGTGTTAAGGAAAGTCGAGGAGAGAATTAGCCATTGTTTGTTGTTGTCGCAGCTAAGTAGGAAAGGTTTGTAATGTTAGCTGCTGCAATTTCCGTTGGTGGGTGGTGGGCGCTACATTGCACAAGTGAGACAGCCAAGCAAAGGACGCCATTAATGGGTTCTGCTGGGTAGTGAAAGATACTGCTGCTGCTGGTTTAGCAGCTTTGTCTCATCTAAATGCTTATATTTCTTGAGACTGGTCAAACTATTCCTCTGCTTTGAGTGTTGTGTTTGTGCTCCCACCACTTTCCTAAAAGGAAAAGCCTGCATCTTTATTTACCATGGGTTTTACTTTCAGTAAAGAAATACTAATGCTACCTTGTGTGTTAGACCAATAACAGATTCGTGATACAAATTTGTTCAACGAACATACGTATCAGATTCGGATAATGGTGAAAGAAGCCAAACGTACTGCGCTTCGGTAATCGCTTGTGGTCTGAAAAATCATCGATTTGACGAAATTCGTAACATAATGTTGGTTTGTTTGTCGATATCGTTATAATATAGGACTTGTATCGTAGGATTATTCTCCATTTGAGCATTGGATCCTCTTGACAGTTTGAAGTTTCTGCCTCTTTATGGGAAAGGAAAAGGGACAGAATAATGACACAGTCTGCATACTTACCACTACCAGGAAAACTTGTACTAAAGTGTCTCTCTACTCATTGGACAGGTCAATTTCCCACTAACCAGGCCAGGAATATGGGCCTGTCTGACGGGGAAAGTCTTTTGTCACAGAACGTTAGCGGGCTGGGCCTAGCCCATTCGAAAGAAAGGAAGAGTGGGCTACGTACGTAACTAGACTTTGCATGCAATTGCATGTCGACGGCTGCATGCACAAGCTTCCAGAGAGCATAATATGTAGTCCAGCAGAATCCCTTTTAATTTTTAACGGACGATTTCATCGACGGCCAAAACTAAGAGAAGCTGTTACTGCAAATTCTGTAACTAATTAGGGATGAGGAATTCCGTTCTGTCCACACTCTTAATGTTGTGGATATATATAAGCAGCTACCTACACATAAATACATTACCCAATTTTCAAGAAAACTAAGGATATTTATAGCCATGGCGACGACGATCACGCCCAGCAGTATAACTAAGCTGACCATCTTGCTTCCCTTCATATTATAATATATCATATTATAATCTCGTTTATCGTCTACTTAATATATCATATTGAAAACTCATTTCAATAAATCGAGTTCTTGAAAGATAAATTTTATATCTTTCCCGCCACCAATTTTCAACCCACATTGGCCGTCGTCGCCACCGAAGCTATGAGATATTGATTATATATATATGATTTAAGTTGATCTCTTCTGATTCCCTAAACGGCTAAACCTACGTACCGTACGCAACCTCAACAACTCCCTCAAAACAAACCAAACAACGAAATCAGATTAGTTTGTCCAATTGCGTACGGCAAGATACCATCGAAATCAGAGAAGCCAAAATGGGAGTTTTTGAGAAAGAAAAAAAACCCACGTCCCATTAATTAATTGATTATCCTCAAATGGGTATGTAAAATTTATGAATTATGAAGTAAGAAATCCAAGCCTCTCGAGCTCTCTTGAATATATATAGCTAATTAAGCGGTTCTACAGGGATATTATCCATCGATAATTAATATTATTAGCCATGGCGTTTGCTAAGCTGGTCGTCTTGCTTCCCTTGATAATATGGATCGTCCTTATTCCATGTATAGTTTCCCGGCCAACCTTTTGCAGTCATAATTCTTTTTTTTTTCCCGCTTTTGATCATATCGCTAGATAGTACTCAAAAATCATTTCTGATCCGCCAACGCATTGATTGCAGGTCTTTGGCATTCAAGCGATTCAAGAACAATTGCCCCTCGATGGGCGAACGATATCGTTCTAATGCCTGCTAACGGAACAAATTTCATCAACGTCAGGTATCTCGTCGAAATCCCATGTCACCATGTTTATATATAGTGATATATGATGCTCGATTAAACCTCTCTCAATAACTCGAGTTATTGGGATCGACTGGTTCTTGACATTGGTATATATGTTCGTTGCAAATTTTTACAGCGATTCATCGGTCCAGTACAACTGCGACGCGACCTGCAACGATGAGACCTGCAACCAACATTACCCCACCAAGTGTCAAGGAGTGAAGCCTGGGAGGAGATCGGAGAAAGATAAGGAAGATGAATATGAGTATTTTACATGCTGGGTGGGTTGCTGGTGTCCTAATGCACCTAAAGATGGTGCATGCTATTGCCTTTGTCAGAAGGAGCCGTCTTCCAAGTGATTCATTTCCTTGATCTTCAGTGAGAGTGGATGATATGATGGTTGAGATTAACAAGAGTTGAAGTATTTAGGATTCCGAGTTCGGGGTCCAATAATATTTGTTTTTCAAACAAATAAAGAAAGTAATTAGTATAATTTCGAATGTAGATGACATTCTTCGAGATCAATGAAATCATTCAAAATGACGTCTAGATTAAAAATGCTCACTGTATATATCTCCTAAACTATCAACAAGAAACTTATCATTCGAAATGACGTCTAGACTAAAAGTGTTCACTATATCTCCGCGTAAAAGAAAAAAACTTGTTTACTATTAGACATAGAGACTAGACGAGTCAAAACAAAACGCATAAGCAGATCAATAAGAATGATGAACTTCTTTGACTCCTCAAACTCTGGCAAACCGCGACACAGTCCAGCAACAAAACGATACTTTAATTAAAGCCAGATGACACCAACTTGAATGTCATTCTGTCTCCTTTTAAAAAACAATTTAGAGGATAATAACACCAAGAAACCAATCAATCCAAAACCAATGAAACAAGAATCAAGTTAATAAATCCATGTCCAATTTCGATCCCAGATCGAAGCGGGATGACTAAGAGATATCATCAAATACTAATTTAGGGTTTATTATTGATAAAAAAAATAACACAAAACCAAAAGCAAAAGGGTAGAAGATAAAACTGGGTTAAACGTTAAAATATGAAACTAATCTTCTGGATGAGACTGTTAATCGAAACCCTGATCTCTTTAAAGCTACTACGTACGTTCAAACATAAATTTATACCTGAGATTAATCTCGGTACAGTTGACGGCAATCAGAGCATCATTCTCCGACCGCGAACCGACGACTTCTCTCGTCTAACCTAGAAATACTACGTGCGTAAACCTCGCCATGTCTAGCTAGCGTTGTTCGTTTTTATGTATGTGCTTGTTGATGCGGTGTTATAGCGGGTTATCTATATATATACTGCCAAGAGTAGCTAGGGTTCGCAGTTTGGTTTTACGGGTTTAACCGAAACAACCAGACAAATAAGAAATTTAATGGTTTTGGTTTTTGATTTCGGTTAAAACCGAAAACCAATGACTTTTTGTACACTTCTTTACTAAATTCATACTTCTTGTTGTCTTTTCCGCGATTCCATTTGTCGCTGGACTTCCCAAACTATGGGTTTTGTTTTTGGTTTATCTAAACCAAACCAAAATCGTTAAGCTGACTTATTGGGTTTTTATTGACCAATAATTAATAAGACACTTAAAACATTTTTGGTTATTCAGAATTTCTCGATTTGAATTTTTCATCTTTTATGATTTGGTTAACCAAACCGAACGAACCCAGCCCGGCCCTAGGTGAAGAGTGCTCCAGACTGGAGATATCTTTCACTTGCAAATTGTAAATCATTGTTTCTCTCGATTAACCAATAATTAAATCTAACTTCGATTAGTTAGAATTCCTCTTCTTTGTTAAACAATTCTCATTGGGTATTATACCGTCATTGAAAACGTATACAAAAGCTACCTATTTCTATCCTCCATTCCTCTTCCAACATAGCATATATAAACCGACCTTGCAAAGCATAAACAAAATCAGCAAAATCCCCACCTTCAACTAAATCAAACCGGCCGGTAATTGCATGTAGTTCAAAAACTGATCGAGCAACGGAACGAAATAGGTTGTTCTTTGTTCAATGACGGCAAAATACCCATGAAAACAAGAGAATTAAGTCTGTAAGTCCAAGCCTTCATCCTAAACAAGGAGAGAAAAAAAAAATACAGAATTCTTTGTCCAATTGCGTACGGCAAAAATACCAATTATAAATGATGAAGGAAATCCCAAGTCTCAATCTCTCTTGCCAGTCGCACATATATATAGCTAAGCGGGTCAAACTCATATTATCCACAAAAAAACTTCCAACAAAACTCGAAAAAGAAAGAACAGTTTACCTAATCTGCATGGCTGCTGGTGCTAAGTTGGCCGTCTTGCTTCCCTTGATAATGTGGAACATCATCCTCCTCATCCCATGTACGTATATATAGTTACATAATTTCCCCATCCTCTCCAGTCTTACTTCTTTTTGGCTTCTATATATTGCTAGATAGTCTTCGTCATCGCGCTGATCGATCCGTCAATGCATTGTAGGTCTTTGGCATTCAAGCGAATCGAGAACGATAGCTCCTCGATGGGGTAACGATATCGTTCTCATGCCTGCTAACGGTACAGGTTTCATCAATGTCAGGTATGATCTCTGTCGAAACGTGTTTCACAATGACTGATTCCATTGATTCACACGTTTGTTGCAACTTTTTCCAGCGATGCTTCGGTCCAGTACGACTGCAGTGATAAGTGCAACGACAAGAACTGCGAAGACAGTTTCCCTACGCTGTGTAAAGGAGTTAAGCCTGGGAGGACGTGGGAGAAAGATGGCGGAGGTGACGATATTGATCAATATGAGTATTATACATGCCATGTGGGTTGCTTGTGTGAAGATGGTTCATGCCACTGCCTTTGTCATAAGGAGCCGTGGTCCAAGTGATTTTCCTTAAATGTTCCTCTTCGAATTTCCCCATGTAGGGTTTGGGTGGTTTCTATGTTTTGGCACTGCAAATTAAATACTGGGACTCTTCAACTGGAAATGAATGATGAGTTTAACAAGTGCGCGGACTTGCTAGTTTGAAGGCATTTTCTTTCTTTGCGTTTTCGTTCTGTTTCTGTTTCCGATAAGGACCTTTTCGAGTCTCGTCTTGTTGTTGTGAATGAAAGTTGAGATATATATGTTTTATGTATTTATAAAAAAATTTAACCATGAAAAAATAAAAATAATAAGAATGATAAGAGCTCTTTTGTTGTTAAATTTATATATATATATATATATATATATATAGATAGATAGATAGATAGATGACTCGTATGCTTCAGGTACTTTGATGAGATCCAACCAATCTCAACAATCAATTGTTGTTTTTCTCTTAAATTGAACTTCGGGTTTCGGTTTAGAGAATCTAGACCTTTAATTGACCGGAGTTTGACACTATGCCTTGACCCTTAAAAATGATAATTTAGGTCTTAATTCTACAAATCTCATACAGTAAAATCGGTTTAATCAGAAATAACAATCAATCTCACACAATAAAATCAGTTTAATCAGAAACAACAATCAACGGTCATAATTCGCCAAAATATATGCAACAAATTATATGCACAACCTTAGGATTTAGGGTCTATTATTCGGATAACTCAAAATTAGGGTTCACTTATCAAGGGTTAGTGTATACTGTATAGTACCATGCCTCGAAATCCTGTTAATTCGAGAATTAGATAGTGTTTTCTTACTAAGAATATATCGTATCCTAAATTTTACCCAAATTACGATAAAAGTCACCATGTATATTACTTACCGTAAATAGTTGATATGAAAAATACATGTACAAGGTCTTCCCCCTTGATGCTAGGGATCGTTTAATTAGATTTGGCCTATTGATTTTTAATTGAGATTAAACGACCATTTGAACCGGGCAAAGCTAGGATTCTTAGTTCGATGGGCCAAACGAACCCAGCCCAGCCCTAGTGAAGAGTGCTCCAGACTGGAGATATCTTAACTTGTAAATTGTAGGTCATCGGTTTTCTCGATTAACCAATAATGAAATGTAACTCGATTAGTTAGAATTCCTCTTCTTTGTTAAACAATTCTCATTGGGTATTATGCCGTCATTGAAAGCGTATACAAAAGCTACCAATTTCTATTAATTAGCACAAACAACAAATTAAAATACAAAATTCTTTGTGCAATTACATACGGCAAAAACACCAATTGTAAATGAGGAAATCCAAGTCTCAAACTCTCTTTGCTAGTCGCACATATATATAGCTAAGCGGCTCAAACTCATTATTCACAACAAACTTCCAACAAAACTCCATAAAGAAAGAAAGAAAGAACAGTTTACCTAATCTGCAGAGTATCCACCAGAGCCATGGCTGCTGGTGCTAAGT